ATTTTGTTAAACCTTTCCGATTACCTCGCCACTTGAACGTTCATACTTCAAAGGTATAACCTCCCTTCCCCCCCCAACCCCCAATTCCTTTTACTCTAGTGTTACCTGTCATACCTTTCCCACTGGCACCTTCCTCAAGTGTCACCTCCCCTTTGATGTCCTGGTGAATTTCCATGGCATCTTCTCGCCTCCTTGCCACTGCAACCTCGCCACAATTTAATGAAAGCCTTACTGACAGGCTACTTCAAGCACTTCATTGTGATTGAAAATAATTGAACAGGACTCTTTGCTATCTATCTTCCCCTTCTTGTGTTGAGACACACAAGTCGGCCGGATGCCATACACTGCGCCATTGAAGACGTCGCTCGCCGCGCAACACATTGAATATTCAAAACCAACCGAAGAGCCCTGCGAGCGGCCCGGTTCGGTTCGATCTTCGGGACGGGCTCAGACTTCCCGTTCATATTCCTCTACCTCATATACCCGTCGTCATCGGAGGAGTCCTTCGAACACCAAACCGACAGTGCATTCCGCTCCAGAATCCCCGGCGCGGGCCTCGCCCTCCATCGATCCACACGCCAGTCTCCGTCAGTCCCCACCACCAATAAGCAATGCTATCATTCCCCCCGGGGCGGTAATCTCGCCTCCTGAGTCCGCAATGAACTCTAGTGATGAAGAATCATCATACCGGAGTGGTGAGGGCGTCAAATTTGACGAGCTGGAGGCTGCCGTTCGATCAATTAAATTAAGAAGGGAGAGCTCACCGGAAAGAATGGGTCAATCAGACCCAGAAACAGCTACTCAGCCCTCGAGTGCGCAATCGCCCGAGGCAAAGCCCAGCCGACCCAAGCTCCCACATCTACCACTGTCCAAAGAAGCTCGCAAGATCACCCACTCCCGATCATCCACTGAAACCCACATCGAGCTGGCTCGGGAACAGGCGCTGACTAGCTCTCCCGAGGAAAGTGACGTGGAGATGTCGTGCAAGCCCCCAATGGTCCGTAAGAAGTCAGGTGAGCTTGTTCGACCTGCTCTTCGACCTTCTTCCGCACGGCGACGACCGTCCAGCATGCCTGGCACTCCCGTCTATTCCAAGGCGGTGCACTTCGACTCGCACTTGGAGCATATTCGTCACTTCCTTCAGCTGGATAAGCCACTGGCTGTTAGCACGGAAACATCACCAGTCGAAAATCACGATAGCAAAGTTGAATTTCCCTTTGGATCCGGGCCTGACTCGCGCGGTTCCTCGTGGGAGTGGGAGATCAAGCTCGCCAATTGGCCCAAGGATACCTCATCACGTGCCACTCATCCGGTTCGACTAGAGCGATTGTTCTTGTCAGCTGATAAGAGCACCTTGATCGGCACTGTGGCAGTGGCCAATATCGCTTTCCACAAGAATGTGACAGCCCGTTTTACACTAGATTATTGGAGAACTACCTCGGAGGTTGCGGCGGCATACTGCCATGATGTTCGCCGCCAGCAAGTTGCCGACGGGTTCGATCGCTTTTCGTTTGACCTCAAGTTGAACGATCAGGCCAATCTGGAGACCAAGACCATGTTCATGTGCATCCGCTATAATGTGGCGGGACAGGAGTATTGGGATAACAACGATACTCTGAACTATCAGGTTGATTTCCACAAAGTTCCCAAAACCCCCACGAGCAAGCCCTCGACTGGCGGATCTCGTCCTACTCTTCCGCGCAGCCGATCCTTCACCAGCTCTCACAGCATGCGACCGCACTCCATGCCGCCTACCTATGATTTCCCCGACCTCGGCGACAAGAAGCCATTCACAACCTCTTTCAATGGTGCAAATGGTGCGCCCTTGACTCGCACACCCTCGGATGAGATCGATACGGTCGCACCGCCTAAACGGCGTGAAAATTACAAGGCATTCGGGAACCGGTACGACTTCGGAGCCTCACTTTCTGCTGCTATGCGGTCGAAGGCGCCCCTAGATCGGACCGCTTTGACCGCCCGTGCGAGGTCTGGGGAGACTGTGGTGTCAGAGACCCCCAAGCCAACCAAGAAATTCCCCAGTTTTGAGAAAGACCAACAGGGTCCTGCTTCTGCAGTGAGCGATAATGTCCGCACTGAAGCTCGTGTGGAAGATCTGAAACCTTCCTCTTTGGTATCTAGCAAACCACAGCTCGAGTCTCCCGTGTACCAGGAGTTGGTCGATAAGTACTGCTTTGTAAGTTTCTGAATGGCGAATCATACCGTGACAGTTGACTAACTTCTTATAGTATGGGTCTCCTCAAGCATCGAACCTGAAGGCACACCCATCGATCTCTAGCGGTCGCGAAGGCGAGGCCCCAAAGCATATCTCTGCCCCAGCCTGTCCTTCACCGCCGTTGTCTCCTCGCTCTCCTGCTCCTCTTGGTTCTCCTGTGGCCGTTAATCCACGCGCCTCTCCGCGGCCCTCGGCCTCCCCCATCTCTTTTCGCTATTCTTTCAATCGCGGTTTCATGAATGACTCACACTCTCCAACGGTCATTAGAGGGTGAGTAATATAGACTGTTGTATGACAGCGACCGACCTGGCTATGATCCTCCCGATCGGCCTTCGAAAGCATATCATTGACGCTTTTCGTGAAGGGACATGGAACTGGACAGATCCGTTGGCCAAATGTCGGTATCTTCGAACCCACCATGTATCAGCGCAATCTGATGGATGGATTTTTCTGCTTTTCGACTTCCTCTCAACATCACCTGCTATCTTCACCACTGGTTTCGACCAGCAGCACATGTGAGCGATTGTCTCTGCGATGCATAATAAACCGCGGACGTTTCGTTGAATCATTAGCTGTGCGGGTTGCTACCACCAGTCGTCGGCCCAAATCGACGCAACCGTTCCAGCTTTCATCTGGTGCGGCCTCTCAATTTTCCTTACTTTTTTGTTTACCTCTGCGTGTCGCTTCGGCCACGCATGATGACGCTACGATTTCTTTTCCGGGGCATTTCTTTCGATTCTTTGCTGTCCTTTACTGGATGGCTCTCCCTTTTCAACACAAAAAGTTTTTAGTATGCCCGCCTCCGCTCTTGATTTCGCTGCATTCCACTTTTATGGGGTTTTTTGATTGCATGGTGTCCTGGCGTTACCTCTTGCCTGTTTTTCTTTTCGCAGCCTGTTATTTTGATTTCAATTCTACGGTACGGTCTACCATTCTTACTGGACCTGGGAATGGGATGCGAAGATGTGAGGGTGCGGAGATAGTGATACATGACTGCCTAGTATATGGCAGCGCGACGTAGTTTTGAAATGACACGAGCCATGATGAACACGATCGACTGGATCTTTCTCACTTTTCGCTTCTTAGGATATATTTTCCAGCGTAAAGCAGTTTTCCACTACTCAACGAAGCTGCTAGCCATTCGTTGAAAGGCCAAGAAGTAAATCAGACGATATGTACTCACATTCAATTGGATTCGGGGGTACCTACCTATACTTCCTGATTTGGCTAGCGCCAGTCCCTATCTTATCATCACGTGACTTGTATCAATGTCGTTCCACGCTGGAAAATGCGGGCTCGGCAATGCCTGGTAGATGCGCTGGAAACCGACCCTTCATAACGCCCTTTTTCTTTCTCCGCCGCCCGCCAATCACCGCCGCATTGCAGAATGAGTAAATCTTTCTCGCTTACCTAAAATACTCCCTTCCCGGATCACGCGTAATCAGCCTCTCTATTTAAACTGCCATTCCCCCTTCATTTAGTCATTTTTCTATTTTCTCCCTCTTATTCTCCCAACATCAAGCCATCAAACACGTGTTTTTTCTCATCGTTTATCGCCAACACAGACATCGATCCATCTACATTTCCATTAATTTCCAATCTTCACATCTGAAACTATGTCTGGACGTAAGTATCACTATATTTTATATCTTTGGTCACTATAGACCCTCGTTTCCTCGTCGGCGTGGCGTGACGAAGTTCCCAAAATACAGGACTGACAATGTTCCTGTCAACATGTGACTTATGCCTCAGGCATCAACTGCATCCAACCTTTCCTAATTAGGAAAGGCCTTCCACCTTTGCACATCTTAACACAACCTCCAACTACCCTTACCTCCCTCTACCCTCCGCCCTTCATCCTGTTTTATTTTATGACCCCCATCTGCATACTGAATCACGCTACCCTTCCATAATCTCTCAAATCAAAACTAACAAATCCAACCAGGCGGCAAGGGCGGAAAGGGTCTCGGCAAAGGCGGCGCCAAGCGCCACCGCAAGATCTTGCGCGACAACATCCAGGGTATCACCAAGCCCGCCATCCGTCGTCTCGCTCGTCGTGGTGGTGTCAAGCGTATCTCTGCCATGATTTACGAGGAGACCCGCGGTGTGCTCAAGTCCTTCCTTGAATCTGTCATCCGTGACGCTGTCACATACACTGAGCACGCGAAGCGTAAGACGGTCACTTCCCTGGACGTCGTCTACGCCCTCAAACGCCAGGGCCGTACCCTCTATGGTTTCGGTGGCTAGATCTGTCTTCCGACATGAATGGCCTCGAGCGATTTCGCTACTCACTTCCTGTGTGTGAGGTGACGCGGCGGTCGATGGCTTTACTTAATGCGCTACGGTGTGATGGGTTTTGATTTTTACGGCTATGGGGTTCAGGGAATTTCTTTGGCACTGTTCTTTCCAAGATTGGGATTGTCTTTTCTTTTGGGTGATGGACTATCTTTTTGTCCTGATAACTAGTTGCTGATAGCCTCCCGGGTTGGCTCCATGGAGTTCAATACAACGTTTGCTATCAGTCATGTATTTCTCCATCTAGTTCGTATCTTGTAGCAAATAATCAGAGTAGTTTAGGTAGTAGATTTGTATACTGCCGGTGTCATTGTAAGGTGGAAAAGTCACGGGCGGAGAATGGTCCCCCGCAACTTTAAATTCCCCTTGCAGCACAGAGGTACACAGAGCTTGCCTATGTATTGGTTCGTGTCTTACAACCCCAACCCATCATCTTGTGAAAATATTTGCTGGCATTACGGTTGTTTCAAATATGGCTTCATCTTCGGTAAAAGCCGGAAGATTTTTCTTGCCTCGTGAGACAGCCCGTCATGCAGCGACCATCCTCGGATTCCCATCTCAAGCCTCCATCGCCTCGGCATACTACGAAAGCGCATGCGCTGATATAGCTAATTTGACATCTGTCATTTCGGCCCATGAGCCAGTCCGACTCTATACGCGACCCGAAGATGTCCACAAAGCAAAGTCAATGGTTAGCCAAGCCATTACCAAATATCCGAGCGATACCTCGAATATCAGTGTCATTCCATTCGCCACAAATCACCTCTGGGTCCGCGATACAGGTCCTGTCTATCTACATGGCGTTGGCATTTCTATCAAGCAACGTTTTGCAATCAACTTCGAATTCAGTGAATGGGGAAGAAAATATGATATTGGCCACCATGACCGGGTTTCAGATCGCTTTGATTGGCCTGTGATGACGCCGGAACAGATTGAAGAAAACGGAAGCTTTGCCCGCAGAGTTATCCAGTCGGATGTCACCCCGTCTCCGGTGACTCTAGTGGAATCACAGATTTGTTTGGAAGGTGGTGCACTAGTTGTGGATGGCGAAGGTACACTTCTGGCCACCGAAAGCAGCGTCATTAACGAAAATCGCAACCCAGGTCTTTCGAAGACTGCGATCGAGGCAGAGCTACGTCGTCTCTTGGGAGTTGAGAAAGTTATCTGGTTCCCTGGCAGGAAGGACCTGGATGTTACTGATGTGCATGCTGACGCTGAAGTCAATTTTGTCAGGCCCGGAGTTGTGGTCCTCTCGCGACCCCATTCTAGTGTGCCAAGACCATGGGTGAAGGTTTACGAAGAGATCAGGGATATTCTGGGACAGTCAGTTGATGCCAAGGGTCGCCCCTTTGAGATACACATAGTAGACGAGCCGAACCCGCAGGTGTTTGGGATCCTGTCCTACAACGACCCGGCGACTAACTATGTGAATTTTTATTTCGTCAATGGGGGGCTCATTCTTCCACAATTCGGCGACATTCGGCGAGATCAGGAAGCCCTCGTGCTGTTTCAGAAGCTGTGCCCTGATCGCATAGTGCGGCCTGTGTTTGTGTCTGCGCTTCCGTTGGCTGGGGGTGTGATTCACTGCGCAACACAACCAGTTCTTTCGAATGAATGAGTAGGCATCTGAATAGATGAAATAACATGTCCTCAAATTAAAAACAACATCCTGGAGCTTGGAGATCTGATTTCCTTCAATAGGAAGTCCATGCGTCGATCCACCCTCGGCTATGGGGAAATCCTGGGGAGAGCGGGGAAATTGGCCGATCTGACTCGAATTCATCGGAACTCAGTGACATCAAATCAACAAGACTACAAAACTACTCGGTGATTTTCTTATTTCCACTCGCGCATTTGCGCTAGAACAATGTCGCCAAAGGCCTGCGAGCAGTGTTTGAATAAAGAGACGGAGAAATATGCTGCAGGTGCTAGTCCGACATGCATCAGATGTAGTCGTCTGAAGATTAGCTCCACCTCCCGTCGAATCAAGCGGATGAGACAACGCTCTTCTGTCAACACTTTCCCACTTGGAGATCTGCATGTTTCCAGTGTCGTGTTGCAACATCGCCCCAAATCCCAAGAAAGCGAGAGCGATGCCTCCTCTCCCTCATCTAGTCAACGCTCCTATTCGAGCTCGCCTCCCGGAGTCGACGAAGCTTGGACACCAGCAACCGATGTTGTTTTATCCCCAGAGAAATTAATCAGCGCCCCGGCCAACTTCCAAACAACATCAGATGCGTTGCGCACCGTGATGGACGTGGAACAATTCTCAGTCATACATTTACCATTCATGTTAGGAGATACTTTTATTCCGACATCCCAGAAGACAGTCTACGTCATTTTGCAACTATGCGGCCCGATCCTGATAGAAGGATATCTGGCATTTTTAGGACTGATGTCAAATTACCAAAAGTCGCTCGTTATACGGCGGAGAGAACCCGATATGTATAAGGCAGCCAAGGGATTGCAACGTCTGCGAAGTGTGAAAATCTCAAACGATTACGACGCAGCTTGTGTTCTCTTCCTGGGCCAGACTATGTACGTGTTCAATGTACTCACGGCACCGTACTCCAGTACCGCCCACTCTATCGTTCGAAGCTCCCTCATCTCGGCCAAGCCATGGCTTCCCAGCTTGGTACAAGCGCCTGTCATGGACACAATAACCATGTCACCGATTTTGATCGACACGGTCGAGTGTTTAGTGCACCGTGAGATCCCTATAATACGACTCGATCCTCAGCGTCGCGTCATCGTTGACCGCTATCTTGGCCTTTGTGCAACACTTATGCCTCATTTTTACGACATCTGCGAGTGTAGCTATACCTTAAAGATAGAAGCTCCTACTACCGGATCCGAGCCACACTCAGCCATTCATGATCGACTGGATGGAATAGAGGAGGAGATTCGACGTTGGCGACCCCAAACCCCTACTGGACTGTTCGAGAGATACGGTCAGAATGCCGTTCTATCAATGGTCACACAAGCAAATGTGTATCGTTTGGCAGGTTTATTGATAATCCACCGGCTCCGATATCCCCTGGGAGTCGAAGACGAGGCAGGAGGGAAACTTGCAAATGGAATATTTTCTGAATTGGCATTCTTTGCCAAGTCAGCAATTAATTTAAAGGAATCTAGCGCGTTGCCTGTGGTACTTCCTTTGATGACGGCCATGATTGAGATACAAGGGCCCGGGGAAGTTTTGATAGATCGCCTGGCCACCTCATTCACTGTCCAAAGTGCAAGTGCATCCAGGCTTCAGGAATTTGTGAAGGTGGCCAGAGCTTCGAAGGAGTCTGGATATCAGGGCATTTGGTTTGAGTTGGTGGATACACATCTTCGTGTCGCGGTACCGCCATAGCTTTGAGCTGGTCGCAACAGCAATTCTTTTGTGTATAGTATTATTTCGGGTGACTCTGTCTGATAGTGACGCCAGCTTATTCATTCTTCTTTGGCCAAGGGTCCTTGTATACGCTAAATTTAAGGGCATGGGGCAATTCAATATGTATATTCTCACTATCCTCCGGTGGTGGAAAGAGAAAATAGTATACGCTAGCATTATTTGAGCATTGGAAAATGATTAACTCATGCAAGTGTCCACCTCAATTGACACGCGTGAGACACATTCTCTGGCTAGTGTCTGTAGAAACCGTGGAAATCATTAAGCCAACTATTATTCACCCATGAAACTGTCCCCCAAGTCAAATCCCCAGGCTATGTACCCCCATATCCCTCCGACCGAAAGCCAGCTAATATTGTCGCAGACTGCCAGCCTCACCCAGCTCGAAGCAACAAAGCTGTCAGATATATAACACCAGTCGAGCTGTCATCGATCGGACGCTTCAGGGAGAGAAGGATTGCGATCTTATTGAGCCGGTGCTATCCCTCTCAAAGCCTCCCACTCATGCTCCAGCATAGACAAATTGACAATATCATGCCAAGCGCGGCAATGGTATAATGCCTCACGTTCGCGACCTTCATCCACAAACCCAAGCTTCCTGTAAAGCTTCAATGCATTGGGATTGTACGAAAATCCACCTATGGTGATTCTATGCAGTCCAGCATGCTGGAATCCCCAGTCCAATGCCCAGTTAATAGCTTCTCCGCCGTATCCCTTTCCCCGATATCCGTCAACCAGTGAAATTCCTATCATTGCATTGCGATGGTGGGTATAACCTGAACCAGTCAAGTCGAAGAGACTGATGTGGCCGATTGGGACCGGCTTGGCATTTTGAGTGGATTGAAGCTTGCTTCCATCCTCTGTCGAGGACTTTTGCTCCCCTTCAGGGGTATTTGGAGGAGGAAGACATATAATCACGCCTAGCAGGGAGCCTTGGATATTTTTGATGAATTCCTCTGCAGACTTCTTGTGAGACGGACGTGGGAGACGTCCAGTGCTCAATATTTGAATTGTCTCGTCGTTGATAATGCGGTCTTGGAAAAATGCAATATCCTCTTCGGAGTTCTCTGCGGCTCGATAGACGAGACGACTAGACTTGTGAAGTTGTCCAAGGGGTTGGGTTGATGCCATACTGGAAGAAAAATTAGAGATTGTTGGAATGTAGAATCTACTTGGGAATCGTCAACAAATATATAGAAAAGATAAGCTGGCTAATCCTGAGGTTTTAACCAATCAGCATCCAACCTCGACGCCAATGTTGCATTGGAGCAAAGGTGAGGTGAGCGCTATATGGAGCTAGCCTCTATGGGGTAAGTTCGGGGTCCCGATTAGGTATTTTAGGGCTAACTACTCCGAAGTACAGCGGGAATAGATTAGTCTACCCTGAGTCATTTATATGCGTAAAAGAGAAAGTGGCACATATGTGGACGTGGATGTCGCGGGGGACTCTTGCGAAACCTGTAACGGGACATTCACCTGACCACATTGATCAATACTTTATCGTGTGTGGCTGGGTAGTTCGGCGATAGCTAATAGCATGATCTACTGTAAAAAGCCAATGAGGGCCGGTACTGCGCAGATACTCAGTCTATTGTGCTGGGGAAGGGCTTAGATGTATTTGAACCGGTATGTCGTTCTAGCTGGCTCTCTGTTTTCGGCGAGCCAAGTGACTGGGTGGGTGTCTTGAGTCTCCAGACCGTCAGACGAGACAGCAACTCCAAAAAGAAAATGTTGTCCTATTATGTACTTCAGTGTCAAAACAGAAAGCCGAACCGCAACACGAATGCATAAATATTACATCAAACACCACGAGCACTATATTTTAGCCATCAGATCAATCCCGATGTGACCCATGATCCTTCGTCCAAAACCAATGATAAAGGCTCTTCCACTCGGCCGCTTCATCCTCGACGTAATCACCCACCAGCTCAGCCGTTTCATTAATTTCATCAGAAACTGATGAATAAGGGCCCTTCACATTATTCGCACTTCGAGCAGCATCAGCAGCGCCTGTAGAGTTTGATGTCATATCGACAGCATTGCTCCCAGATTTAGTCTTCAGTAGCTCTTCTGTGCCCTCTCTTGTTCTCTCCGCCAAGTCACGCGCACCTTCACGCGCGATCTCTGTATACTCTTCCGCCTGTTCACGGGCACGCTGAATAAGTTCATCAGGCGTGGGATAGCGACGTCTTAGCACAAGAAGGAGATAGTAGCTCTTGACTATGAAAGCGTACACGGCATCTTTAGCAAGCATTGTAAAGCCGTGCGAGAAGAAGCCTTTTAGCACTTCACCATGAAGGCCGGCGTAAAGCCCCGGTATACCGTCCGTGCGGGCGATGGTGGCGACTGTGGAAAGTATTTCGGGGGTGAGAGAGGCGAAAAGGGAGTCCTGGGCCTTTCCAGACTTGGATTTTGAGTTTGAGCTCATTACTTGAGCTCTGGTTTTCGCGAGGGAGAAGGGATATGTGATTGACGAAGCGGCGACTTTGCTGAGGGCCGCCAAAAGGAACGTTAAAGCTGCAGGTGGTTTGTCACGCTTTGATCGTGGGAGGAGTGTCCGTTTAAGAAATTCATTGAGGAAGAACGTGAGAGAGGGATTCAAGGTGAGTATCAGGGTGGCCGAGTATCCGGACCAAAAGCCTAGAATGCCCTTCTCAGCACGGATGCGAGCGGCGATATCACTTGTTGACAAGTTCTTCGTATTTCCACCCTTGCGCGCTGCAGATGTCTGCTTGCGTGCGACGATATTCGACAGTGGTGTGGTGAATAGCTTGGCAAACGAGCCAGCCAGGATACCGACGGCAAGTTCGTCGATTATTGGAAGAACAATATTCTTGCTCTTGGCAGCTCGTTCTACGCCTACGTGCGCGACTATCCTCCTCTGGCGAATGGCACTATATGCAAGAAAGAAAAGGAACGAATCCGCGACAGTCTTCCAAGTATCCTGCGCCAGGCCAGGGTAGAAGCCGGCGACACCTTGCTGTGCATAAATTTTGCGGGCAGCATCCACCACGCCGGTATATTCTTCGTCAGCGTTCCCGTCTTCATCTGATTTCTCGCTTGGATCGTTGCTTTTCTGTTTCTGGGTCTGTAGGCGGGCGACGATGACATTGAGGGGGTAGACGACCACATTAGATATGGCTGCCCCGACTGCACCGGCAGTTGCATTTCCTAAGGCTGGGAGGGCTGGCCCACGGAGAGCAGCAGATTTCCAGTCGCGCGGGTCATGAGCTTCGTAGCGGTAGGAGGGGTGGTAGACGTCCTTGATTGCATGAGCATGTTAGTATGGTCTGATGAAGTGTAGGGATGTGGCTGTGGATATAGATGTGGACGTGTGAGGACATAGGACAAAATGAGCTGGATTACAGCACACACCAGCTGGGACTCATATGATAGCCTGTATTCTGCCATGGCTCTGCTCGGGTGTGTTCGAAATCTGGTCCTTCAGTTGGAAATCCAGTTCGGGACAATTGATGTTATTATTCTCGGGATTGAGCCCCTCAGCCTCTGATATCCGTCTCAACAAAAAATACAAACATGGGTGATATATGTGCAAGAAGATTCGCGATTCTAATAATATGGACAGTGGGAAGATTCTCAGCTACGAACGTGATCTCTGGGATTCAAGCCGAGGTCCACCTCATGCGGAGGGATTACATCATGTCGATCATGTGGTTCGTGATCAGGCTACTACGGGTGACCATTGCGACCAGCAATACATAACGGTCATAACCCTCTGATTGGATACTGCCTTACCGCATGTTTCCTTACCGCCTTCTTTGAGTATACTATGCTACTATCCTTACCGGATTTTCCCTGGAGGGTGGGGATTTCCTATTTGGGCAGCCGCCGCTTTAATAAGGGTGCTCAGGCTTAGGCATCAGGACGACCTCAGAGTCAGTGATCAGCTCAGAGCAGTCACGTGCATGATGACTGATACTATGTAAATGCTCATTGGATGCTCGCTGATTACTCAGTGCCACTCTGTGTCCAATCAGTGAGTAACTCTGATCACTTAGACCACCACAGACCATACCTTTAATGGACCAGCCCCATAGGGTCGTCTATACTGCGATATTTAGTTCGTAGATAGCATCGCGCCCGCACTCATTTTCTGAACCCTACCTATCTTATTAAGGAGGAGATATGTTATTTTCATAGGGCGTAAGGGAAAGTGGAGGGCTATAAGAGTATACGATTATCAGGTGTAAGGTGTCATGGATAAAGCATTCATGTAATTATGGTTTGATATATATATTGGTCCTGGGCATATCAGAGCATGGGCTCTGATATAATGGTCTTTTGGCCGAGCGGGAGAATGTGCGCCCAGGCATATCCTTCACACTATTACCTTATTACTAGCCTTACTATAGCCTAAGTCTCTAGAAGTTGTATCGAGGAATCGATACTAGGTAGAGCGCTAAGTAGATCTATACTAGGGTATTAGTCTAGCTCGTAGTGTTGATTAGGTTATAACTAAGTTAGGAGTCGATAGTCTTCAAGGTATATATAAGTAACAACACATAATTGAAGATAAAGAACTAAGCTAAGTATAGGAATAAGTGTCCTTGTTTATCTTATGGTTCTTCCTTATAGCTAGGTACGTGGTAGGTTAGTAGATTTGTCTTGGTAAGATCTACTTATCTACCGTCGACCGTTCTACTACCTACATAGTTATGTGATTTCCTTAGGTACGGTAATGCTGCTGTGCTGGGGTCGTTTCACGTGAGATGTGTCTCGTTGGCTCTCGATGGCCTATTTGTGTGGTGGGGTGTTTTAGTCCAGTGGGTGCCTGATAGGTCCGTAACATACCTAACTATACTCTGAACCGTCCAACCTAACCGTGACCAGTTAGCCAGTGCGTAACACACCCTAACTAGAGCTAGCGAGCACTTAGACTACTAATCTACCGGAGGGTATATCAAGAGTGAAGGGCGGATATCGAATAGATAGCTGCGTAGGAGGAAATGACTTTTACCTAAGAATAACCGGTTTGGGTAAAAACCGCGAGCTTTGAAAAGTTTCCGGTGTCTGGAGAGGAGTAATACTAGGTCAAAATCAGCTAGTCGACCGCGAGTTGATAGGGACCGCAACATTTCAAGGTAGAAACCCGGTGATTAAGCCCACTTACCGGTTGAGTTTGAGAAAGAGTCTACAATAGCGGTCATCCCGGCCATATCAAGGATACGGTTATATTCTAAGGTCGGTCATTGACCACCCTCTCCATTATACTCCGTGGTTTCTGCGTACCGGTACTTGACCGGTGGATTTCTTGAGTTGTCTGGTCTGTTTCACCACCGGTCATACCTCGTACCGTGTGAGAAAAGGTAGCACTTTGTATACAGGGAGGATCGAAATCAGTTTCCACACTCACACACACAGAGACATCTTCTCAAATCCTGTTTCAAAACTTAATATTCTTATTTGCCTTGGCGTGTATCAATGATTTGAAATATAGTGTAAAGAAATATCACATGTTAACCAACTTCGTAAATCCGATGAATTGACAATACAAGCTGATATCGCCCGCGCCTATCCTCAATCTCACTGCCTGATCCGGCAAGCATAAAAAGTGGGTAGTGAGTGTTTAGTAGGCCTGCCTTGGCATAAACTAAGGGGAAACACTCGCTCCGTCAAAAAGTATGATGAACTAAACCAATACTATATCGGAAAAGCGTTGCTTTTCTGTTTCTACATATTTGAATATCAGTGTAATGGGAAAACCCGATATGGAAAGAAAGTTAGTCAATGGCTGTAATCAATGGTATGGTGACGATCCTTGTTAATAGGATGATTTTCGATTTGAAGGGTGTATCTCGGAAAGACTGATGTCTATAACTTTGTTTCTATTAGAACTTTCTCGTAAGTTGACAATCAATCGATGCCAGGATACCAATAAAGTAATTACTCAAGTTGCTCAGCTCTGCACATGCGATTGGTTTGCTAATCACTCGGCTATTAAAAACGAAAATGCGTATCGTCTGTCGCCAAATCTCACATCACTCTAACCAAGCATCCACGGCAGACTTTATCGCCTTCTTCAGCCAGGGCTCATCGTAGGAAGTAGCTGCATCGAATCCATGCTCTCCGTCCCGCACTGTGAGAATTATTTTCTCGTTCTCAGGAAGGCCTTTCGTGACTTCTTTTGCGCGGAAAATGAATTTCTCAACGTCACCAAGAGGAACCACACTATCCTGACGACCATGAATTATAGCAATACCACCCTGAGGTATATTGAAACAAGGCTGCTCCAGTCGTGCCATAGGATAGAGTACCTCGCGTGGGACGTCCTTCGATCCACGTTCGTACATGCCAGTGATAGCCCCATGCTGAACAGCAGCAAGCATGAAGCTCAAGCTATCAGGCGTACTGATTGAAGATTTTGGAGTATCCAAAGCGGCGGTTTTCATGTTCTTCTGGACCACATGTTCCGGGACGGAGTTATTAAATGGGGGCACCGCGCGAGGCGAGCTGAATGCTTCTGAGCTGGGATCCACGAAGGGATATGCAATAGCTGCGGAGCGAATATCCGTTGGGTGGGCTAATGAGAGGTAGATACTGATGAGGCCACCAGCGGATTCACCAGAGATAAGTATACGGTTCAGGTCGACAGTGGTCGGCGTTGTCTGATTCGCCAGTAGATTTAGAAACTCCGCTGAGTGCAGCCAGATCCAGAAATCTTCAACATCGGTATAGATATCGGCGCCAGTGGCTTCTGGGAGGAGGCGGTAATTAGGGCTCACGATGACAGCTTCTTTCTGCAGGGCTAGATCAGAGATCCATTGAGGCCACCAGTCCATGAAAAATGAGTCACCCATCATCTACCAAGCCTTTCAGGATTATATACTTCCGATAACAGGGATACCACTTACCAAGCCGCCGCCATGGATTCGAACAATAAGTGGTCTTGGACCGACATAAGTGGTTTTCGGGGTCAAAATATCAACTCGGATACCGTGGTCGCCGATATGTTTGTAGTCGTGCTGGACGATCTCAAAGCCGTCGAGTTTTTTGTTCAAAGGGATGGACATCATGGACGATTGTAAATGCAGTCTCGAATGAATCTTTGCTATGAATTTTAGTGGCAAGGAGGGCATTCAAGGTTTTTGTAGAAGGCATGTTGGGGGCCAAAATTCGGGCTCGGGCTAACATCGCCGACTTGAAAGGTCATTGGTGCCTCTAACGGGTAAGCTTCGGGGGCCACGGGCACTTTTCGAAGATTTCTTGATAAGCGCATCACACTGATGGTTATAAATTGCTAGGAAAGCGGATACTGCAATACAGAGATTATAATACCATTGATTGGACCCATACATTTCAGGATACCATTGTATATGACAAACTCCAAAGGCCTTACGTGTCGACAATAACCTACTAGAACCGTATAATATATACCTCACTCATGCAAACACCCTAAAGTTGAATCATTGATAGACCGGAATCCGAAGTCTGGCAGCTAGATTAGGGAAATTTCCCTTTATTTGCCTTGTTTGTAGGCTCGACATTCTAGAATCCCATAAAGCGATACAAGGGTAATGCTAGATCTTGATATATGGATCTGGGAGGGGGCAATTTCTCCCAAAGCCAAGAACCATTTGTTGTGGTGTACTATCATCGGGCAAGAAAGCTGTTAAGTGATAGAGTGTAATTTAGTATTATCAGCCAGACTTCTTCCGTTGAGATACTTTCAATCCAATTAAAAGATACCTGGTAGATGTAATAAGTACTGAGATCCTGAAAGCTCATTTCAAACATGAGACTTGCATCTCTGGGACTGTAGACATGTGGTCCCTAAGGGTTCTTAGGAGTATATACGTACTGCAGTGACAATCCGAGGTTCCGATTGTCCCTATGATCTTTTGGCCTAGTGGTATGTAATCCATCAGGAGTAGCGGCCTGATTACTACGTGGGATTACAAAGGTAAGTCAACTATCATCCCTTCCCCCTTTCCAATCAATGTATCTTAAGAGTTCTTCGATTTTTTGTTGGTAAAAAAATACCTCACCTTCTGCAATCGATCGCAATACCCAAAAAGACGCTCCCCTTACGCAGATTAGAATTCAAGTCTTTTCAAGACCGGAACTGTGACCGTCCATCACAGACACTAATATTTCATAACAATAGCTCTTTATGGTGGATCAAATTTACTGTGGATCGGTCACTGCTAGAATAAGTATAGGGCCTAAATTATTTCAAACGCCATATTAAAATTACAAGAATTCCTTAAAGCGATTGATTTCGGCCACTTGTAGCTTTTGGACGATACTGTGACAAGTATTACTTTAAGCTTGTTAAGGTAGAAATAGAACTCGATTATGATACGAAATGGGCACCCAAATCTAGCAAACTCCTTTATTGCCGTTGCCTATGAAATACACTGTAAAATCGCAGAAAATCTAAGGAGGGTTATATATCTGACTCTAGTGCGGGAACGATATTTACCAATATTCAAGGCTTATTGTTTACAGACTATTAAGGTTCTCACTCCAACAGTCTCTATAGTTATATTCAAGTAATATTTTTTACTTATAAAACTATTGGCTGTCCTATCTTTGAGCCTAAAGACACGAAACATATATTGAACGAGTTTGATATTTTTACAGAACTCCGCGGACTTCTGGGCATCGCGTAGCTAGTTAGCCTAGTTGTTTCAGAGAACCTGTATAAGACCTACCTATCAATCAATATGCTACCAGTGATCATAGGATTTCTTCTTGAATACTATTCTGGAGGGTCGCTGGAGCAAATTTTAAGGACGAGTTTCGGTTTGATACTTTGCTAATATAGTGGGCCTTAAAGATTGGCACAGTATTAAGATCGTTGTATAAGAGAAGGCGAGCTTATATCGATATCAAGCCATCGAGTATCGTTTTGGATGCCAATGAAAATGCTATCCTTATCGATGTTAGCGGAACCGGTGGTTACGTATGGGAATGGCTTTCACTAGAGATGTAGATCCTCATTTAACAAAATAGTGAAACAAGTCCTACTAATACGCCATTTGAGGCATAGGTTGCCACGGATTGTTGGGCTTATGGAAGATTACTCTTGGCTCTCGCCGAAAAGAGTGACACCCCTAGGATTGATAAAAAACTGTACTTGATCGCTGATAGTCTGACCAAGGCGGCTCCCAAATCTCGTATCTCACTATGCGATACTCCCACGCAACTGAATGAGGAGTAGCAGTCGTCTACAAGCAGTTGAACCCTGCGAGGATAGAACCGTGTATGTCAACTATATTGTTTTTTTTTTTTTTTTTTTTTTTTTTTTTTTTCATTTAGTAACTCACATTCCTCTATCAACTCAAAAATGACACCCGAGGATCGAGGTCTGTTCTAAATTTTCTGTGTTTCCGCTTTCTTTGCTCTCACCTTCCTTCGATGGCTAGCGGACACCCCTACCACCAAATAATGGGTTTCTGCTGGCTTGCCTTTTAATCGGATCTCATAGTCATTTTTATCACTATAACTACTATGTCATCTTCTCGCTTTGAATGGCCATGTCAGAAATTCATTCTATGCTCTAAAACTGCCCTGTGGTATCTGACTAGATAAATGACTCGATAGTATGGATGCAACCTCTGATTTCTAAATTTAATTCTTGTCCAAAGCTATCTTTAAGCTTAAAATATTTCTCGCTTCTATGGCAAGAGGCACTGTGTGTTTCCCTCTACCTCCACTTGTAAAGTGGGAGTGGACTTGAATACTGCCTGGCAATATAACACCAATAAGAGAGTTATGTATCACTGTTCTCAATAATCGCCCCTAGGCCACAAGGTAGTCAATTCCTACGTCGATGTACTCACTACATACAAATGGAAAGGAAACCTTTCCAGGCTTCACCATTCATCCCTCATCTCTCTCTTGGGCGCTATTTCAAACGTTTAATCGAGGTCGTAATTCACCTCCCCTCGTCGAGTGAATGGATGTGCCCACTGAATCTCGCCATCAAACCCCCAATCAATCTTTTTGTCTGCGCATGATACTTTTGTGTCTCCGGTAATCCAGGATCTGACGTAATCGGCGGAGTTTTCAATTGTTGTCAACTTCACTCCAGCCCGATGCGTGATTGCGGATAATGGTTGAAATAAGAGCAAGCCTTTGTCCTCAAAGGGTGCCTCAATTTTGATCTCCTTGAGGTGTTCAAATCGGTGATCCTCCGGAAGAAAAGGTGATGCTCTGCCGTAGAGACTTTCACACAGCTTTTCACGCAGTAGGAAAAACTCAGGCCCATCGTTAATTTGGAAGACGTGCAGCTCTTCAAGTGACTCCGGAAGTAGCTTGTACAAAGGCTGTGCGCTGTTGTAGATTCCGTGGCGGTCAATTAGCGTCCAGTAACGACCTTCAAAAAGTGACATCTTCCTTTGCGTCTGGACAAGATAGCCGGCTGATATTCGCAGTCTCTTCAGATGGCGAAGCCCCGTCAGATTGAGAGGTTGAAGGTACAAGTCTGGGTATACCTTTTGGGCGCTTCTATTAAATGACAGTTCGAGGCGGGTCAGGGTCCGAGATGTGTATTGAAGCGCATTGCTGAGTTCCGCAGATCTCAAGACCCATTCTTTCCTCTTCGCCCACCCGCGTTCGTAGACAAATGTTTCCAATTTATGTGCTAGTCTCAGAAATCTTCGAAGGTTTATGGCATCAAAGGTGCAATCGCGAAGTTCGATGTGAATGAGGTGATGAAATTTGCGATATGCGGGCCGCAACCATTGTGGTTTATTGGTCCATTTGGTGCCGAATACATGAGTCAACGTGGGAATCCGAAGAAGCACCATAAGCCATTCAAAATCAGCCGAGGGGAAGTTTCCGTCGACATCAGCTTTCAGGTGAGTGAGTTTAGGCAGCGTAAGTGTCATTTCATTTTCACTGCTGTGCATCGAACGTATACCGGCCATACAGATCAAAACGCGTTCAATCAGGCTCCAGTCTGTGATGAAAGGGTCGCGGGGTGGATCTTCACTGTCCATCGGAATCTCGAGACGTTCTAAGGCAGGCAGATACCCCAGAAGAAGAGCTAGTAACGCGTCCGATCGCGGTACATTGGGCTCTAGGGCTTTGTGCATTGAGTCTCTGATTGTTGATTGCAATGGTAACTTTCTGGCAGCATCCATAATCATTTGATGATCCTCTGCACAGAGGGGCTCAAGGGTAAGTTGTTTTCTCTTCGGGTGAGTACTAATCTGCCTATGCGCGTAGCAAAGGTCGTGTAGGTCAGTCAAATCGAGGGACTTGACAAGTCGAGCGAGATGGGGTTTGCGGAGGATCGTGAGGAGAAAGCGTTCTATCTGTATTCTCGGCATTACAAATTGCAACTAATTCATAGGAGAGAGACATCTTACGGAACGACGATCGGCAGGCCACGCCAAACCAGGCCAAATCCGGTAATGAGGAGGAGCCCCCCAAAGATACATGGGCATATAACGCAGGCATTGCCATTTCATATAGCTGCCTGTTACAGGCAGCCACACGGCTCAGGGTCAAGCTGTCACGGCCAAGCTGGTCAATGATGAGAAGCTTGATTTCTGCGGGGAGATTCCGGAACTCCGTCTTTGGGGTAGGAGGCGCTGGATAACATAGGGGAAGAAGAGCGATGGGTAAACAGAATGCCATGTTTGTAAAATGGGATTTATTAAGGTTGTGGGAGAAGAAAGCAACGTTGAATCAGATGAAGCAAAGAGCGATTGTGTAGGGGTTGGAAGGCGCAGAAGAGTGGACTTGAAGTGTTTGCGCAGGCTGTTCTATAGGTAAACTATGCAGTCGCTTAGTCGCCATTACGATTGCTGACATCGTCAAACTCCTGCCTAGTTAGCTACAGGGTTGACAACAAATATAGAATATCATTAAACATCTCAACAAAGCACTCATTCGGTCCGACCTTTGAAAGACTACTGACCTCCTGAGTAGGAAAAGTAGGTAGGGGTGATCTAAGAAGATATCGCTATTACTTACGAGAAAACGCACATAAGGAAAAGTAAGGAATGGCGATCAGAATAGTGAGCTGAAAGCGCGATGTCTTAGTTTATAGCTCATAGCAACAACATTTAGGGTTTGTAGTGCCCCGAATAGCCTGGATCATCGCGGAGGAACATTGGAATATATGTGTATATTTATGAGCCTACGTACTCAATATCAAATCACACAAGTGAGCATGATATCTCTGCAACCAAAGCTCCACTCGCTGCCAATAAAAATAGCTAGGGAAGGAATAGCGCGCTTGGCTGCAATGGAGTCATGCGTCACCCTAGATGGTAGTGTAGGCTAGGCTGAGGCGTAAAACTCCGAAGGACAACTCTACACAATAAGATAGATTTGTAGGTCTCTCAAAGCTCAAAGATACAGGCCAATTCGAGGAAGTCACATCTATACATGGATGACGTAGCATCAGAACAACACAAAAGCCAATCATTGACGAAAATATTCCACAGGTACGCGTTTCAAGTATCTCCTAATTTGATGAGAGTGATGGTGATGAGAATGGGGGGCGGAAGCAGCTTAGTAGGCCTTCATGTTGCTTATTTCGAGTGATATATAGATAGACCGCGTCCGTTTAAACCCCATGAGGCCTATTCCGTATAGTGCTCCTTCAAAAATCATTGTACCAGGAAATACCTTCAAAAATAGTACGTACACATTTCAGACTTAGGTACCATATCTCCCATATGCGCCAGTCGGAAGAGTCGGTTAAGGTGAATGCGCATATAGCCTGAGTATTGAGTAGCTGGCGCGTATTCTGGTTCAGACACCGTCACTCAGGCCCCACTCTTCTCTGTTAGATATGCGCGCTCTTGGAGATGTATAGGAAGAGCTTTGGGATAGTGGATGAAGGACTTTGAAGCTTCCTCGTCGATAACTAGACACCAGCGAGGCAGATTACCAAGAGCTCCGACTTTGTTATCCACAAAAAGTTTGAAATCCTCTCGGACTTGGGCGATAGTAGCCTTAGCCAATCGAATATTTTCTTCAGATACAAGACTTCAGTACCCATCGTGCAGAATTCGATGGGCTTGCTCGTCCTGGCGTTGATTGTTGTGTAATTGCCAGTCTAGTGAGGCCAAGATATTTGCTCTGATCGCATCAACGGCAGCTTCCCAGTAAAGGTCAGACTCAGGTGTATATACTGTGTGATAGATGGTATACCCCCGGGCCATGGATGAGGAATTTAATTTGCCAGCATACTTGTGGCATCACATCTAGGCTTCCTGGACCAGGGTTGAATTTCGAGTTGGCGGAGTCTCCGTAGGTGTTCACGTTCCGTTCCCTGGGGCGGGAAATCTCCGGATTTAGATGACCATGATGTGTCCCAGCTCTCATGGTGAAACCACCAGGGAATCATCACAGGGTCCATGTTCGGTAGCTTTGGTGGCATGACGGAAATTGAGAAAGTTGCAGTCGAGAAATTGTGGGAAACGTAATTTGATGGCAGGGGTACGCCAAGGCAGTCAAAATTACTACGCTAATCGCGATGCAGGTGTGGCCTTGGAAGCCTTGACTAAATAAGTCTACTCTGTAGATCCTTCCAGACTATCTAATTTGGGTCTTCTAGTAATCCTATAGGCCAAGTGGGCAATTCTCTGGTTGATCGTCACCTTCAAGATGTGGCTGCAGCCGCGTCGAGTTAGGGTAGAACATTGGAGTATTGGTGATGACCATTGAGGCCGAATATTGTTGAGAGAATGCAAATTCCATTGCAATCTATCTTATCACAGTTCTTGCCAGACCTGGTGAGATTTCGCCAGCCTTATTTTTTGACCCGAGGGATATCATATCACCCAATCAAGATTTCCAAAACACAAAAAGAAACCCTAATTTCAGACATAATCCAAACTAGGCATTCAAATAACACCCATACTAATATCGAGCTCACTGGGTCTTCCTCTCGTTCTGAGGCTCCGCTGCCACAAAGGCTCCGCGCAACTCTTTCGCCGCCTCCCACAACACCCAGAGAGGGATAAAGACCCAGAGGGTATTGAAGAAGAACAAATACAACCAAAGGTAAACCGGATCCTCAGTAGCCAGCTGCGAGCTCCCCGTCAGCCATTCCGGTGCAAAGGTCATAAATCCACCATACAACTCCGCCGTCGCAAGCATAGTTGACACCAGCCACAGTGTTGCCTTGGCTCCACCGCGTGACTTGGAACTGATCTTTTCATTCGAAGACCGGCACAGCAGATAGCAGATGTAGATCGCGGCCGGACCACCGAGGAATACTGTCAATAATTCCAGCGACACGACAGTCAAATCGGGGCCAGCCCAGCGGCGGTCAGCCTTTGCGTATTCCTGCCACAGACGCGAACTAGGTCTAGTCCCGTAGGCAGGACCATAGATACGGCTTGGGTCGTTGAGAAAGAAGGGCTCAACGTTATGATTGTCAGCGACTGTGATGTAGCTGAAGAAGCATTCAAAGAGCCAGGAGCCTTCGACAAAAATGTGGGTGAGGGCATCATAGGCGTGCCAGAAGAAAAGGATGCGATCCCGCGTCCTGTGGGCTGGCACAAGTTTCTTGCTTAGGAATTGGGCGATTGGCATCATAGAAAGAGAGAATACGATACAGAGGACTGTAGGCGCGTCCAAACTGAAGGACGCGGTGGACGCCATGATGGATTTGATTGGTTGGAGATCGCGAGGGTCTATGATAAGTGATCTTGTAGATGCCTTGTGGAATGAACACTATTTAAATGTGTTTCATGCTTGGAATTGAGTGAAAGATGGATGGAGCGTTGAGCAACAAAATAAAAATCTAGGGGCTGAGCTGTCGCGACGATCAAAAGTTGACACCTCAGGCAGAAGTGGGTCGCAGAGTGCAAATTTCTGCGAATAGTACGGAGGACTCTGTAGTTATATTTATCATTAAAAAGTTCGTTTGTCACTTGCAGTGTAATATCCCTGCAATCTGGCAGCTCGCCGTATATTGCAATTTTCGAATTTACTTAAGCCACCTCGATAGGGAAATCAGTGGACAGTCTGCATGTTCCATTTTATATCTAGACTAAGATGCAAAACAATCTAGAAGAACATTTTATGATCTCCTCGACTCTCGATCGCTGCATAGTTCTCTCTCCAGCTCATGGTCATCCAAAGCCACTTTTCACAGTTCTTTGTTTGCCTGCAGCACACACATCCTAGTGGCGCGTTGTCAAAGAAACATGCGTTTTGGAAAGGCCGTCTGCATTCTCCACCCACATCCATTCAACCATTGGCCCAGATGCTCAATGTATATGCTGTGTGAATGGCTGACTGGGCAAAAATAAATGTGGTTGGGTGTACGTATCAAATAGTGGAATCAGCCCTGGTCTCCGTATTGGCTCGAAACGCTTGGCGGTTTATCCCTTGAGGATGTCTCTTTCACGGCTATTACTATGATAGCTAAGTGCTCTCTGACTTGTCTCTGGGCAACAGTTTGTTATATTTTACTACCTCTCTCAATTTGGACCCGTTGAAAGGCACTCCGTTTACCTAGAGCTGTGGGTCATGACGGTGGATTGATTGCTCCCCTCACAGCTTCTTGTTAGTGTCTTCTTGACCAATTTAGTCTCATCTGCAGTTCTGTTTGTTATCAACAATGCCTCCAGGTCTCGGGGTTCTCGATGTCCCTGCCCTCGCCAAAGTGACCCGGGATGTATACAACCAATGCCATCTCCTCGCAAAAGGTGCCCCCGATGGGTTTCAAAAGCTGATAAATGAGCTTGGCTTGTTACAGAGTATCTTGTGCACCTTCAGTGGCAAGGCGGGCTCCAACGTATCCTCCTTCGAGAGCATGGACTCGGATCGCAAACAGACGTTGGAACAATCGCTCGGTGCTTGCCTCGCAACCCTACAGCGATTGAAAGAACTCCTTGGCCCGTTCAAAGGATTGGAGACTGGAGATGGAAAAGGCCTTTGGCAAAAGATCAAATGGGCGACACAACGAACTCAGATCGAGGATCTCAGATCTAATATCATGGCACACGCTTGTAACCTGAGCCTATGTATCAGCTCTATAGGGAAGTGAGTGTGCATTGGTTGCCTCAATTTCATGGCTCATGGTCTAACCGGCTTAGTGACTCGCTTGCTCGTATAGAGAAACCAATCATCCTGACGATGGAAGAGGATAAAGAGATTGTTCTCAGCACGGATGCATTACCTGTTCGGGATACCGATTCCGTTGTCTCCCCGATGAGCCCGGGCCCAGGCGTGGTGGAGCTACCCGCTAACAACGAAGAAGAATGCGAGATAGATATGATCGATGAAGTTCGCGCCAAAATGGTGGAGCTGGCTAATAATAGAAACTCCATTGGGAGCAGCAGCAAAACCAGACATGCATCCACATCCTCCGAATCGGCCATAACTGAATCGGACGATTCGCTCTTCGACGGTAACTCGCCGACTTCTTGGTTGTCCTTGAATACATCACCATTCCTACCTCCTCCGAATCGAGTCAATCATACGCGAATGCGCAGTGAGCAGCTTCTCTTTGGTGGCTCCATTGACGGTCGGGCACTCGATGGTGGCATATGGGCCCACAACCCCGACTTGACGGAGAAACAAGTCGTACATCACATGAGATCCTGCTCACATGTTGATTATGACCATCCTCACGCTATCGAGGTCGTGACGTCTGCAATGCAACTTCGTGATGTGCGACACCAGGAGCGTATTTCTTGGCCAATTCGTTTTGAGCCACAGAATCAACTACATAGACCAACTGCGGAAACGTTGAAGATACTCGAGGCATCAGTGAATGATGGGTTGCAGATCACGAGGTTAATCACAAGAGATTGGCTTCGCGTGGCGACCTGGTGGTTACTGAAAGTGAGCTCTTCGTGTGCCACTTAGAGAATTCAAGATTTACTAACAAGTTGACAAGGCACGCGCGACTTTGGCAAATTGCAACAGACATAATTATGTCAGTGCACGTGGGAGCTTGAGCCCCTCCACGGAATCAAGGTCGACTAGTCACCAAGCTTATCTTGACCTCCTTAAGGCTTCATACATTCTGCACGATATTGTGCTAGAGGAAGAGGCAACCCTTTCTGTTTTGGTGGATGAGGATCAGAAGTCAATTGTCGAGCTTTCTGAAGTTGGTTACATCGTATTGTTTGCTCCAAGCTGTGACTAATTCAAAATAGGCTATCAACGAGGAACTCTCCCAATACACTTCCGTCGACATCCCCGAGCCTTCGACTCTACATACTCAAAACCTTGCCATTTGGGAGCCCATGCAGCCGGAGGAAATATGGGAAGGCGGTATTGATCTAGATCTTGGCTTAAATAACTTGCGCTGGGTCGCTGTCGATCTAGAGGATGCAGGCAGCGAACAGGAAAAGGTCCTCTACCGAAGCTTTGTCAACGCCAGCATTGGCAGTAAAAAATCTCGCATGCGCACTAAGGGTGCTCCCTACATGCTCTTACTAGCAACACGAGAGGGCGAAAGCGAACCCAAAATCGTTCTTTGCAACCAAAGTGGCACTCTGTGTCTTGAAAGAGACTGTAAGGGATGATTCTCATAATACTTTCTAACGGAGCTGACCGATAATGCTAGATGTGCTGAATGATCTCCCTCCCCTTGTCCAATTATCAAATGCCGCCTTGACTGGCTTTCCCGGTGCACGAGTCTCAGAACCTGTACCATTCAAATTTGATAATATGAGCGTTTCAGTCTCTTTTCAATTCGATGGGGACCTCGCAAAATTCATCGATATTCCGAAAGCTTACTTTGACGCCGTTTGGCAGAGAGAACCAGTAGATGCAACTGAATTTACCGAGAGCGTTATATTCAAGACCTCGGTTGATATGTTTGAGCAGCTTAACACGCCGACCATGAAATCAATGAACCCACCTGTCGTGGTGAAATCCTGCGAGGTGCGCATTCTGGAACGGTCTTTCGGGGAAGCCTGGCGATCTATCCGACGCATGGTGATCACTTCTTCTGCTTCTGAGAAGTCCCCAGGGACCATTGAACTTTTTATGCCTCTCAGTGTAGTTCAGATCAACCGAGGAAACATGTCCCGCCAGGTGCTTTTGCAGTGGTCGGACACATGCCAATCGCGGTCCGATAAGACTGACGGCAATTACAACACCTTGCACTCCTACGTGTACGATGACACTGCTCCAAATATCGGTGTTGGTCTACAATTCGGCTCATACCAAGAAGCAGAAGATTTCGAAACAGCCGTACTAGAAATGAACTTCCGTCCGGAGTTTTCCTGGTCACAGCCCAGTAGCTCTGGCCTCGTCTATAATGTCGTTGATGCCGGCACTGAGCACAAGCAATATAAAGCTGTGCTAGTATTCCGAACTCGTGCATCATGGCGTTACTCAGATCTATACTATATTTATCGTGATGCTGACTATTCATACGATCACTCCTCATTCAGCATCCATTTCCCCCGCATATACTGCGCAGACTACATCTCAACTCACGTTGATCAGCTCTACCATCCGGAAAGCCCTGTCACATTCTCCCATTGCGATAAGAAGTCCAGTCAAACAACCCTCGAGTTTGGCAATGATCTCGAAGCTCGCTCATTCCTCAGCTCCCTTTCTCCTTTATACGACCTCCTCTACTCCAGACGTATCCACTCCCTATCAACGAAAGGCAATTCGCTCTTTGTGTTCCAAATTTCCGGAAAGGGTGGCGCCGATATCCAACTGTGGCGTCGGGGAACGGCTTTTCAACTTGCCGCGCGGTGGGATGACTCCGTCCCGGACAAGTGGCTTAGCATGGCTATCCCCTCGGAGTTCATCGATTCCTCCAAAGAGAATAGCCGGGTCACCCTACCGCGTCTTCCATATTTGCGTGGTACGACACTTGACATGATGAATGTTATGGCTCGAAGCCCTAAGAACTCTAACCACAAAAACAAAGAGGGCGCCATGTCAATTTCTTTTCAAACAAGTAAAGGTCAGTTAGCCTCCTTTTTGAGCCATTTCGATTGTGCTAATCTATATCGGAGTGGATCATAGACCGAGACGAGTTTCTAGCTGTATTACAAGGGCAGCAGTTGCCAAAGTTCCTATAATAGTCTCATTTAATTAGATAGAACGAAGGAATTTGGAAATCCTGTATTTTCCGAAGGACATTGTTTCTTTTGTTTCTGATAGCTATACAATAAAGTCATAAGATCCCGTGATTTCATAGATGAGAGAATAGCCATGCACGTGGGGCAATATTTGGCGACAAAGCTCTCCACAGTCTGCTTCAATAACGTGTTGGAAACAATCGCACGGCCTGCTGGACTGGGTATTGTAGGTGTTCCAGGCCTTTTACGTTCAGCGCACTGTACTCATATGTTAAATAAAACAAACCCAATTCCATAACAAAAAGATGATTCCGGGCAGATTTCTCTGACCGTCATCTTTAAGGAAAACCCAACAAAGGGAAACCTGATTCGCGGGCGGTTTTGAACCGTAAGCCTTTAGAGGGGCCCCCTACCCAGATGAGTGAGAAAACAACTTGAGCATTCCACTCAGCCATATCTGCTGGGTGAGATATTCATCGGTGACGTCATATTTAACACGTGACTTTGATATTCTGGTGACAAAAGCAGTATGAGCCAACTACCTAGGTAGGCTATAAACAGGAATATGGGTTTTTGTTATGCTCTAATGGTAAAATAGGCTGCATTTTACCCGACATCGGGCTGGTGCCTGAGGCTTCAATCCAGAATCCCATGGAGCTGTGCACAATGTTTGCCATTTAGGGCTGATGTCTAATGGATTGTAGATAGACCGAAGTCCGTATAATGGAACTAGATACATATGTATCAACGACTTTCCCAGAACTGTGCATCAATAGCAATCAACCGATTGAAAAGTTGATTCCGTGACCTCATACCAGTGAGATGGTAAGACTGGCCTACCTCATCACCGCTGACAACCAGTCCATCTGCAGCTTCCTTGCTCCCAGCCGTCAGTTCGACTATCAACTTTCCCTTCCATCCTAGCCCCTCTGTCTTCTTCAGCTCTTTGATTTCAGTAACAGGGATCTGGAACAGAACAGATCCCTTCTTCCTACTTTCGATGCGTAGATCATCCAGTCCGGCGGATGCATATGTAGTGAAATATAAGATAGGAGGCTCCTTCGACGAGTCAATGACCGCCGCACCTCTCTTACGTTCGAACTTTGCATCGAACTTCAAGGGCCCGAGTTGTGTTGCGGCAGCAGCAAAGTGTCCATTTTGCAGCATTCCAATCAGATTCTTGGTATGTGCTGACCCTGCTATGGCCATGGCTCGGTCAAAAGCAATATGACCCTTGATTGCCGTCGCAATTGTGCGACGGAAGAACTTGAAGAGCCTGAACACAAATTTCTTCTTCGGCACCTTCGTTTCCGAAAGCGATGTAGTGGAGTTGGTCGATCGGAGGTCTAAAGATGATCCCTGCGTACTGAGGTCGGTAGTGCTCGCTGCCTGTGATTTCTTGCGGCGTATGGGCCATACCGGCTCGTCGTCATTACGGGAAGGGGCTGGTGGTAGTGGCGAAGAATTGATCTCGCCAATTCGGAGCAGGGTCAAAGTGAGCTGTGCGTTGGTGGGAACGCCGGCCAAAAGTGTCCTATATCTCGGGTCAGCAATGCATCAAAACGCTAAACAAAAAACGAGTGTGATCATACTTCTGCAAATCAAGATGATCTTTCCAGTTTGGTACTTTATTGTTCAGTAGATCAAGGGTGTAGGTAAATATTGGGTCCCCGAAGAAGCCTAGTCCAAGTGCGAAACCAACGATCTTGATGATCCAGTAGCTCGATGTGAAAGGTACAATGACAGACACAAGGGTAAAGATGCTCGCAAGACGGAGTCGAGATGTAACCAAAAAGAACGGAGGTGTTGGAGAAAGGATGCTGTTATACCGTCAACATGCCGTGTTCATATATCCTTCCAAAATGGACTCACTTGGCAAATTTCTCATAGATATCAGTAATATCGCTGAGAATACGCATGACATTGTCAGTCGCGTGTGCTACCTTCTTTTTCATAGGCTTCTTAGTCTTATCTCCAGGGAGATCCCCCGTCGGGGTCCCGGCTGTAGCCCCGGCGGCTTCTACGCTTTCAAGAAGCGCAGGTCCGTCGGGGGTGTCTTCTGTAACTGTTTGGCCATACTTGGCCGCTGCGCTTTCCATGGCAACAGTGGCAAAACTGTCGACCATATTTTTGGCTTCTTGTTCAGCGGCCTCACCCTTGTGACTTTCCGGGGCGCCCGTGAAGCTATCCTCCGAGTGAGCCTGCCCCTCAGCGGGACTGCTTCTATTTGAACCTTCTGTCTTTGCCAAGCCAGGGAATAGTACCAGCCGAACAGGCGGGGCCATTATCAAGGCTACGAAAAGACCGCAAATACTTGGAACCAAGAGGTCCATGGCCCAAGCAACGAAATAACCCTGTAGGCTATTAGTAAATTTGATAGAACCTGGCTGTTCGTGGTCCACATACTGCGCAGAATAGTGTTGTTCTCGCTGGTTCCTTCCATGATCGCAGACGAGTGATATGGCGGAAGAATTCGGTCACACCGACCACCACCGAGATATAAAATCTCTCAAGCGTCATGCGCAGCTTTTCGGGTGGAAACTGTTCATTTTCGGTGCGATTCAGATCCAAGTTCAGAGCAGCGGTATCATGAACCGCCTTCACATGGTAAATTTGCTAGTCACATGTCAGCGCTGATTCTCGACAGAGTGGAGATCACACTAACCTTGTCGAACCGACGGATCAGCATCCATAGATCTTCATTGGAAAGACCCTGAGCAAGAGTCTCCTCTATTTCCCGCGACGATGCTTTCCATTGAGTATTGGGCGCCGGTCTCGGACTCAGTGACTGGAGGGGGCCAATCTCCTCCGGGGTTTGGGTGAGATCATAGCTCTCATCTTCCAACTGTCCCGGCATTTGTGATCCATGACTCATATTCAACGGTTATGGATGGATTTTGCAAAAAGAGAGAAGCTTGGTATTGCTTACTATCTGGGCAGCGGACCCTTAGACGTCGGGCTAGCGCGAAACCCCGTGTTGATACAGTGGGGGTTGACGTCATAGCTTGGCTATTTTTAGAGCTTGGACCCCTTTTCGGTATCCCTCGAATCTCAGACTACATCACCCCCTTTGCGACTTGTAGGCAGAGAGTACAATCCAATTCACGAGTCCAGACCGAGAAGATACCCTCAAAGGTTCCAGTAGCGACTGCGTGGATCGCCGACTCAGATGCTTTTAAAAGCGTAAACTGAGACGCATGGCCGTAAAGCTCCCACGAGAGCCTGAAACTCTCTCCGGAATTCACAAAGCAGTCAATGAAGGATTCCTCCTCGATATCCATAATGGCATAAGGGTTGGATAAGCCTCCAGACTCCTCACATTCACTTAGCTCTCCCTCTTGATCTATCATTTTAAGACATTGCTCGAATCCCTCGTGGTTGTACCGTGGTGTCGTAGCAAGAAGAACATATTCAATAGGCATCGTGTTCATAAAGCCCTCTCAGTCAGAGGTGTGGGATTGAAACCTGGAATGCCTGTCTGGTGGGCTTAGCACTTGTTGATTACATGTCAATATGACGACGCATGTGGTAGGCCTTCCCGTGGTTATTTTAAGTGTTCATCTATAGTAATTTACCCCCGTCATTAGTTTGATGGATAAGAACATAAGAAGTATTAATCACAAAAACATAGAGTATAGGTGGTTAGAATGTATAAAATGTGCAACTCCGGTACTAGCTGAGTGTACAGCAGTGTCTGTGGACCGGGGCGGAACCCTACACTCTTCCTGGGGCCGCTATCTGACAATTTGCTATACGGGGCATATTTGTTGGGCACTTGATATTAATGAAAAATCTGCAGTCTAAGTCCATCATCTACATCCTCTGCGGCCTCATTTCCACGCTTTGCAGTGATGAACTGCTTTCCAGACTTCTTGGTCCGGTGAGCGTCATGGACAAGGACATTATCATGTATGTCAATGCCATTGTCATGTTCCATATTCCCACGGTACAAAGAGAAACCGACATGTTCAGTTTAATTCGCTCGCGGTCACTGTCACCAGCTGTTTCCTAAATACCGAGGGTCGGGATCAATCTTTCCTGGTTATAAACGACCCTCGCTATGTAAGGAATAAAATAGAAAGGTATCGATTTAGAGAATTATATTGGAAATGTATGAACTTCTGCTATGCATTCCGTATAGCATATGTGATTTCCTGCATCAAAGATTAATTTGTATATAGTTGTGTTTTGAACCTCGTACCTCTTGTTCATTTTATGGTATCCTCGCCATTCCTATGTCACATCGCATTGGAGAGACTGTATGTCAAAATATCCAAAACATCCCTTAAAGCCAGTTTTGGATTGATGATCACTCATATTCATCCTTGGTAGGCATGTATTTCAAATAAATAACACCAATCGATTATCATTCCGCGTGCACATTATCTGTCCGCAAGATCTCCATGAACTCCACAAAATGCTTCTCTGCCGCTATCGACCAGGGCGTCTGCCCGTGCACATTGGTCTGGAGTACCAACTCGGGGGCTTGATTCACAAACAAAGTCAAAGTTCGTCGAGCTTCGATCGATGCGAAATGATCAGAGCATTCAACATCAGCCAGATAATGCAGTACATTGTTTCCCTCGTTATCTACTGCTCTCAAATCCGCTCCCTTTTCATACAGGGCCATTGCGCGCGTGGGATCACCTTCTTTCCAGGGAGCCTGTTCAATACTTCCCCCTCGGTGTGGGTATGCCGTGACTGTGCAAGCATAAGAGTTGGTTCCGGTCGTAGAGCTCGCCGCTGCCAGTAGCAGCGTTCTTCCTCTGGGGTCTCGTCGTTCGAGGTCAAGATCAGGTTGGTCTAGCCATGGTTGGATAATTCCTCCGTTGGCGAAAATCTCGTGTAGAATCACTTGACTCCTGTCGCAAGGCAGGAAGGGGTCTGCTCCGCGTTCGAACAGAAATTCAATCATCCTGCAGGCATGGTCACGGCAATTGGCTTCGTTAAATGGCAACATGGAGATGTAAAGAAGGGGGCTCAGCTTGAGCTCGCCGGTTGCCGGGTCCTTTTGGACACGGTCCGTATGCCAATGTGGTTGTTCATTGGATAACACCGTTGTATTGCAATCCAGGTCCATTTCTAAGAGAGCCGAGGCCACATCTTTGTTAAAACTTGACAACGCAACGAAGAGTTCCATGGGCTGGTCCTGAGAGGGATATGCTCCATGTTCGATCAGCAATTGGAACAACTGGGTGTCGTGCGCTGACATAGCCAGCGGGGTATAACCACATGGTGTAGCTATGTTAGGGTCAGCACCTCCCTCCAGCAATGCTTTCGTAATTTCGAGCTGGCGGTAACCCCCTAGCTCTCCCTGTGAAACTGCATTGCATAAAGGCGTCTTTCCCTGGTCGTTCTGGGCGTTGGGATCGGCTCCATGTTCCAGGAGGTACCGAATGGCCCCTTCATACCACCAGTGCGTACCGTGAGCCAGTTGATGGAGGATCGTGTCACCCGGTTGGTAATGTCGGTTCAGTGCCATCCTTGTTTGGTAGCTTATCTGGGGTTTATCAATCATATCCGCTGTGAATCTGATGTTGACATCTGCCTTGAACTTCTTGACCATGACTCGAATAACATCCAGGTTAGGAAGAATTCGCTGAGCAGCCGTAAGAAGAGGCGGGGTCAGCTTTTGACCCCAAAGATTGGTATTGTCGCCGTTAATCCAGTTGTCTGACATTGTATCACCAATCCGTTCAAAGAGCTCGGAGAATCCCCATCTCGCAAGAGAGATCATAATCGCTGGCATGCCGGATTTGTCCTCGAGAACGGAAGCATTTTTCTCCAGCGCCTGTGCAACCTCCTCATGGTGACCGAGCAAGATCATTGGGAGCACATTACGCTCAGAGACGTATTCCTTGAATTGTTCCTGGAGGAGGTCTATGAGGGGCTGAGCACGCAGCAGATAGTAATCAGTGTTGGTGTGGCGGTGACCTTTCATCTCAAGATTCATTGCTCGTGATAATCTCTCCAACTCCACGGCCATTTCCTCATTTCCCTCGTCAACTGCATAGTACATGGGACTGGCACCAGATTTCTTTTCATATGCCACAGCTCCATTAGACGCCAATGCTTGTATGATTCGTCCGATTCCAATCGTTGAACTTTCAGATGTAATTTCTCCTTTCCACCCCAAACCTTTGGTATTTCGATGCTTCGTTCCAATCTTCGAATCTGGCTGTGACGGCCGATGGCTATCTTCTGCCAATATCCCTGCCGCAGATCGTGTGTTCATCATGTTTTCTTGGTCGTCGGCCCCCTGCCAAAGCTGCTCTTCCGTGATGGACTCGGCACATGCATCTAGAGGTGTATGGTTGTTCTTGTCCTCGATCGTAACATCTGCTCCATATGATAGGAGAAGGTTCACTGTCTCCAGTCTCCCAGATCGGCAGGCCACATGCAGCGGCGTCCTTCCATCTTCCGAGCGTGCATTGAGCATTAGAGCGAGTTGTTTCGAGTTGTAGTGGTCCAAAATCAACCCTACCGAGTTACTTTGACGCGCGGTTGATGCAATATGCAACATATTGCGGCCATCCTTTGTTGAGGTCGTGGGGTCAGCCCCACGAGCGAGTAATTTACCGACCAAGTGTTCTGAAACAGTAGCAGCTAGATGGATAGGTCGAATTCCCTGGTGATCACTCATGTTTAAAGCGACACCGAGACCCGCATCTAGAAGTAGGTCAATAGCACACTTGCCTCCCTTTGCGGTCGCCGCGAACAAATTATCTGAAGACTGACTGCATAACATATGCAGAGGTGTCTGGCCTCGGAAATTGGGAATCGTCGGGGAGTTCCCCATTTTGACAAGTCGGATCATGGCCAGAAGGACCGTGTCTTGGTTGATAGTGGCAAAATTGGCCGCGAGATGATGCAAGAGTGTGTCTCCTTCGTAATTTGCCAATTTTGGATCTGCACCAAGAGACAGTAGAAATTCCAAGTACTCAAATCGGAAGTTGTATGGCTCAATCAGATAGGATAGTACCCCGTTGCCTTTGTAATCCTGCGCGTTGATATTGGCTCCGCGGCTGATGAGGTAGGGAAGAAGCTTGCGACAATTCCATTGTGCATGGCTGCGCATGGCCTTGGTAAGAAGCGTACATCCACGATAGTCTCTGGCTTCGAGATCTGCACCGGCTGCGCAGAGAATGTCCAACACATCCTGGATGTCTTGTTCCGACCCCTCCACCATGTGGATAGCCTGTTGCCCTTCGTGATTCCTCTGGTTGGGATCGACTCCAAGCTTCAACAATTCCACTATAGTGCTACTCCCGCACCTATGTTTTGCGGCAGCGATATGAAGAAGGGTGTTGCCCTTACCGTCAGTGATCGTCCAATCCGACACAAATGGCTGGAACAGCGAGAGATCGCCCAGCTGCCATTTAGACGCATACGCATGCAGCGGGGTATGACCATCTTCATCTCGGATAATATCCAGGCGGCCTCCGTGTGCCATGAGGCTCTTGAACAACTCTGGGTGGTCCAAGGGATGGTGGAGAAAATGCATAGAAGTGCCTCCCCGGTCCTCTGCGATGTTCGGATCCGCTCCATGTTGCAAGAGAAATGGAACAAGGGCGGTCTCGTTGTGTACTGAAAGTAGCAACGCAGTCTGTCCGTGGGCATCCCGCGCATTGATGTCGCACCCAGCGTCCAGCAGCACCTGCATCAGCTCTTCATAGCGGGACAGGTCGTCCAGCTTTTGGTAGGGACCCACACTGTCCACCACTCCGTGGAAGGGGGTAAAGGCAGGGAGCTTGTCTCTAGACCGCTTGTTCCTGGATTTTGTCGTGACATCAGCCCCATGTTGAAGCAGGAGTTTGACTATGGCCAACTGGACCCTGTTCGCGGCCAAGAATAAAGGCGTGTCTCCATCCACAGCCGTGTTGACATCACATCGCCCGCTCTCAATCAAAGCCTGGGCGCTGGTAATTTTACCACTTTCGCAGGATCGATGTAGAGCCGCAGTCAGAGCGACAGGGTCTGCGGTGGCAGCCAATTGGCGCACCTGATCCACATCTTCCGCATCAACTGCCGCGTGGAGCGGAGATAGAGGCTCCTTCTGCTCGGAGAATCCTATACTGTCCTCAAGCCCTCCAGGCATTGCACTACGGAGAGAAGACAGGAAGTCCATGATGCGGCGAATTGTGGGACTAGGAGTCAAAAGGGGCAGGTGTGGTCCCTGAAATAAATATTGCACGCTTAGCCTCGTCTAGGCTCCCGTGGCAAAAGCAAGCACCCGTTAATCTCCCGCTCTCGCCTTGCGCACTTCTGCCTGGATAAAAGATCAATCGAGATAGATGTGTCTTTCTGACTCTTTCGTGGCGGAAAAAAACATTGTTATTCCATGCCCAATCTCATGCAATCTTGGCAGCTTCAGCCTCAATGATGAGTTAGCGATGACGGCCGGCGATGATTTAAGTCGGCTCTATATGAATAGAGATTGTTTCGTTGTTCGATTTTATTTTACCCATAATATATCACTTCTGGCTTGTTGCGTCCTACCCTCCCAATATATATTCCCGCAAGACTGACAGGACACATCCGTGTATGGCAAAAACCACAACAGTGGAACAGATCATTCTCTAGTTTACTAAATAACATTTGATAAAGAGAAATAATTACAACTTCAATAACCCAAAAACAAAAACAATAGTAGGAGCCAGACCAAACGAAGGCAAAAAAGAAACTCTCCCTCGGGGAATCGAACCCCGGTCTCCCGCGCTTATCGGTGTTAATGACAAGCGGAAATCATCACCACTAGACCAAGGAAGATGCAGTCGAGTTAACTCGACCATTGGCTGGTTGATGGAAATATCAGCTCACATTGACAATATGAATCAATCTTGTATTGAGCCGTTTTCCCCTTCTCAATTCTTTTCTTCCATATTACTCCAAGCATCATAGAACACACTTTGCATACTAGAGTTTTATTAGATTACATTACTTTTACTTTGGACAATGACATGCTTCATGGTATATAAATTTCATGTGCTAAAGTGCAATATCTGCTCCGTTCATATTGTAATTGACTGTATAATGGAATAGAACACAAACTCGTCCACACAATGAGATATAAAATCCAACGCAATTCAAGACACAATGAGAACCAAGCATTCGGAAATAGAGAGAGGACACACAGGCACGATTGGCACAACCCAAAATTGGACGGCCATACGGCCATATAGATCGAGGGCAGGGGCTCGAGCTGAAAACGAAGTAGTGCCACAGCTGATTCGCTAATGCATAGCGTTCGGGAGGGTGAAAGCCCAAGTGCAGTCACACCCCTACAGGGTGGACCACACTCGGTTCCGGGACCTTGAAGCAAAATAGCTTTCAAATCATGGCGGATCAGGTATTGATTCTCGCCGAAAGGTCGGGGTGGGCATCGTCATAAGATGGACGTGAAGCAGAGGGCAAACCAGACAGAGTAGATCCGACAGGAGTTCCACATGTTGGACGTATCCGAGATAGCAGAGCAAGACCGTGTATTCAGCTCTCCTTGCGGAGCTTATCGAGGCTATCACGAACAGTCTCGCGAACACTGAATCCACCAAACAGCCAGTCGTTGGAGTGACGACCGTAGTGGTTGACAGTGCCACTGTAGCGTTTGTAGTCATCGCTGTTTTTGCGGGTGGGAGTAAATGCACGCTTGGGGCAGTCCACCTTTGGAGATTGAGGCGAGCTCATGCTGGACATCTGGGTGGGACTGGTTGCGGTGTAGCCTTGGTCCGGGAAGTATGAGGTTTTAGACTTCTGCGGGATGTCTCGAGGCTGTGACATTTTGTCTTGGTTGTTGGAGATATTTATTGGTGCAGGAGTCTTGGATCGGAAGAGCTTGGAGAGGGGGTTTTTAAAGTGCTTCTCTTGAGACAACTGGCTGAAGCTTGAGGTAGCTGATGTTTGGGAGAGGGATCTCTTTGGGTAGATGTTGGACTGAGTGTGCATGAAGATAAATATGAGGTAAAGGATGAGAAATAGAAACGAAGAAGCCTGCGGGAGGGGTTTATTTATGTTCAGGGTAGAGTGATTTCGGAGTGATCGTCGGGGATTGCTCTGTAGGGCAACCAACCAGAATGCAGCATAAAGTACAACATTATAGCTATGATGTAGTCAAATACGGACAAAGGAGCGCCCTCGGTAGACACAAGACCAATCAACTTCATAACATATGACTGAGAAACGGACCGATCCACAATCCAACCAATAGACATGGAAGGGAGGACGTTGGCATATCCACTGGTAAGGTTTAGTGTGAATTGTTGTTGTCGGTGAGATTGTAGGTCCAAGTGCCCTATCGCCCGTTCATCAGCCAATCAACGATTGTTTCTGCCTTGGAGCCTCCTTTTCCCACCCTCTGGCCCCCGCAGATTCACCGCTTGAACTCTTCACATGTTTTTTTGGGGGGGACTTTCATTCAACACACCTCTACTGCACTTTCCGGAATGTGCATACGTGTACTTCGTATACGGAGTACGGACTGCAGCTATTTCCTAAGATGGAAGTCTTCCGCAATTTCTCTAATTCCTACAGTAGAACCGTGATTTTGTTACGCCCAAGTGGGTCACTGCGGGTTACTCTCCGCGTTAGTATAAACAAGAACTCGAGCCCTATGAGACATCCCGTGCTCCAATTTTCTTGTGTTCGCTAATAAAATCCACTAATTTTCCTTCTAGCGTCCTTCTAGAATGCCGTGCTAACCGACCTCGGGAGGGACACGGTAGGGATACATAGTGCATGAGTCACCTGGCCCCACAACCTTGGACGTCTGTGAGCTCAGCTTGAAAGGAATAAACATTGATAATGGTGTTGGGCACTTGGCACAATTACTATGCAAAGGCTGAGTGTGGAAAATTCGACCTCATGCCTACTCAAATTCCTCGGGGTTGGCTATAATGATGTCAACTGATTGAGGAGAGGCTATGACCGAGAGGATTTTGATGACTTATGCGACAGTGTCAAATTTAATTATGACCACCTGGGCATGGCCGGGGTGTCTTCTCGCTTACGTGGCCCGTCGATCCCCCGGGCGGAACGGCTTGGCTTGATCTCCGGTATTCGGCCATGAGAAGCATCAGATAAATATTGCATCCCTATCAAGCAAAGGGCAAATGATATTTCCATTATCTCGCCCCAGTGAGTCAAGAAATATGAAAAGTCAATATGGGAACATACAAGACACGTTCGAACATTCACTCGAGATGTGAAGTAGAGAAGCTATAGCTATTGTGTAATCTGCTGATGTATGTATGTTTAACATATGCGGGAACGAACAGTGCTTTAGGTTAGGGTTTCATAACACATGGCTCATTATGACTATGAGATACTACTTCTTTTATAACAACCAAGATTAATCGCAAGAATCCACCTCGACGCTATACAGCCACAATGGCTGGTGCTGGAAATCTCGTCATTGCACTCGAGAACAGTGATCCAGGGTATTTCTGAAATTTTCTTCTCTTGCGGTTCCACTGACGAAGTTCTAGCTCCTAGCTCATGCATTGTCATATTGTCTGGCATGTAAGCCAGAGTTTAAGGCTACAGTGCGTATAGCATCAGGAAGAGGTACCGTAGTTGGTGGTTTCTGTGCTGGCCAATCTGTGCCAAGTGGGAGGCTTGTCATAAGAGTTCTTCACATAAGAAGCATGATACGGAAATTTGAGACTCAAACGTGATGATGTTAGGGCAAGCATGTTGTTGATATATAGACTTTGTACCTACGGGGTGGTATCTCTTCGGTGAATATCGAGGGCAAGACGGAGCAAGAGCCTGGGTGGGACACTGAATTTCTTCTCTACTTATTTTTGCATATGTGCCCGAGCTTTGAAGACACATAGAACAATTCCAGCAACAGTTCAACAGAATGGGAATTACCTGGTCGCAGATCTTCCCGCCCCCTCCTACCCTGACCGAGGTCAACCTCCCCAGTCAGAATGGCAAAGTGTTTATTGTAACTGGAGGATACTCAGGAGTTGGCTTTGAGATATGCAGAATTCTTTATCGAGTAGGAGGAACGGTATATCTCGCGGGTCGGTCTGAAGAAAAGGCATTGGCTGCGATCGCGAAGATCAAACGCTTGTGTACCCCGACTTCCCCAGAGGGAAACATCATGTTTCTCCCCCTGTCGCTTGATGACCTCACAACTATCAAGCCCGCAGTGAAGATGTTCACCACAGCTGAATCTCGTCTGGATGTTTTATTCAACAACGCTGGTGTTTCTAATCCTCCCCAAGAGACTTCGCCCCAGGGTCACGACCTGCAATTGGCAACTAATTGTCTCGGGCCGCATCTCCTCACTCAACTGCTTCTGCCAATACTGCGGCGAACGGCTGAAGATACATCGGTCTCCAGTGTACGGGTAATCTGGACAGCATCGATTGTTGTTGATGCATTCGTGCTTGAGACCGGGATGGAGCTCGCAGAACTATTACAGAAAGGCACAGACAAATCACGCTATTACTTCAACACCAAAGTGGGAAATTGGTTTTTGGCAGATTCCCTCGCAAGTCAGATTGGGGGAGATGGGATCCTGAGCCTGGTGCAGAACCCAGGGAATATTAAGACGAACATCATGCGCCATAGCCAGGCTTATGTTCCTGTTCTTCTTGGGCCGCTGCTTTACGCCCCTAGGTTTGGGGCATATACTGCTATCTGGTCGGCTTTTGCCAGTGATTTAAATATTGATGATGGGGGAAATACATATTGCCCTGGGGCCGTATACACCCTTGTCCAAGGGATGATTTGCTGCGAGCCATGAAAGGAACGGAAGAAGGAGGCACTGGGGTTGCAGCGGCATTTGTAAAATACTGCGATAAGCAGATTGCAGAGTTTCTGTAGTTGCAATTTCATGCCGTCGAAGCTTTTGAAATTGCTCACGTCTCCCTTTCTAGAACTCAATTTCCACAATCTGGGCATGCTCAAAAAGAGATTACAATGCAGAGCAGGCAAAACAGTTTAACAAAGAGATGTTATTACCATGGTCAGTCATTCTTCATATTCCTGAAGTGTCCACAATGTAGCGCTCGGTTTTCTCCATGCGCGTGGTTGTTCAGAATGACACCTCCGATGTCGTCTTTCAGCCATGGGTTCTGCTGCGGACGCTGAAGACCTCCCCCCTATCTGTGTTTAAGAGATAGTCCCGGAAAACTGCCTGCTCATTCAAATCTCTGTGTGGTATAAATTCAGACATAAGATACGAATCATTAGATGTCGTATTTGAAGGAACGACAAACAAAGAGCGAGTCTTGCTCAAGGGTGGCCGACGTGCCAACCGGCGTAGAACACTCCGGTAAGCCTGCTTTGTCTGCCCTGATGATCCCGACCGCGAACTCTGATTGCTTCGTCCCGTGGATGATTGAAACCAGAACCGAGGAATCCGTTTCGGTTGACGAGAAAGTTCGGGCATTCCCATATCACCACAAAGCAACTCCTCTGTGCGGAGTGGAGCCACCGTAGCTCGCTGTAAAGATAGTGGGATATAGGCATAGGTTGTGGGACCCCCAAATGGGTTGAATACATGGACTTCCAGCCCGTGGGGCCCACGCATGCACAGTTCAGAGCCGCATTGAGGCCATGTGTGGTGTCTTCTATGACCAGTAGGACGCATATTGAAAATCACTGAAAGAGTGGGAGATCAGGTTGACTGGACACAAAATGCTGACAAAATTTATCCTGTGTTCATGATGTATATTTGAGGTGAGAAGAAAACAAGCTAAGACAAGTAAACATCGATAACGGCTTTATAAAGCCCGCGGGTAGTATATTTAGTCAGCTTGCAAGTGTAGAGCAATACATCATTCAGAGGTTTTCCCGGGTGACCAAAGACTCATCTGCGAGTGAGAATGACCCAGATGCAGATCAAAATGCCAGGAACCTGGAAGTTCAAGATTCAGGTGCCAACAGGTTAGGAGCACAGAGAAAGAAAGAGAGAACGGATTTGTGTCAAGTGCCGTGTGAATCACCTTTTACACCAATATGCCTAATTTAATAAATTTCCTAGTATGGAATTGGGTCTCTTGTCATCTCCAAGGGCATGACCTTCTGACCTGATGTGGTCTATGACGGCGGATTGTCCCATGACACGAGAGGCGTTGAATTTCATTGCACTCAAAGAGTCCAAATAGACAAAGCAGATTTTCGGTGACATTTTTGCAAAATATCCACGTCTTGAACTATAGTCTTGATGCGTCAGTGATGCATTTAGGTACAGAAATGTACCGAGTACTTTGGTCCATGGGTAACTCGCATAATGAACACAGGTACCCCATACCTGTCAGCTTGGAATCACTACACCCATTATATAAGCAACGGCACAGCCCGCCGGACCCGCCCACTACCTATGGCTAGGTGGATGGTGCCTGGGCATTGTCTATCAAGGACACTTCAACCAACCAGCCCTCGGCGAAATGTTGGACCCTAACATTGTCTCACTTTCCACTGTCGGTACTCACATTGTGCATCTGTTTTCCTAGATACTAGGACAGTGGATTAAGAAGGGATGGAAATTCTCTTCTGACTTCGATAAGTTTCATAGTGCTTACTCACAGCTTCTTAACACAGCCCATTATCCTTTCATTTCGTTGAAGTGCTTCTGTTTCTGCTTGAATCTTTTTACTTGCCATTCAACACGTCTTGAAATATAGTCTTGTTATCTTGATGGATCTTGCTTGAGACTCTCCTTCGATATGTCAGATCATTCCGTGGACCCCAAACCAGGCAGCTATTCTCCCGTTACGAAAGAAGAAAGCGCGGATGAGAATGGCCACAGCCCTCGTTCACTTTGGACGCCATTTTTTCTGCGGCGCCTGACCATGATAGTCTTCTTGATGGGGTTTCTGTCATGCTTGGGTACACTTATTGCGCTGTATGTGTACACTGAGCGACAGGATCACAGTCTGGGTATCAAGACAGACGGAGATAAGTATTACTATCCCTAGAAATATAGGCCAACCGCAGGTATACAAGTCCTCTATGATTCGGGTTGAGCTTAGGATTTCTAACTCCTTCGTAGTGTTTAAAATCTTCACAGTAGGCTAGACGCAGACCGAATACCGTGCTGTCCAGCTGATACCGTGGGCTTTGATGCTTCGTGGTCCAACCCCAGCTTCGCAGAGTATCTTCCTCGACTATCTATCGAAATTGAACATTGTATCACTGTACCAATCGCTCAAGCAGAGACACTTTCTGGTATCTCTCTGCGTTGCAGGATCTCTCATTTTGAATAGTGTTACGGTGTTTTCCACCGGTCTCTTCGAGCTGGACTCAGTACTGATCAATCATCCTGCTAACTTAACGGTTCCCAGCAGGTTTAACGGGGCAGATTATGACCCTGATATGATTGACGCTAAGCCTATTGTTTCTTGCATGGCATTTTCAGCCCATAATATGACTCGCCCTGTTGGTATACACGAGACATTCGTGTACACCCCTTTTCAACCATCTGAATCAAGCTCAATGGAGAACGACACTGTGCCCGCAGATAGGAGCTATCAGGCAGACGTGGAAGTTGTCGAGCTTTCTTTTGATTGCCAGAATGCGACCACCTCTTTTGAGCCATCCTCTTTTGATTATTTCACTGGAGACACCCCGGTATACAAAACCCCCGACGGCTGTCGTTTTCAACAATTAAAATATGCACTGAGCGCAATGTATGAGCTAGATACCAAGTATGGTATTGATATCGATCTCAGAGGATGTCAAGGCGAGAAATTGAATGGCTCTGGACCCAGCTATCTCGGGCCGTATTCGAGCGACTGGGACGCTGATTGGCGTATTTGGGCAGCTATTGCTCCATCAGTAGGCTTTGAAATGCCGAATACCATGAATTATACGGGGTGGGCACAACGTTCAATTCATGTTACTGTGTGCAAGCCCCGCTATACCACATACCGGGGCCCAGTGAGAACATGGCGGGAGGCCGGAGAAAGTGCCGTTTCCGTAGATATCCAACGGGAGCGCTTGAATGTTGTAGAGGGAATTCTTGGTGTACAGGCATCGAAGATTATGTACAGTGGTTGGAAGTCAGCGTCAGGGGGATACTTGCCGAGCGAAAGTGCCCCAGGAACCGAGTTTACCTTTGCAGCAAATGGTACTTCGCGAGATGAGCTTTGGGCAAATATGACGGCATTTACTCATGCCGTAACCAATTCGCTATCATGTCTGATGCAGCAGACTGTGAAAAATAAGCTAATGCGATACGAACCGCATCGTGTTGAGGGAACAGAGCAATTGATTGAGAACCGACTATTTGTGCGTCAAATGTCGTTTTGGCTGATGGCAGTCCTACTGGTCATGTCAATTGCTAATGTCATCGTTCTTCTTTGCTTTTTTGTTCCCGTTGCTGTGTGCCCACGAGACACCGGGTCTATTGGAGGAGTTGCTACTATCCTTGCTCAAAGTTCAGAGTTTATGAGCGGATTTGATGGATTACAGTTCGTATCAGAAGAGAAAGTGGCGGAGTCCAGACTAGCCCAGACACAGTACAGTACCCTGAGTGACACGAAGGGGGCTTTCTTGCTTCTTCCAAAAGATCGGTCCATGTTCCAGCCTCTCGAATCTAGTAACGGCGAGGACTCTTCTTCGCCTACCTGGTGGCAACCATTTTCATCCAGCTGGTTTCTTCGAATTGCTGTGGTCATCATTCCTCTTGCCGTGATCATTGGCCTCGAAGTTGTCTACCACATCTCTACCAATGGACGCGGGATAACCCTAGTCGATGGTAAGTCACCATATATTCACTACATCTGGACCTATGTCCCGGCGTTGATCATGTTTATCATTCGTTGTCTTTTCACATCTGTCGAGTTTGGTACACGTATTGTTCAGCCTTGTTCCCGTCTCCGTGAGGGTTTTGCTCCTGCAGAGACATCCATATTTGAGAACCAGCTACGCAAGATCGCCCCCTTCGCCGTGTTTGACACACTACGAAAAAGACAGTGGGCACTAACTGCTGCCACAATATCCCTTCTTCTGGCGGCCATCAACCCCATCGTTGTATCAGGTCTTTTTACTGCCAAAGCCACGGGGCGCACATCCCCCATGAATCTCACGCAAATCACTCGCTGGAATCTAGGCGACCCTACCACTTCCAATGTCCTAATGCAACGCCAGGAGCAGCAACACAGCTCTAGTATTGACCCTACAGCTGGTCTCATCCTCAACCTCAATCTCTCTTATCCCCAATGGACATATCGTAATTTGGTTTTCCCCCGATTCGCACTCACCACAACTGTTCACCCGCCACCGGACACAGGGTTCATCAATGCCCGAATCCCTGCCCTCCGCAGCCGGTTGACTTGTGCACCAGACCCGGCAAACGGGGGTACATGCAAGATCAAAAACGGAAGATGGGGGTGTGAGGTTAAATCCCCTTGCTTCTCTCCCATCGGTGGCGAGGTTCTTGAATCTGATATCGAGTATTTCCTCACAGACTCAAGTCCGCGATCCAGCAATGTACCTTCAAACTGCTCTACGCACGCTATTATGTACGGCAAAAAGAATCAGGATAATGGTTACCGTGGCGCCCCTAGCATTTACCATTATATCTACTGCAACGCTACCATCGAAGAGGTAGAAGTTGATACAAAACTCCACCTTCCCTCGCTTTCAATCGACTCCGACACCCCACCCAGGGTAGTTGAGGGTTCGGCTCGGACACCATTCAAAACAAATAAGGAATCGTTACCCGCAATCTTACGATTAAGCTCTTACCTCTTTGTATCCGATCCCAGATTCAAGAACTCGTTCCTCGATGCGGTTGCAAACGGCATCAATGGCGTCCCATTAGATGAGCTTCTCGACCCGGAGAAATTGATCAATCGTGTCAATGAGGTTTGGGGCATTATCATGGCTCAATTACTCAACACTGCTGCGAGGGATTCTTTCGACGACTCATTCAACGCGACATACTTTGTTGAGCCCGCCACCATGAACGCACCTATTTACACCGGTATCTTCCATGACGGACGAAAGTATCTCGTGCAAAGCGAGATCTCGACTCGGATTCTTGATGGCGTGCTCGGCAGCATGGTTGTGTGCGCGTTGATAGCGCTGTATGTGATGCGTACAAAGAGGGTCCTTCCTAAAAGCCCAACTAGCATTGCTGCTGTTGCCAGTTTCCTCCACGGCTCACGTATGCTGAGCTCTGCCATTCCTCATGGCTCAGGGTGGTGCGGTGATGAGGAGTTGAACAAACGGGGGGTATTTGAGGGCCGCTCGTTCTCGATGGGTTGGTGGGAAGTGGAGAGGCAGAGGAATCGGAGCCAGTCTGATGTTTCTAGTGTCTCGAGAATGTCCGAGGAGAGGGTTTCTGGGGAAAGTGTTTCTGGGGAAAGTGTTTCTGGGGAGGAGACACAGACGTACGCTGAGTTTCATGGAGATCAAAACCCTCCTGACGAGCAGAACGGTCATAAACAGACTAGATTTGGGATTGATGTTGATGTTGCGGATAGACCGTTGTTGCGTAATGCCTCTCATATCTAGGAGACATCATATATAACATGCGGAGGTGCTCGAAATCAGAATCACTTTACTCTCCTTGACTTTTTGCCAACCTATATACGGGGTTGAATACGAATAAACTTGAGGTTCTTTATTTGTAAACGTAATAGAATGTGAGGGTCTTCACAACCATTTTGAGCGACGGGGCCTTGTAGTGGGCTTATCTAATGATGTGCGTTGGACGAATAATAGGCGGTGTCCCAAGGTCCTTCTACAAGCCACGACTAGCCTGATCAGGGCCTTTTTGCTGTAACCCGACCTCTATCGTGAGCATTCAATGAGATATTTATAGTTATCTAAGGCTTATTTTTTAGCAAAAGTCAAAAGGGATGGAGATTAACTTCATAATACGATCTGGACAAAGTCACGAGGCACTTTTCCATTTGGTCTGTTCAAGCCTTAAACAAAGCTGCGATCCAATCCTTGCACAATGTGTCTTAGCCCCCGTACAAATACCGGTTTTCTTTCCTAGGTGCTGCAAAGGACTAGACCATACTAGATCGCACATTCATCTACTCACTCTAGTAACGGCAAATCTCCGAGTACTCCACTTAGGCATCGGTTTGGCGATCGTATCATATTGCGGCACTAGCTTTTTCTGGTTACTTGGGAATCTATGAAAATATGACAAACGTCAATTTGGTACTTAGTGCACTCGATCTCTATTACACGACTCTCGGCAATGTGTACCCATATATAGTTGAAATTGCTTGCCCCGCTCATGAACACCATCTGAGCAAACCCCGTGGATATAGTAAGCTAGATAGTTGGGCCGCCAGCCTTGATTTTGTTGGTTTTAATAATTGCATTCAGCGTGTTTTCGGTCGCGCTACGAAAAAGAATGATCAGCAATGTTTTAACTCTATTATGAATTGAGTATTCTCTAGTTGGCCGTTTGCTTATCTCACGCAAGCCATTATCAAAGGGGAATTCATGATGATTGGACCGGTGACGAGTGAAGTTGAATCCAGAACACTACGCTGTGTGTTCATGACCATTACGCCAGAGTTAATATGGGGCCGCCTGGTCCTTTCGTCCGGGCCGGAGCCGACATGTCTATCATCGAGCCAGTAAGTAGACGATGATATCACGGCCCGGGGCAGAAATCGCGCAAGGGGGGATGCAAGCCCGGGGTTTGATGAAACCGATGGTGATCCCGAAACCCTAAAAGAGTCTCAAGTTCCTTCATGTGAACCGAGGGAAAATGGTGATTTGTTTTAGCCCCCTGATGAAAGGTATCTGCAGCTATCTTGGAAAAAAAATCTGCAGAGATCAACTTTTGGTTCGGCGTTGGTTAGTGCAGGCGCTAATAGAAAAAAAAAAAAAAAGAAAGCACTTGGGACTGGAATAGTCAATAACGCAAAAACTCAATTAAAGATACAATAAAGGATATGTTTGGTGGAATTATCTGAGAAAAATGGGATATAGATTGCTCGAGACTAGGATGGATTTGCATTTGTTCGAGAAGGACTTGGTACCCTTCTCATAGCGGCTCATGGTGGAAATCCTCCGCGTGGCGAAAAAAAAGAACCATCAGTTGCAGCTTAAAGATGAATAACGCCGGAGGTCCCCCGAAGCAGACCAAAAGGAGGAATGCTATATGTCCTTCAATCATGCACCCTGCCATGCGGCAATATCCGCAGCGGAAATATCGAGGTTCTCAGCCGTAAGCCTCTGTAGTCGTGCCACCTGAGTGGGAGCTAGAGTTTTGAATATCAGCGAGAGTCCAAAAGGGGCAAGCATGGGGCCGGGGACAAATGTTGGTCCTAAGGAGGGAAACGCGTCGAAGAGGGGCAGGTCAAAAGAGAACGGGAAAGATGATCAGAAGTGGTAAAGGGTCCCGGAACAAAGCGCAAAATACGACAGAAAGCAAAGGAAGTTGACCCACTTGGCCGTTGGGCAGCCGCACCGGCGTGCACATGGATGACCGTCGAATCAGCATACTCCTTTGTCACAACACCGTTGTAGGAAGCTGCACTAAGCATCACTCGCAGCCGAAACTTCCCTGGCTGCGAGATAGTGAGCGGGCTAAGTTTCGCATATCCGCTAATTGAGTTGTCGGCTCGGCTCCGCACGCTTGCCGTGAGATTACCACTTAGGCCAACGGCTGCTCCTGTTCCAGCTTCGTCGCGGAGGGAGGCGCTCACGACAAGGTGCTGAACATTTTGTGCGGGTGTCCCAATTGGGTTCACGGCAATGACTACTGGGATTGTGAAGGGGGACCCGGGTTGGATGGCGGTTGGGGGAGTAGTCTCGAAGGACAGTGTGAATTCACGACCGGCCATTCTCGTTTTTGTGGGACGGTAGGGTGCTTAAGGACAGACGAATTGCGTTGAATCACTTATGGATATGAAAGGTATTCAGGCTTGAGGAGTTATAGGAATGAGGAGATCGTGGAGCTGTAACCGTGAAGTTTGATTGAACAAGATTCGGATGGGGTGGATGCAAGAAGAATAAAGGGAACGATGGATGAAATGGATGAGGATATAGGCAAGGCAACTAAAGTCAGAGCTCAGAGAATAATGAATACGAGAATCAGGCCAAGCGCAAACATGGCCGCACCCAGGGCTTCATATACCACATGGCGCTCGCCGAGAACAATACCAGACATAGGTACATTGGACCCATAACCTCAATTATGTGTTAAGTCACGATGGGGGCCACGGGAATGTCGCCACCATCCAAAAGTACACGATTAGCCCAGGTGATGGTCTGTGACAAGGTAACCGGGACGGCCAAGGACCATCGTCCCTACTGAAACAAGAATTGTGAGCTCAATAAAAGGTCTGCTCGGCATAATGCAGGATCCTTGCAGCATCACGTTCCGGCAACAGGGATCGAACAGTGGGGCACGTACAGAGTACCACATGCTTTGTTTTTGTTTAGGCTGATCGACGGGTACGCGTCCTGGTGAAAGATTAGGTGTGGAGAAGGTACGAGATCTGTGAGATCGAAGATGCACTGCACGAAATCCGAAGCTAGTGTCAGGATCGACCCCGGGATTACCTCCCGACAGGGGTTCCACCATGGTCTTTCAAAACGTACCCATTTTGCACACTGACCCTGATGGAGCCGAGGTTTCCTGTGGAAACCTGACAAATCTAACAGAGAGATGGCTTGGCATGCATAATTGATGTTCATGTGCAGTAGGAGTTAATGGAGGCAGATTTAGGACATTCAGGACTTCAAGGGGATGGTGTGCTGACTTGGGGTTTATCCTTTCAACAGTTTCGTGCACGGATCAAGGTTCCTGCCCAATGTTGCTCGGTCTCTATCGCAGCGTCCGCGTCGTGCCCTGTTAGCATTTGGTGAATCGCAAGTGTCACCGCTGGACCCTACCTGCTCGATGTGGCGCACTACTAGTATGCAAGTATCTCATCTTGGCCATGAACATGGTACAAAGTACACGGTTCGGAGTACGGAGTAGATACAAATGTACTAGCTTTGTGATGGAGGTGCCTACTCCACCTAGACCTACTTTAAAATGATCACCCCTTCGGACTAAAGGATCTCTGGCTTTGTCTAGCCCCTTTGACCAGCAAATGCAAGCCACAGCCCAACGGTGAAGTGTGGCGTTTGTGGAGTCGAGTGAACATCATAGCCACTCGGAAACCCCGACATATCCAATTTTGAAGCCTGAAAGCCTATTTTCCGACATGAGAATACTTTTCCCCCCTCGGAATCTATTAGAACGGGGTTGCCTAATGTGGATAAAACTGAGGCGGTAAATTAGAGCTTGTGGATGTTGTAGAAGTGGACATTCTGACAAAATGAAGACTCAGCCTTACTAGCCAGGCCGGATCCCGCCTTTACAGATACATACTCCATGTGGTATGCCAGGGAACTGGTTCGGGATCTGAGATTAACTCCACAAGAAGCTTGAATCATCTCTGTGATCCTATTACAGTCTTCAAGAGCTGAGCGATCGTCTCGACGATCTCATCAATAATTCAAATCAGTCAACGCCCCACCGCTGCTGTGGAAATAAGTACCGTGCGGAGTACCGGGGAGAACAATATCCTTTGCTTTTAGTGGCCCGACGCCCGCTTAGTTGGGTAGGAAATTGTGACGCAGGCGCATGTAGAACGAAGTCTGATCCCAAGTGCTGGGAAATGATGCAGCTGCAGCCTGCAAGACAGGTTTTGGCGCTGTACTTCACCAGGCGAGAAGGACAATCATCGAAATAGATTAACAGGAAACCGACCAGAACTGGAGATCATAATACCCAACGCAGATGTGGCGTCTGAAGCCCAACAAAAAAAAAAACAAAAGCAAAAGAAGACACAACCTTGTTTTGAAAGTCAATAATCGCACCGCCATCATCTCAGCCGCAAGTGGCTCGAGCGTGGCTTATCTGTGGCTATGACTGCAAGGAGTGGCGCAATATATGTGGCTGTCTATCGTGCCCTTTCCTAATTTGGCAGGTGGGCATAAATCGTGGGTTCCCCGGCTCAATCGTCGATCATTGCCAAGGGTTATGAGTCCATGAGATTTATACAAAAGCACCGCCGATCATCAAAATTTTAATCTGAGCTTTGGGCTTGGTTAGCGTCACTGCTATAGTATTTTGCCACTCAGAGGGAGTCTGGAACCTCTAGGCCTCTGTCAGATTCAGAGAAGTCGGCAAAGAGTTGAACGCTTGCTGCCGAGAATTTCATATGCAGGAATGTGGTGGATAACCACTATTGATCCTTGCCAGCCAAAAGTAGAAGATAGGTCATGGAGATAAGCAGCATGGAGTCCTAACTTTTGGAACATTGTGAGTAGTAGCCTTCTCCGGGATATCCGGTATAGAGCAACCGCTCAAGTGTAACCCATGTCCACTCTGAAATTCTTTGCCCGCACGGACGGTTCATTTGAATGCCTGACGCAGCCCCGAAAACAGGTCAAGTCTCATGAGCTAGATTTTGTGATGATAGCACAAGACAACATTGACGTATGATGTGTCCCCTGAGATGATGGAGCAATAGTCCACGAAGGCTTGCTATATGTGTGTCCGCGTAGGAGAGAGAGAGTATGACAGTGGCTGGCTGCCCAAGGCACATTGAATGAGATTTATTTGGGAGAATATCTATAATATACTGAATAAATCCAACCAGCAAGGACCGACCTAGCCGAAAACATCACTGCATCTAAGGGCCTGCAGGGCCCTGAGGGAATTTTTCACCGTCAATAGTAAGATTTGATCGGCCGTGACAACGACGTCCTTGCCCTTCTTTTTCTTGGTCTGGCCCGTCGTTAATAGTAAATAACAACGCTGTTGTAACTTGAGTGAATCGCAAATAGCTGAGACCGATACCGACAAAGTAATCTCAAGCATTGTAGGACATTTTGCAACCACAATGTATTATCACATGGTATTTGCCATTACTTCGTCAGCCCAGAAATCAACACTGTGAAACAATATCACTGCGACAAATGTTTGTGTCCAGGAAATGTCGAAAAGAAGGTCGGAAAGTTCCAGGCATGACTTGCTACTTCCTCATCTCTCCCACCTGTCTCATTTGCACATTACGAGCAGATAGACTTGACGACGCTTTATGCTCTATATCCTTACCGATTCATAGAGAGTGTATCCAGGCTTCCGCTAAATGGCGCCACTGGGCACTCGACAGAGCCACTCTCTAGGTCCTGGCATCCCACGTCCCCCCAAAAGACCTCCAAACACCGCGGTCAAAGTTCATAAGTCAATTGACCCCACGGTATTCGTTGAGTTATTTGTTGGAACCGTCGGGATATTCATAATCGCAGTCGTGTTTTGGAAACTCGGGCGGTTCATCAGGCGGTTCAATCGAAATAAGGTACTGGGGGCAGACAGAAATACCAACACCCGATACGCACGCACATGGTATGGCTGGGTCGCGTGGCCGACACACGAGAGGAATAAACAGGCAATTCGTGACTTTTTCGCTCGAATTCGGAAGTTAATGGTGTGGAACTCGACCCCAGAAGATTATAGTTGGATTTGGTGGGATCCTGGCGATGTGGAAAAGCAAAAGCATCTCCAAGAACGAAAAGGACTTCGTTGGATACCAGATTGCCTCAAGAGCTATGATGATTCTCCAACTGCCGATGAAATCTGGAATTGTTATTCGCGACCCAAGTGTCATGGAGCACTGAAGGACAGCGTCTCAATGCTCCAGCCTGTTCCAGCGACTGGCTCTGCGCCGCAGCCGCACGCGCATGAGCATGAGGACATATCGGAATCATTCTTGCCTCGGCAATCCAAGTTGATCAACAACCAACCAGTCATCATTCGTTCAATTCTAGAGGAACTTCTCAGGGACTCACTACAGCCAAAGGAAGGCAGTTCTGATTACCAGCCCTGGTTCAATTCTCGTAAGAATGCAGCAAATCCAGCTACTCGCGCGCCGATACCATTCCACCAGGTACAATCATTACCATCTCGACAGCATAAATACTACCAAATCCAAGAATCAACCCCATGGTCGTGTGGTGAGAGGTCCCAAGCTATCTCATGTCAAATCGAATCAATCGTGGAGCATGAGGGTCTCCAATATGGAATAGTAGAACCGAGTGGCCCAATGCACACGAAAGAAACTAAATCACATCACCGGCATGGTGACCACCGCAAATATCGTGGATGGTCAGCACGAATGCAGATGGGTCCAAAAGACACAATATTTAACAACATACGGGATTCATCTGGCCCTCCAGGGACACCACGGACTGAGTTGTTGGTCAGCTATGTCACAGATCCGAGCTCTTCTTTTCGTGGTCACCACGAGAGGCAGCCAAATAGCAACGAAGGGTGCTTGCATATCTCAGAAGATAGAACATCGCTCACTTCTAGACTACTCATTGGAGATCAAGTTTTGTTCTCGAACGAACAGCAGACATATACCAAAACCATCCAATGGAATTCGGCCCCAGCAAGATGTGATTTCCAAGGAAAAGGGACCAGTTCGAAAGCAAGGCCAGCATTGTCTGATCACTGGCGATTCATGTGTGACCTAAAGCATCATAGCCTGTCCCGCCGTGAAGGGAAAAGGCCGGAAATAGACGCCACTCGATGCTCCGCTGAACAATCCCAATTGAAAATAGGAGACACCGTCCATGAGTTAAGTGATTGGGAAGTCAAATTGATGGAGAGGCTGGATCGAAAACTGTTATGGCTCTTCAATGAATTCACTCCAGGGCAGAAACCATACCATTTTGCTTTGCTAGCCAACCACTGGCTGAATAGAGAAACATGGATTGTTTATGACCCTGTGTCCAGAGTTTCCACCGACGCACGCCGGCTGTGGGGAGACCCACGATTCAATGTCCCTTATTCGCAGCCGGTTTTCAGTCCCATACCAAAATACCCTGCGTCCAAACGGAAACGCGCACAGACTCCTCGCATTGATTCCTGGCGGGCTGCAGTGAATAAGCAGCGGAAGGTATCTGGGATACGAGACGCCATTCGCACTATTACACTGTATGATGAATCGATCGAGGACCCACCAGATGGCCATATCGATCCAGGCTGCTGGGCGTTGCCGAAACCGCCTCAAGGCTTTGAGATGTCCACTGCACAGAAAAATGCCTGGTATGAAGGAGGGGCGGGCTGGCAAGAAACACTTGATAATTGGCAGCAAGTCCGCCGGGGCTATCGTGTTCACAAAGCCCTCCACGAAGGCCGCGTCAATCGGGGCAGGATCAAGGAAGTGGCAGCTCAAGTCGACAAGTTTTATCGTAATGCATCCCGAAAATTGATCCCAAGCTATGATCTTGGGAAAAGAAAAGTTCCAACACTCCCTGTCTCATGATCCTTCTCGAAAGGTCGCTTTTCAGTCTTTTTTATTCGTTTTGTCCTGCTGTACCTGGAATCCAACCAAGCCTCGCACTCCGCACTCATTTGAAATGCGTTCAATCATTCATAACCTCTGGTGCTATACGCTCACTACCACCATGTCTCTCACTGCATCTATATCATTAGTATACCCCGGGAGTCCCGGAATTGAATAAATATAGATATCTTTGCCAAAATGCATTTGAATTCAAAGCCTGATCTAAGCGCTGGGGTAATCATGGGACATTGTAAGCCACCATCCTCTTCAGAGTGGCCGCGCTGCAAATTCCAAAAAGCCAAAACTCCGGTTGTCCTTATGTTGTTTTTCGCTCGAACAAGTCCTCCGCCAGAGTCGAGTTCGGATGTATAGTACATATGCGGGGGAGGAAAATCCGTTTAGAAACCGGGAGGGTTGACACGTTGGCTGACACGAGTCCACTTGGGCAGCTCTGAGTGTAGAGAAAGTGGTTAGCTCAGCCAATTCACACAGTCATGAATACCAATTGGTAAAAAGATGTGAAGTGGGATTGTGACGAAAACATACTGTGAATGCTCTTCCGGTAGCTCTTCTCCTTCTTGTCGAAGAGAGTGTACTTGTCCTTGGGCAGCATTTCCTCCTCGCGCGGCATCTCTGCGAACCACCGGGTCACAGCCTTAGATGTCTGGCCATTGCGTTCGAGTGCAGCGCTGACGGTGTCGACGACCCGGTCCACGGAGCGCAGGCGCTTGCGCTGTCGTGCCTTCTGGGGAGAGGAGAGACGCCACGGGGTCTTCCTATCAGTCGGGAAGTAGGTTAGCTTGGGTTCGAGTAATTGGGGATTTGGTCGAAGTCTAAATACATACCAGAGAAGACCGCCAAATAGTGCTTGGGTTGATTTAAACATCGTTGGTTGGTGGTGCTGTCAGGGTGTAGCCGGGAGAAAATCGTGCTCGGAGTCGGGAGTGCAGTTGGTCCGTGCACTCGATGTATAAAAAAAGTCGCTGACAGAATGGATCATTTGCTAAGAGATACAAGTTAATACAGGAAGATTGCAACAATAATATTGCTCAAACAGTAGGTTTTGTTCATACTAAATCATGACTAGTCCATATTGTTGAAAAATGGTAATCCTGGCGTCTGTTAATTTACTGTGAATGGTTACCCCAACCAAAATCATGTGATTTCGGGAATCTGTCGATTTCCAGGGACGCGATAATTTCTTACAACTACACTTGAATTAATTAATCTGCTCTTCGGAGAACATTCTCCTTTCCAAGCTATTATTAGCTTGCGCGAAGCTTCTCCCTGTTCATGGATTGCGTATAGCAGCTTTACACCATCCATAATGGACTCGAGCGCAACGGCGGACGCCCCGTCCCTCCCTTGGAGAGCTTTCTCGAACACAACAATGTGGGGAGTGGCGGGCCTATGTCGCGGTTTCCTCTCGATTTTCTGTCACGCAGAATGTCACGGGAAAGAGGCATTCACGGAACTGTTAGACTCTCGACGTGACGTTTCGCAACGGACACGAGGATTAATCACAGGTATGCCGGGACACGCAACAAATTTCATTAAACCAATGCAATTGCTGATTGATTTATTCCATAAAAGTATCCAATCACATCAGCGTGTACGTGCCTCTAACAGCCTCGGACCGAGACAATCCTATTACCAAATGTGAAGATGGCTGACATTGCGCCGGAATACCAGAATGGATGACCCATTAGTATGGGGTATTTTGCCCGCACGATTTTGGAATAAGCGGTGGTCGTTTGGGAGTTATGACATTTGCTATCAGACAAGGTACATACTCACAAGTTTACACGAATGCTTCTCTATGGATTGTTTTGCTGATTGTAATCGCAGACCACTGTCACTCTTCTTCACTATGGGACAGGTACTGCCCACTCACCGTTCTGCGCATTCTGCTTTCGGTGGCCTAGCTCAACCTGCTATGACCGAGGCTATTCGCTTGTTATCAAAGGGTCCTTTCCCACTTGATCACCACCGCGCTGTACCCGAACGTCAGCGCTGGAGTTGGCACAATGTTTGTGTCGATCCTTTCTCGGACCTCCAAGTTGCCTACACAACCGATGGCAAGGACTCGCATCTGGCACCTACAGCGTACTCCTGCAACTCCAACTCTTGGGTCCATATCTTCCCCGAAGGCAAGATTCACCAATCGCCGCGAAAAACCATGCGCTATTTCAAGTGGGGAATTGCACGGCTCATCCTGGAGCCCAAGGAGTGTCCTGATGTGGTTCCGATGTGGATTGAAGGCTTCGACGATGTCATGCACGAAAGTCGAGAATTCCCACGATTCCTTCCTCGGCCTGGCAAAAATGTTAGCGTTACCTTTGGCCCCAAGGTTGACTCTGATGTTGTATTTGGAGATATGAGATCTCGGTGGCAGAAATTGAAAGCCAGGGTTGAGAGGAGCTATCCGGATTCCCGAGACATGCCTCTGGGGGTGCTAAGTGATGAACTGTTGAATGACAAAGAGGCTGTCGAGCTGCGCAAAGAGGTCACCTTGAAGATTAGGAACCTTGTTTTGGACGTTCGCCGATCGCGTGGACTGCCCGATGAAGACCCGAAGGAGGGCTTGGTCGATACCTGGCTAGAGGAGGGTGCCAAGCGTGAAGGCCATATGAAGGACGATTCTTGGGTTCGGGATATCTGAGCCCCTGTGCATAGATTGTATAACATTTTATAGATTTGATTATGAGCAACTGTAAGGCATGAGCATTGACTCACTTTCTACCAGTCTTCCTTTTTGTTGCTACTCCGTACCATTTTCAGCCCTAAACGCCAGCCTCCTGCCCTGTCAAACGCAAAGCGGTGGCTCTCTGGCAGTACGTGGGCGGGATCAATGTGGGGGCGATAAGCGATAAAGGCGGGACAGCTTCCCGGCCCCGGAGCCACTTCACTTGGTCAAATCCGCAGCTCGACCGATGCCCAAAAAGCGCCAACGGTTTTACGCAAAGCCAACAAACTCAGCACATCACAGCCTCGCGCTATCTGGGTCTCGTCATCATGGCGGGTCTGGGGTACAGGGTTCCGCGTCAGCGACGTCAGTCAACGACTTGATCAGTCACCTCCGCCGTACACAGACGCCTAGTGCTATCGATGATGATCCATCAAACTCTTCACGTCCGCAGCGCTCATCTGTGGCTCCACGCTCAGTTCATCCTTCTCTTCGAGATGTGCTCGAGCTTCCTGCAACTCCGCCCCCGCGACCTCGCCCCGGCGCTCGTCGCACGGTATTTGGGGTTCGTCCACCTCGACCAACTGTCGGACCTCCGGCGCCTGCGAGTTGGCTCTCCGGGAATTTGGATTTGACGGGAGACCAGGGATTACCGGACCGGATGCCGGTGGTATTTGAAGAGGAAATACACCGGCTAACCCGTCTTCAAGGGGCGCGGTTTCCGGACCAGAGGAGCCTGGTACACCTGATGCTGAAATCTATGGCGTTGAATTGGAGTTGGCATGTTGAATATGATGGGCCTTTTCTATCCCATTTGCCAAATCATATCAAGGAACTGCTTCTGAGTTATATTGCTGTCTATGCAAGAGGCTCGCCTCTCAGAGGGTACATGAAGGGGCTGAGACCGCTCTTTCTGACCCGGCAGGATCAGGAGCGCATTAGCGATGAGAACCCGGATTTCAACGATTCGAGAGTTGTTGACACGGACTTCAATATCGCGCGATTGGATCTGGGGAATGCTTTAGGGAGCTGGATAACTTTGAAGCAGCTCACAAACGAGATGATCCTCCCGCTAGATCCAGCTGTAGGTGTCTCAGGTCATGAAATAGGGGAGGATGTCCCAACTTCATGGGATGAATATGTTCACAACGACACAGCAAAGGCCATGCTTGATCCTTTTCCAGCCCCGTCTATACCCAAGGCCATTACCCAGACCCTACGCTTCCCCGAACTTCGTGCGTTATCCCTGGCACACCCGACACCTAGTGCTGCGAGCTGGACCGCCCTTCTCAACCTCATAGCACATTTGCCGACCCTCACTCATCTCTCGCTTGCTCATTGGCCTATACCGTGCCGGAATCCACGCGCTGCCACCTCTCGCATTCGCGGCGCGGTTACCCGCTTCTCAAACCTAGACCCCCTCAATGACAACTGGGCCGAAGCTGCAAGTATCCTTCGTCAGCTATCCCGTTCGACCTACTGCCTGAAATGGTTAGATCTCGAGGGTTGCGGCGAATGGTTACCAGCCTTGAAATGGGTGGGAAAAGACCCGGACGGGCTTCCACAGAGCCCTGATACTGTTGGTCCAGAATGGAATGGATCATGGAGAGATGTCGAATGGCTTGGCATCGGCCCTGGCTTTCTGGATCTAACGAAGTCTAAGAACTCGTCCCATGTCCAGTCCGACGAAATACCCGATCTACAAACACACTCGTCGGATTTTTCTATTCATACAAACCATTTCCGAAATGCGCGTGAGGTACTGAGGCACATTCGGCAGATGAGAAAGGGGAAGAAATGGCTCGAAATCGAGCTCGGGTTAGGGCTACAAGACGTTGAATCTGAGACAATCAGATTACCAGATGGGCAGAAATTGGTACTTTATTTATGAAAGTACCTATGAAAGTTTTCTGTATGTGCAATGTAATATATACAATTTACAACACTGACCCGAAAACCTCCTATTATACACATGTAATGATCAATGCAAGTTGAAACTATTTTATTCGTCTGACTATACAATGGTATCCGGACAAAACGCCCGCAACTTTTAAACAATTTCACTATTTCTTTGAACGATTAAACGTCTTCAGAGGATCCACCTTCCCACCGGACTTTCCACGAGCACGGTTACGATCTCTCGCCTTGCGGATGCGATTCTGCTTCGTCTTTGTGAACCCAACATATCCGGCACCATCCTTCGAGAGACCTTTGCGTCCCTTGGCAGGCATCAGATACTCAGGGACATGCTTGAGATGCGCCTGGACACGCGCAGCACGCAGCTCGCCGTCGTGGCGCAGCTGACGCAATTCTTCGGGGTTTTCTTCAAAGTGGCGCTTGAGCTTTTCGCTCTTGATCAGTTCCTGGCGAATCTCACGTCCTCGTGCTTCTTGCACTGCGAGTCTGGTTACAGAGCGCAGCGCATCTGTCATACGGTAACGGAAAGCGTCGACCTGCGACATCTCGAAGTGGTAGGGCTTGACTTCGTGGCCGAGCTTAGTTTGCCGCTTGATAATCTTGGCGAGCAGAGCTTCGTCGTTTTTGGTGCTGGGGATTGAGGTGGGTCGGTGCTTTCCGTGCTGTTCGGTGGGAATAACAAATGAGAGAGCCATTCCTGCTTTGCCAGCACGACCGGTACGTCCGATGCGGTGGGTGTAGGATTTGGAGCTGGTGGGGAGGTCGAAGTTGAGAACGCAGGCGACATTTTGGAAATCGATACCGCGAGCAATGCTGTAGTCCTTCTCTTTGCTGGTCATCTTGCGGCGCTTCTTGGTTTGCGGCTTCTTTCCATTTCCGCTTTCATCAACTTCCTCTTCATCCTCACTGTTTCCAATCTCTTCCTTTGTTTCCTCTTCATTTGCTTCCTCTTCAGTTACCTCTTTGGCTTCGGACGACTTCTTCGATTTGGTCACCCCCAATACTTCTTGCTCGTCAGCTGCGACAATGATGTCGTAAACACCCTTATTGAATTCTTCAACAACGTGGATCCGGGAGTTGATGGGCAGTTCTGAGTTGAGGACACAGCTCTTCAGGCCAAACTGTTCGAGGAAAAGCTTCACGCGGTAGCACCGGTCCACATCTGCTACGAAAATGATGACCTTGCCCTTGATCAGCTGCAACTTGAAGATGACGTAGGTGAGGAGGAATTTCTCGTCTTCCGCGCATCTGTTGGGAGTTGAGTTAGCAACAGCTGAAATAACACTTGTGACAATTTATCTTACCGGACAACAAACTGGCTGACACCAGCACCCTTCTCTTCTTTCTCCTCAAGCTTGAGAATGACAGGGTTCCGGCAGTACAAGTCCTTCAATGTATCCACTTCCGAGGTCAGAGTAGCACTCATCAAGAATGTCTGCGCTCCTCGAGGGATAGCCTTGGAGAGAGCATTGATTTCCTCATCATATCCGTATGACAAGACCAGATCCGCCTCATCGATAACCAAATGGGTGATTTTATCAAGCGACAAAGCGGAGTTGTTAACGTTGCTGTAAACTCGGGTAGGCGTCGACACAACAATATCCGGGAAATCGGCCAGTATCGAACGCTGAACTTCGTCGGAAACCTTCTGTGTTAAGTTGACTGACCGAATATCCTTTCCGCAAAAGCTGGCAAAGGACGTAATAACTTTCTGGACCTGTTCTGCAAGCTCGCGGGTGGGGACAAGAATAAGAGCGGTTGTGGCTTTTGATGAGGGATCGGCCTATTTGCAGACAGTTAAATTAAATCCTATACAAGGTACATAGAGTGGGGGAAAGAGGGAACTAACAGTCTTCTGCTGGAGGATGGCTTGCAAGATTGGGAGCACATAGGCGGCGGTTTTGCCAGAGCCGGTTTTCGCACGGGCTATTTCTATTAGCCCTTGTCCTTTAATTCATCAATCCAGAAGAATTGTCTCACCAAGGATATCCTTGCCCTCGAGTGCGAGCGGAATCGCTTTCGACTGTACAAGAGTAGGTTTTGTAAACTTTTCCTTGATCAGGGCCTGGCGCAATCGAGGATCGAGATTGAGGGCTTCGAAGTCCAGTTCTTGGTCCTCAATCCCGGCGGCATCGGGGGATGGGACATCGTTTGCGTCCAACTTGCGTTTCATCGTGATTGTGCTAGGCATTTGCTTGATCAAATCTGCGGAAATTGAAACTTTTTGGGAAATCTTGTCGGGCGGTGAATTAGAGTATTTTAAGTTGACATAATCTTTGCTGCCTCAGGCGGAACATAGATATGGAACTGCTACAAATGAAACGAGAGTCTGCGAGTCTTAAGCCTTCGCTAGGCTGATTGCTGCATAATGCATTCTCCTGTTCAAACATATACTCCAATTTCACTTGTAGTCATTCATTGGTAAGTCACTTTCGGTGATCTCCCACCTGGGCCGAAACAAATATTGGAGTTGATGTACCAAAATATATGTGATTGGTAGACTACCTTCAAAATGAGTAGATTGTTTATTAACATAGAGCGTAAACCAGCCTCGGAGATGAAAATCTTCCAAGATATCATACCGGTACCTCTCAGCTCCAAAAGGTTGGCCAACGACAGTAAACAAACGAAGGCACACAACAGGACAAGGGCGACTTCTCTTCACTGGTCATCCTGTATATCTCGTATGATCTTGCCCCCCCTTTTTAAATGGTTGACATATCTACTGACATGGCCATAGTTCCATGGGCCATGGCATCTCCTGTCGTACGTCAACCGAACGACGGCTTCTGTCATCACGTTACCCTTCATTTTCATGATCGAATCCAAATGTCATGAAATCCGAAGGATAGGAGCGAGCAATAGGAGGTTAAGAGTTTATAAGGATGATATCTCTTCATTGAGTAAAAACATCACATATGTTACATACCACCTCCTATATCGTTTTCCTTAACAAAATCAAAAAGAACGGAAACTACCTATGATAAGACATCCGAAGTAGGTACAAGGGATGGATTGTTCACACACATCCCCATGCAAGCCATGTAGACTGACTCTGAAGAATCTTGCGTGTAAAACATTCCATGTTGCCTCACGCGCTTTATCTCTACCTGACAAACTCACTCTGAGCGTATTCTAAGAATCTCGCCCGAGACGCATCCGTGATCTTGCCCACGGAGAGGACTTTAACGTTGTGCTCGACGGTATAAACCTTGCCAAAGTTCACTCTTGACATGCAGTCCAGCTTCTGATCAGGCCTGGCAGGATCGACCTCTAGAGGCTCTTTGACCATCCGGGGCTCGGCCTGTACAGTCCGAGGCCTATCACCGCGCATACGAATGACAGCATGTTTGCTTCGGTCAATGCCAGCCTTGGCCACACCTTGCCCACTATAAGTAGTGATAGGTCTAGAGTGTTGGGTTAGTACTTTGCAACGCAATTGACGTGGATATGAACGTGCACACGTACACACACCAGCAGCAGCCCCGCTGCTCTTTAACCACTACCATGCGTCGGATACTACTGTATATGGGCTCTTGATACTTTCCCTTGGTGAATGGGCTTGCTGATGGGTGAGAGACTTTCTCGTTGAGTACAGTTCCATGCCAGCCTGCATTCTCATGCCAAAGCATGGAAAAGACCTATATGATCGCGATAGATTATCAGTAGGGCCTTGGTATTGACATCTAACAGGTGAACAAACCCTGCCAACTCGGAAAAATCTCCGAGGATCGCTCTGCCTTTTGTAGCCTGGTGTGAGATATCGTCAGTTTGTTGGTCTTGATATGCACGAAGCGTACCCGGGCTATTTCTTACGAGGGTCCAGCGTCTCACGTTCGCTGCTACTGCCAGGGATCACGTATGCTGGCTCCAATGACTTTCGCTACATCAAAATCAGCCAATTGGTCAGAGAGTAAGGAAAATACATATTACTCACTACCTCCTTGTCATAGTCTCGTTGGACATCCCCCAGATCGGGGTCGTTTCGGTGACTATGACTGCTGGCCCCATAGGGCAGCACCATATGCGAGGCTGGATGATCCCTGAGACCCAATCCCTGCAAGTCATTGACCTGAATCCTGGAAATGGATGCTTCACTTCCTGATGAGGCGGTGGCTTCGCTACTGTCGGATATGCTTGCACATCCGGTTCTGTGCCCGATGGTTTCTCGGGCTACCTCATACTTCATGCCCGGGCTCCATTCAGAATGACTGCTCGCCTTGACATTTGCTACTGCTTCTGCACCCGAACTTGAGTATACGCCATCACCCACACGATACTTGGCAAGTTGCTGGTATATGGGGGCTGGAGATAGATCATTGGTGTATGTTTGGTCGTAGTCGGGTAGGTCCTGCTGCTGAACATGATCTAAGCGACTTGCATGGTGGTCCACACCTGGGACGAATGGGAAATGCCCGTATGCGTCATGCTTGGAAAATGTGGACCGGGAGGTGCGTCGTTGACGTGGCGCGACACTTTTGTTAAACGCGTTACTTCCCCGAACTTCTCACGTAGGAAGAAAGAACAACGAACCTTGAACCTTGAGCTGACATCGCAGGGCTTAATGCCCCACCTGGATAGTCCCACTCGTAAATAAAATCCCCTTTTGCTCTGGTCAGTTCTTAAATCATTCTTGTAGCCAGTGTTGCCTACCAGAATGATTGTAGATGGATCGAACCCATCGGTTGGTCTCAAGATGAAGTACCCAGTCTGAAGACATAGCCTTTACATTTCTGACCAGGAAATTAGAAATCGAGGAAGACCGGACAGATGAGATATAAGCCTTAGGGTTTCTATATCCCTCATCAGCAACTCCTCAAGTACCCATCGCACCCCTGCGGCTCGGTCCGTTCAAATCAATGATCTTTCAAGAGAGATGATATGCATGGCGCGTACGGCATGAATCAAGTTGGTTGGCTGTCAAGCCCTCACTCGCGGAAGAGAAGATTTGGTAACTAGCACATGATCGTGGACCCGGACCCCAAGTATAATTCCAATGACATCCCAGTTGCATGAGGGGAACATCTTGGTGGCTGATATACCTCAAGTATTTTGGTATATTTACAATTGTGCTACGGGCAACCAACTGAAAGGTGACGCGCGGGCGCTAATGCAATGCAGGATATTTACGGACTCACGGCCATTGGAGGTTTCATTTGGGCACCAAGGCCCCAGTGACTGCGCCCTCTACAACCTCACCCCACTAGAATCGGCTATCGTGTGATCCCGACGAAGTCTCCTATTTCACTTTCTTGAGGAATCTTCCGGGTGACCAACATTCTGTCGGCTATTAGACCTTGCTTACCAACATTTGAACGTGTTGGTATATAATCTCCTTCGCGAAATGTGACTGAGAGGCACTATAAAACCCTTCAACAATGACATCCTGGCCAGGGGCACGGAGCCGTGTATCGCAAGTGAGTTGATCTATATTGATATGCATTAAGCTCGAGGCTCATCACAATCTTACCTTGTAGCCGCCGTCCACGGCAGACTGCTATACCAACACTAAAAGTGAAGTCTGCCTTCCCAACATTTCATTTGCTCCAACTTCACGGCTAGAAGAGTTACAAAGAGACGCTCGAGCATCGAGCCCCACAGCATCAGAAACCTTGCAACCATTGTTGCCACTTCCTTCAGGTGGTTTTGCTCCAATAACGACATCAACAGCGCCAATCATCGGTCATACCGGACCAGATATGGTAGATGACGGGAACGAAGCCACCAAAGACGACCGCTGGTCACCACAAAATCTCCAACAATGGAACGAATATGATGCTTTCACCGAGTCATCCGTAACATCCTTCCCGGTTCAGTATCCCCCCGAAATAGATGAACAAGCCAACTGGTATCGCATACCTGCGCCGCCCCCTGAATCAGCCCGTGAGACCAGTGCCAAAGTGGCAAACCTTATAGGAGAAATATTAAGTATACATGAAGATGTGTCAGCCAAGCGCTATCGGATCCGGGAAATGCGGCATATGCTTCGACAGAAACGTGATGAGGAAGATGATGTGCGGGCTGCACTACGGAATAGTTTGAATCTCATAACTGCCGAACACGTACATGAGGATCTTGCTGCTATCAATGATACCATCAATAACCTCCAGGTCGTGACAGCGGCCTATTTCATCCTTGAAAATGAGTACCATAGACAGGAAGAGGAACTGTCGCAGCTGGAGTCCGACTACAATAAACACTTAAAAACATTGCAAATCATCTTCAAAAATCAAGGCAGTTCGTTGGCACACTTCCAACCCATCCACTCAGACTCCGAGTCTTCCTCGACCAACTACGCCTCGGAATATGATGACCATATATTGCCCCCGGTGGCTGATTATCCCTCCGTGGTTGACAAGGCGCGCATACTCACGGAACGCCTATCGGAACTAGAGACAGAATACCTGGTCTTAGTTGACCAACGCGAGCTCCGTGAGCGAGTCGGCATCCCACTCGATAGCGCAGCCCTCAACTTCCTCCTTCGCTATCAAGATGAAAAAAATAAACTCGAGACTGAGCTTAAAGTAGCCCGCCGGAACATGGAGTCGCACCCGGAACATGCCAACTGCTCTGCGGGGGTCGCAGAAGAGGAAGATAGAGAACAGGAGGTGATACAGCATTTCATGCCTGAACTCCCAGAAAGCCAGACGTACAATGATCCGCTACACTCCTCAGAATTTGAGGATTCTTCACCTTTCTTTGCGTCCGCTCATCCATACCCTATCAACAAAGGTACTTTTGTGAATCGATGGCTTCTTCATCGGTTGCGGCACTCAAGATTTGAGATTATGCGATTTAAGTCCGCACCTGAACTAATAGATCTGAACAGCAAAGGCTGGGGGTCAGACAATATTAGCAAAATGGCAATGATGCTTTGGTTTCAGGATGGTGCGGCGAGCGTGGAGCACATCAGGAGTCAATCAGCGAGGTAGTGCATTTATACTCCGTGCATAGGTAGAATTGAGCGCTTATATACTGTTATTGATTTACCATCTGTTCTTGATCAACTTCTTAAAATCCTGAATAAGTGACCATCGACAATGAGCCCAAATATAACCCAGCTGTGCAAGCCCTCACCCTAATCCAAAAACAAATCTCTCAAGCTCGAGATAAGCCCTTTCCAAATCATCATTAACAATAACCTGATCAAAAACACCCGCAGTCTCAGCAAACTCAAGCTCCCTCCTCGCCTGGTCCAATCTAGCCCGAATATGTTGCTCACTCTCCGTCCCTCGACCCCTGAGCCGCTGCTCAAGCACACCGAGACCCCGCGGTTTAATGAAAACATAGCGGGCCTCAAATCCAGGGTTGATTGTGACCTGTTGCACGCCGACCATGTCGATATCAAGGATAGGAATGAGTTGTTTCTCGAATATTTCTGCGAGTGCTGCTTTACTCGTACCGTAGAAGTTATCAGCGTACATTGCATCTTCGATCAGATCTCCATTGGATTTAAGAGTGTTGTATGTATCGATGGAAACAAAGTGGTAGGATATACCGTCTTTTTCACCGGGACGTGGTTTCCGGGTTGTGTGGGAGACTGTCAGCTCGAATGTGTCTGGGTGGGCGTCAATGAGCTTTTGAATAAGGGTTCCTTTGCCTGCGCCTGAAGGACCGGAGATCACAAGAGGTCTTCGATCTTGAGGTGTTGCTGTAGGGATTAGCATAAGTAGAGTGTAGGTGGAAGGCATATGACGTACATGAAGCCATATCACCAACTACGTGGTCCTTGTCTTGACGATGAATTTTAGGAGCTTGGAGTTGGTAGTTATCGATCAATGCAAGGAGTGATGCCAGGGATTTATTAAGTCCAGGCCGTGCCGACATAGAGCAAAGTCGGCATCGGACAGCCTTACCGCCCATCGGCTCATGGATGCGAGCAGGCCTACACTAATTCACATATCAACATGCCGAGGAAGCTTAATAATGGCGAAATAATACTGCATTGAGATGTTATCCATTCGCATCGTGATTCTGTTCATTATGTACATGACCCAAACAATTTCCCATATCCATATCCGTATCCATATCCATAAATCGATCGGCAAATGGCCGCAAAAAGACTCTGACTCCATAACCCAAGAATGGTCGAACGTTCAAAGCAAGATCCCATAAGTAAAGATCGATATCTCTTTCAAGCCCTAGCCCATATTGTAATCATTATTCAAGAGTACTGTGTCTCGCCCTCACTATCACTCAGACTATCGCGACGACGGCTGCGTCCATCACGGCGATATCCCTTCGTCAAGCCGGGAATTGGATGCTTGTAGCTCTTTGTACCAGAATCCTCTGTGTCAACGTTGGAATATTGGTACTCGGAACGGGAGCCCGCAGATGAGAAATCCAGGGGTTCAGTAAAGTGGCCCTGGGGCACGGAGCGGCGTTCGCGTTGCTTGCGAGGACTGCTAGTGCGGGATGAAGGTGCGGGAGGTGGGCCAGCTAGGCCAACTTCGCTATGTCGTTCACGACGGCGGTTGTGACGGCGGGTAGATGGGTCGCGGACACGAGGCTCTTCGGTTACTTGGCTGATAACGTCCTCGCTACCTTGAGTGAATGAGAAGCCAGAGGGATCGCGGCGGGCATGGCGTGGCTGCTCGTAAGCAAAGTCGTAAGCCTGGCTCATCTCGCTCTGTTGGTAGGAGGTGGGCGGGGCAGAGGTGTCGTAGTCGCTGCCGTTGTAGGTGCCGTCGGCTTCGCGGTTCATGCCGCCAATGCGAGCGGGTTTCTCTTCCCGGTAGGCGCGTACATCGGCATCATCTGCGCCTTCCCATTGCTCGTGCTTGTTGCGTCGGAGAAGCTTCTCTTTGGCTGATTCTTTGAGCCTCTTGCCCCGTGACTTCTCTGTGATAGTCGTCGCTGTGTCGGTGTATGATCCTTCTGTGTAGGTGTATGCGTCGTCGTTGTAGTCCTTGCCGACGATACTTCCCCCACCAAGTTTGGTACTCGCTGTGGCGTTACTGAGAGTCTTTCCGTCGGGACCTTTTCGTCGCAGAACAGTGGACTTGTAGTCATCCCAGTCGCCCTTGTGCCAGACGAACCCGCCATTCTTGGCCCAGAAGAAGAACCAGATACCCCCCACGGCAAAAGCAAGTCCAATAATGGCAAATAATGCCATCAGGCCTTGCATTTTGATGCTATGTGGGTCGATCGTGCCTTGGCCATATTTTGGCTTGGTAGAATCATCGGAGTCGCTTCGTGGGAAGAGATTGTAGACGTGCGTGCCGTCGGGAGTCAAAGTACCAGCGGTGTTCTCACTGCTATCATCTCTAGCGTATATTCCGGCGACAGCCGCTGCTGGATAGTCGGGAGAGTCCCCATTCGGCCAAAATGGAGGCATGATGGAGTATTAGAGTGGTCAAGAGCACTCGGCTCAGGACTGGACTCACTATCATATTGTTAGTAACCCAAAATTGCTGGAATCAAAAGATAGGGTATATAAATATACACTAAAGTAATTGATCAACACGAGCTGTAGATAGAGATAGATCACTGACACGTTGGTATGTGGGTATAGAACGTGGGTATGGAATGCGGGCAAGAATGAAGCACAGTGTCTAGATGGGTATTAGTAGAAGGGTCAAGATAAGATGAGGAAATACAAACCCAGATATTCAGCCTGACTTCCAGCACAAAATTGGGGAGGTTGGAAGAGAGGCTGGGGGGCCTGTGTTTACACGGTGGTTGTCACAGGCGACCAGATTACATCATCCCCACCTTGCCCACCCACGGGTCCAGTGGACGGGTAGAGTTGGGCCCGTGGGTCGATCTATAAAAAGAGTCGATCATTGATTTCTATCGAGATCTGAAAAATGGCGCTTTTTTATTAAGAAGATGGGTTTAATTATGGATCAATTATATCAAGTCGACAAATGCCACCCACTGAAAACCTCTGGGAGAGAGTATACACGGTCGAAAGCTGTGATCGTGCCCAGACAGCTTGTAGGGTATCATAACCAACTAAACAGCAAAAGCACGGGGAAAAAAAGCATCAAAACCAATGGACGATAAAACAGACAAGGAGATTCACGAGACTGCGAAATAAACCGAATGGGTACAAAGCCCAGAACCTAAAACTACGAGGCTCCCAACGGGGCAAAATACCAACAAAACACGTAAAATCATAGATATGGCCAAAGAAAAAGATGACCTGTTGAGACATGACAAGTAAACAGATATGGGTATAATCTCTCTCCGCCACTCGGAGTCGCGAACAAAGTAACCGGGAGAAAGACACAGGCCCAACGAGAAAGGCTATACACGAAACGCTGACAAAAAGAGACATCAGAAAGTAAAGCACATCAGACTTGTCATTGCAGGTCATCAGAATCGTACAATCATATCGCCATAACAAGAACATCATCATGGGGGTTCGTGCCCGACAGTTTTGCCCAAGCACACAAAATATAGAGAAAATCAAGACAGCAGTTGCAAATGAAATAACACACAAAAAGTCCTCCCAGTCTAGCGAGACAGTTGGGCAACAGGCAGCTCTGGACGTTATGACAAAGCCCAGTATGTCACCCAAGTCGCCCAACAGAGTCTCGCTTTTGGTAATTACCATTGTTTTTTTTTTGTTCCACAAGCACCCGATCCCGAAGAAAAAAAAAAAAGAAAAGAAAATGCAACATGTGCGGAGCAATCGAAACTTTTGACAAACAGGCAAGGCCAGCCACAAACGGCTATGCATACACAAGATGGAATCACAACGAAAAAGTAACCTAACCATAGAGAACGAAATGAAACACAAAAAAAGGGACATCTAACAGGGTGGGTAACAAGATTAGTGGTAGCGTGGCCCATAGGCTGACTGACTGTCACGACGATTGGATCGTTCTGACCGCTTGTCCTCCCGGGGGCGCCGCGCCACATCCTCAAGTGCCCGACGGCTGGAGCCGCCCGTATGATCGGAGCTGGCACTGTTCACATGCTGCTTGGATGGCCGCGGGCCGCCGATGTTCAATCGAACAGCCCCGGTCTCCCCAGCGCGAATGTTAATAGATTTGCCTGCAACTGATTCAGATGTAAATCCAATTTGGAATCCGTTCAACATGAGGGTCATGTTCTTATCATCTTCCTTCCGTGAGGCAGTGGCACTGCCGCGGCTGCTACGACTCTTCTGGCTGCCGCTCTCGCTTCCATTGCCTTGAGACGCTTTGGGCAGCAAGGTCTCTGCGGAAAGAGGTAGTGCAGCTGTTGAGGTTCGGCCAGACCGGACTGCCTGGTAATTCTCGGCTTCACGTTCACGGTCCTCGAGGTCGCCACCGACGCTGGATCGGTCATCGTAGTGGTATTCGGGTGACTTACGCTGCCGAGAGCTCGCCACGGCTACCTGAGCATTCCGTAGATCATCGTGGTAGGGTGTTGACCGTCGGTTATCTCGTAGGCTATGGGTTCTCTCTGGGAACGGGGCTTCCCTTGAAATTCGACGATGGCCACGATCCTGAATTGCCGGCAAGGCAGACGCAAGTTCCGGCATGTCCATGCGGTCTATATCTCGGACCATGCCTCTGTCCCTGTCCATTCCTCGTTCTCTCTCCATACCTCTGGATGGGCGACGAGAAGGAACAAGACCGGCAGAGGTATGCATCTTCCGTGGTAGATCTGGTCGCTCTGGTCGCTTCGCCTGGTGAATCTGCGGGGCAGCCCTAGGCTTGGGCCTGGGGGGGTGGTAGCATCGTCCGATAGTAGTCTTCATCCTGATCCTGGTGCCGTGTAGGACGGTCATAGACTTCTCGCGAGGAATAGTGTTCCATAGGATCATTATCATACCAATCATACTGCCCGGCATCCATGGGTGGGGGAGGAGGGGCATAGATAGATGAGGACCGAGGCCGTGGCTCCCGGGACTCGGACCGCTCTCGTGTATACTCCGATGATGGGTACTCCGAGGCTGGTGGGGGATAGTAGGCAGCCTGTCCATATGGAGATGATGAGTACTGGTGCATGTATGCTGAGTTGGCTGGTGGAGGGCCATGTTCGTATGCGTGCTGGGAGTACACAGAAGGTGCCATTCCTGAACCCATCCCATGTGGTACACCTTGGAAGCTCATAGGTCGTCCGTTTGGGTGATAGGTGTGGTACGAAGCGGAACGGCTGGGTCGACCAGGGTTATTGACATGGATGTTCTCAATTACGTCGGCCGGATATCGGGCAGTGTGCGGGGAGGGTGAGTAATCTGGGACGGGTGGACGCTGGGGGTGGTAATAGGCATATTCGCTCTGTCGATGCTCCATCGGAGCTGATTGATGGTACTGAGGAATGGCGTATTCGTGGTAATTATCGTGATATTGGCGGGCAAAGGATTCTCGTCGATGAGACTTGGACGACGACCGGGGCACGTGAGCATGATGGGCAGCGCCCGCATAGGCACCAACCATCTCCTCTTCGCGCGGGGGTCGTGATCGTTCCTTTTCCTTGCGTTCTCTGGTTGAACTTTTCCTGGCAAGGTCGGTACGTTTGGGGGTGTCCAGCTTATGAGGGATCGGTGGACTTTTTCCGCCCGACGGCCCAGATTGGGTGCTATTAACCGTAGCGGCGGTGCGACTAGAATAACCTGAGTCACTGGCGGCGTCGATCAGCGGCTCCTGGAATCTTCCCAACCTCGAGGATATTTTGGCAGCTGTATTGGCAGCAATTCTGGCAGAAAGCCTAGTGTCGGGTAGAATAGCGTGTTGTTCTTCGTCGTAATCCTCGACGCAAGCAGGCCGGGGGCCCTTACTGGCCATTATGTGGGCTGCAAGGCAATCGAGTGTCTGAAAAAAAGAAAATTAAAAAAACAGGGTTGGTCCCGTTTCCGACAAGGGCGACGTGGGTGGCTCCCACAGGGCTCCAGAACAAGATCAACTTACAGCAAGCCACTACTCCCCTTTGAGGATGAGTCAGAATAGATAGTCTTCTCCCCCCCAACCCCGTAGATCTGACGAAATGGGCTTCTCTTTTTTCTTTTTCTTTTCTCCCCAGTGCCCAACCCAAGCGGGCCACTCAAACAAGTAAGCGGACCTGCCGATCGCGGCGGGCGATGGCAGGCGGAGGGCGACGGGTTCTGTCAAGCGGAGAGAGCGAGATGGTACTTTTCAGATCGCAATGTCTCCATCGAAGTGGGATGTTAGGCTAAGAGTTGGGCGAAAGCGTTGGGTCAATGAAAGGAAGAAAATAGAAAATGACCTCTCTGGCAGACGATGAGTGGTGGAGCGTACTGCAGCTGCAGAGGTTGGGTTGAGAATTTGGGATCCTCTGCCTGACGGTCTTAGAACCCAGTGGGGAGAGTGGAGTCGATGGGCAGCGATTCCAAAAAAAAAAAAAAGGTCGCAGTGAGGGGTGTGACTTTGATATCTATGAAAGAGAAAGAAAGATATCTAGCGATGAAAAAGGAGAGAAGTATATAGAAAAGAAAGAGAAAAGGAGTTAACACCCGAAGGCACAGGGCACAGGGTTTAAGGGAAAAAAAAAAGGAAACGGAGAAAATTCAAAAAGTTTCACGAAGAGGCTCTCGGTACCCAACACAAGAAAAAAAAAAAAAAAAGAAGTGGGGGATACCGTCATCAATGTATTATCTATGTTGTTTAGCTTATATCTATTATTTGATGTCTATATCTAATATAAGTACTCCGTATAATATCTAAAATATTCAAACTATCCGAAATATCCATGTTAGTATGTCGATTATTTACTTTACTTTTTAAGCTCAGGACCCGCTGGAAATTCCTTGGTTTTCATTCTTAGGATCCATGGTTGGTCGTTACTCTTATCTATATTTCCTTTTCCTTTTCGTTTTCCCGTTTGTTTTCCCGTTTTTTTCACTTTTCTGCTTGTATTTTACCTGGAATTTTCGTCAATGTCGCATTCCTATTTCTCCCTAACCTTCATCCCACCTAACGCCCAACCGGGTTTGCGGCCCAATGATCGCCTCCGCCGTAAAGGGTCTTCCCTGTCAATTCAAAAGGAACCTGTTCCTCTGGGCGAATTTCGGCTGTTCGGTTCTCAGGTTCAGTCATCCATTTTCTCTACTCGTTTGATCATTCCATCAACTTCTCATATTGGCGTACATAAGTCAATGCTTCAAATACAATGACAATGTATCCGGGACACGGGAAAAAGACGGTGGGGATGGCACCCTGCAAAGGCTGCAACTCACCACTAAGGTGACTCTTCCTTCTTCGTAATCCGTACTCACACTCGTAGTATGTACGATGTAGGCACACACCTGTATGTATCAAAGGCAGATGCCTGTTTGTCTTGATAACCAAGGGCAGAATCGCCACTGTGGAGTGAGTCAGGTTGACTTTTACCATAGAAACCACAAATGTCAAACGACACTAGAAGCAGAGGAGGGACTGAGCACTGCATGGTATTCGTCGTCAGAGCCCCCTCGTCCATGTGGCAGGATATCTTTGGACGTTGTCTCTTCTCCGCCTGCATATTTCCCATTGTGACTCACATTGGGAGAAAACCTATGACAATGTGCCCTCGCAATATGTACTTGTACAAGTTTTAAAGTATATTGTACTCCATACACAGAGACACTAGATTGTACTAGTGGTGAACTAAATTGCCGGAACCTTCTCTCGGGAGGCAGAAATGGCTAGATCGGTATGACATGCAGCACGGACGGTCTATCATTGTCATTGTGGATTCCTTCATATCCCTTGCGTCTTTAGATCAAGAGGTTCGCAGAGTTTTCATTCTGCACGTGTAACAATGGCACTGTTCGAACTACGGAATCGCAATGACCACTTCAAACTATACAACGCCGATAACCGCCAAAACATCCTAGTCCTTGGTATTCTAATCTAGTCAAAATGTTATTTTGGGCCGGAGTGGATATCTTCAGGCTAGGAGGCTGAAAAGTCAACCCAGGAAAAGGGCTCCGCTCCAAATATAACCAAGGATCTCCATGCGGCTCCGGTATTTCTTCTACTTCTGTTTACAGTGACACCGTTGATAGTCATGACTACAATATAACATGTCTTCATATCAACCCCGGGAGTGCTACAAACGCCGTGCACACCGGGAAATAACTAAAATTGAATTGCATGGCAAGATAGCCAACAAGCTTTGCTCGCATATCCTTTTCATGGTGCAATAACGTTGATGTCTGTCGCCAGTCATTTTTGGATTTACATCGGGGAGATAAAACAGGGTCAAGGGAGCCACCCCCTTACTTCACTATGCGAGATGGCATCAGCTCCTCGAGGCGAGATGTTCACCGCTCTTTTGCAAGTACCGATAATTGGTAATCTGGGGATGAAGATGAGGGGAAATCAATCCAACTCTATTCATCGCTCGGCTCGAGAGACTTCTATCGGGGGTTGAGTGGGTGAAGATAGGGGACAGAAACATTTTAGAAGTTTCGTGTACGGGGTACATGGTACATCGGTATATATGACTTGCATGTTGATCGCCTCACCCCAATCTTCTTTGTATGGGACATCATTCGTCAGCTCTAGATAGCCTTTTCCATAGATAGGCCTTGGCATGTAAATGGATGATTAGCATTGTCTGATGTCGTACGAAAGACAATAATCATGTAGGTCAGGTGTTCCCGTGGCTAAGACTCAAGCCCAGCCTGCTACTGAGGTGTTACGCAATCTACAACAGGGTACTTTATTGAGTGTGGCGTCTCTTCAGGGTATCGGGGAGTAGGTGGCTGTCTTTCCGAATGAAGCTCCCCAACCCGTGCTCATGTGGATGCAAAGGTGGTTTTCAAAACAAATGCTTTTCTATCAATTATGTCCACCTAGCCTGATGTATGTTCACAAAGATGCGTATAAGCTCCCCTTCTAGTCTGCACCAATAGCCAAATCAAACCCAAATCATCCCCAAGTCGTCTCCAACGATTCGGCTCGACTGATCTCGGCCTCCTAGTTCCTGCGCAGGTAGAGAGCAATCCATCCAAGGATTCGATATCCCGCAATGATGCCCAGAAGAATTCCAACCCACTTCCCCGTCAGACCAGTGGAGTAACCATACGATTCTAGAACCCCAGTGCCCCGAATGAGGCACTGATCCTCCAGATCAGTAGACCACATGCACCGACAACCGGCGCCACACGAGTAAGTCCGCTTGGAGAACTCATTAACCATCATACCCTGGAAGACATAAGCCTATTCCAAATAACAAGTGAGTTAGTGATCATTCGGGCAAGAAAATCAAAAATCGGATAGCGGTGTATCAGCATACCTGGTAATCGATGTAGTGAAACACATATTTCCAAAACGGATTGAGGATTGTCTGCGTGACCATAAACCCTCCGACACTCATCCAAAGTCCATTTGCGAATGCGACAAGCGCCAAGGCAATCACAAAGTTTGGGAATACCGATGTCACGAGAACCACTAGGGATTCGGCCGCCACAAGGTCAAGGAATATCCACATCACCCAGGTGAAGAAGGCTTCAGCTGTTGGTTGGAAATTGGAAAGCCAGTATGAGACAATTGAGAAGAGGAGAGATATCAAGACTGGAGACATTAGAATACGGCCATGTGGCAGGAAGGGACGAATACATACAGAGGTAGGGAAGACCAATGATGAAGTTTGAGATCATGAACGGTGTCACACCATACAGTCCGTTGGCTCGCTCTTTGGAAAAGATTGCCCGGTCTTCGAGAAACGCGGGGACGTATGCTACCGCCATGAAAGACATGAACGCGGAGCCAAAGAACTATATTTCATGTCAGTATGGGTATTCTTTTGATTCCAAGTAGGTGTAAACTCACAATGCCGTTGATCAATGGCTGTATAGACTCTTGGGATGGATGAAGGCGTAGCCACACTGTACCCATCATGATCGCCAATCCTGTGCCACATTAGCACCGGTAAATTTTGAAAGGGAGAGGATAATTCGTACCAAGATACATCACGATCCGGATTCCGTAAGCAATGACATCGCGGTAAGACTTCACAAATGAGCGATGCAGCAGAGCCACAGTAATAGAAGCCGTTCCCGCTCGATCCGTGCCTGTCATGGAGTCTTCGTTGACAGGCTTCTCTGCCGAACGTACACGCTCAGACACTTTTCTTGATCCTGATTTTGCCTCATTCGAGTTTGCCCAGGCAGTCTGTATGGCCTCGAGTCGCTCCTCCGCCGAGCCCTTCGAATTGTCAAAATCGGAACTCACAGTCTCCAAGAGAAATTCAGCAGGGTTGGTATTCGCTGGAATCGGATAGCCAATGCCGCTGAAGTAGCTCTCCAAAGCTGAGATTGCACCGAAATAGCATGTTTTTCCTGCCGAAAGGAGTAACAGCTTATCGAAGAGTTGAAACGTGGTGGTCGATGGTTGATGGATACTTGCAATGATTAGAAGCTATAATGAAAAAAAAAGACGTTAGTAAAAGCAGGGTACATATATGATATGCACGTACATTATTGGCCTGCGCGAGCTGCTTTGCATATGACATAACCTCAAAACTGGCGGTCGAGTCCAGACCGCTTGTAGGTTCATCCAAGAACAAAATTCTTGGATTAGTGATGAGCTGGCTAGCCACGCTCACACGTCGCTTCTGACCACCACTGATGCCCTTCCGGATCGGGGTGCCAACCAACGTGTTCGCCTGGTTCTGGATACCAAATGCCTCCAAAAGTGTCCGGATTCGATCCATGCGCTGGCGTTTCGATACAGAGCTTTTTGATAGAAGTAGTAAGCGTCAGAATCTGTAGACAATATTGAATGGTTGTTATTTAGACTTGACATACCTCGGCAACGAAAGATCCGCCGCGAACTTCAGTGTCTCATGCACCGTTAACGACCCGATCAACACATCTTCCTGCTCGACGTACGAGGTCACTCGCTGGAAAGTGCGTGAGTCTACTTCAGCATCATTTACATAGGTCTCCCCGAGAACCTTTGCACCAGCTGACGCTGCACGTCGAGCAAGTACGTTCAGGAGTGTGGTTTTGCCACAGCCTGATGGGCCCATTAAGGCAACGAGCTCGCCTGCATAACCAGCGTCAGTAGGATACCCTTGATATAAAGTATGGACCAGGATACGAACCATGTTTCACATCACCACTAATATCATTCAGCAGATCGCGGGATCTCTTTGTTTCACGATCCTTGACGGTGACCGTTAGACCTTGCCAAGAGAAGTTCCGAACAGTCTCGTTCATCAAGAAGTGTCCGCTGTCATTCTGCTCCAGGTCAGGGGTACTGGACGCACTCAAGGGTGAGGGATCGCCCATGCTGCAATATATTGTAACTGGGTTTACGGCAGATACGAGAGAATTATAATCCAACCCAGCTCAAGGTTCGGGGGCTCACGTTTTATAATTTTAAACATACCCATACTACATGCACCTAGACCCACGGACTTATAAATCCCTGTCTAGGGTCGAGACAATCACTTTGTCCGAGGTGGTCCCCGGCTTAGGCTGAATGTAAGGCTCAACCCTGGAACCCATACAATATAGTGAGGGCTCGAGCCCGAGCTGACATAAGAAGTCCGGGCTGACATAACCCTGGAAGTTCCCCGGAGCTCTATGGTCCCCGATCCCCCGAGACGCCGGGCTTCAAGAAAATCTATAAGCCTACAAGAATAGAGAAAATTTCAATTTCAATGGCCCTCTGGACATGTGGGGTACGTGGTATGAGTTCGTTGTGTGCATGTGTGCACGTGTGAACGAGTAACATCGAGCTCGGGGATCTTCTCCTCTTTTTACCCTAACAATACGGAGTACAGCATTCAAAAAAAGCAAAGAGAGAGAAAAGGAAAAGTAGGTGAAAAAATCTAGGAATGATTTGATAAAGGAAGAAGCATACAATGCCATTTTTATTTGTCCCGCTCTTGGCGCCCAATGCAACTAAATTAAAATCAAGGTGTACTAGAGACACTAGTCTTTGAGAAATACTGTGGGAAAACACCACACAGCAAAGTGAGGAAAATCGGGCAAATAAGCCGAAATTACATCCTGGAAACGAGGAGTCAATAATTGCTTTTTCAGCAAGGGTGGGGAAAACTAACCGCTCAACAGGGCTCAGACCAAGAACCCGCATGCCGTTGTTGAGCACTTGGCGGGCCGACGCATACAGGGCCATACGTGCCTGCTTGACATCGGGCTCGCTACCAATCACCTTGAGCACATCGTAGCTAGAGCTCAACATGTGTGTCATGCGGAACAGATAGCTGAGAACAGTGATGGGCTCAAGAGTCTTGGCGGTTTGCAGGAGTACATCGGGCCATTGCGCCAGCAGGCGGGCCAGGTCGACAGCATGCTGCTCGGTCAAAAGATCGAAGTTGGCATTGACCAGCTCGTCAACATTCAACTCAGACTTGCGGGCCATGGAGCACAGGCGAGCGTGAGCGTACTGCAGGTACGGGCCGGTGTCACCCTCAAAGGAGGTCATGGCATCCAAGTTGAAGTCGTAGCCGTTAACGCTAAGAGAAAACATACAATTAGTAAATGAATAGACGAGAGTAGGCAGGAGGGGAAAAAAGCAAAAAAGCAAAAAAGCAAAAAAAAAAAAAAAAAGTAAACAAGAACAAAAACAAGAAAATGGTACATACCGCTTGCCAGTCATGTCTTGCACCATAACGGATGTGATACCCAGAATATCGGCAGTCTTCTCGGGATCCTCGACCTGTGAATACTTGACTTCGTTCTTCTTCATGACTTCGTGCATCTTGTCACCAACGTCACGCAAGATGTCATCCAAGAACTTGACGGTACCCTTACGAGTACTCATACCACGGACCATACCAAAGTTGATGTGCTGGCAACGGGAGGCCAAGTCCTTGTGGCCCATAAGTTCAGTGACCTTGAAGAGCTGAGCTAGGTGGAGATCCTGCTGAGCGGCAACAACGTAGATCATCTTGTCGAAGTGGTACTCATTATCACGCTCAGTGATGGCACCGATATCGCGGGTCAGGTAGAGAGGAGTGCCATCCTTGCGGATGATGATAGCCTTGCCCAGCTTCTTGGCACCGTGCTTGGTGAAATCCACAATAACCGCACCCTCGGACTTCTCTGAGACACCTGCCTCCTCCATACGCTTGTAGGCATCGCTCATGCTCTCGGACTTGATTTGAGATTCACCGGAGTAAACATCAAAGTCAATGTTGAGACGGGCATAGGTCTGCTTGTACTTCTCAATACTGAGATCACGGAACTTGCGCCAGAGGGCAAGAGCCTCCGGATCGCCGTCCTCCATGCTCTTGAAGTAGCGACGGGCCTTCTCGTCCTCGCTCACGTCCACAAGCTTGGCAAGCTGTGCTTCGAGCTCAGCAACATCCTCGTTCTTCTCCTTCTTGGTCTTGATCTGTTCCTTCAGTTCCTTGATAGGTCCATCCTGTTCACTGACCTGACGGTTGACCTTGACATAGACATCGAACAAGTGGTTGATGGGATCCCTGATAAGAGCTTCCTCATTGCCGTAGTCCTTGAAGCCGTTGGCCAGCAGACCATACTGCTTGCCCCAGTCACCGAGGTAGTTCATCTTGATGACATTCCATCCCATGACAGTGTAGATATTGGCGAGGAAACCACCGATGATGGTACTTCGGAGATGACCAGCGTGGAAGGGCTTGGCGATGTTGGGCGACGAGAACTCGATAATGATCTTCTTCTGGCCCTTGGAGGGGTCGGAGGGGTCCTTTTGACCCTGGTTGCCGTTTGTTCCATAGGCGGCCTTCTCCTTCAGGATACGGCCAAGGACATTGCTGGTCAATGGCTGGCGTTTGCAGAAGAACTGAATATGAGCACCAAGCTGAGTCGGGGGGTGAATAAGGTCGGAGGCGGGAAACTTGGAGACAAGATCCTTGGCAAGCTCCACGGGATTTTGCTTAATTTGAAGCGAAGCCACCTAATTGCATGCAACAAGACATTGTTAGTCTAAGGGCTCCTGATCATGCGAAACATGCGAATTGAATTGCGCTTGGAGTGTGCCGCCACTTACCGGCAATGAAAGGTCACCCTTGTCCAAAGTACTGGTCCAGACAATGCGCGGGTAGATCTTCTGAGCATCGATACCGGCAGCTTTGCCCAACTCCTCCGCGATATGCTCGCGGTAAATATCCATCGGGTTCAGTGTCGGGAAGCATCCTGGGAACTGAGATGTCTGCGCCGTCGATTGGAGCGAGAGAGCCTCAACGGAGGCGGGAAGAGAAGCCGTGGACATGATTGAGAATCCTCGTTGACCGAATGCGCGTATCAAAGTCGGAAAAGTCGAAGGTTTAGAGGGGCAGCGCAACGGAGAAAAAATGGCTGTGAATCGCCGGGCCCCGCTTAGACAATGACCCATAAAGAGGGGGAAATCTCTCGGGTTTCTTTTTTTTTTTTTTCTTTTTCTTTTCTTTTTCGCTCTTGCCTTTTGACTCAGACTGGAACAGGGCGGTGAATCACGTGGCTATGGAATCTACCACTCAAGGCGGTGAACCATGCTATCGCTATCTTATCGTTATCTAAGGTGTTCCACCTGGGCAAGGTTCACGAGCAAGATCACGTGGCTATACAGCCCTGGGACTTGTGAACTTGACACGGAGTGGCTCATAGCTAGATGGCTCATATTACATAGCTCATGTGATAATGGCAGTTTTTAGAGTTGAAAGTAAGCGTCAAACAGCTCAAGGGCTGCAGATCCCACCAGTCAACTCCGCATCGATTCTCCTTCGTTTCAGAAATATATTCAGTTTCAATTTACTCCTGGTATGATCTGATTTGACCCGTTTGTCATGTCCGAGATCTTGGTAGTTCTATTTGCCAACTCTGACCTCTTGTTACACTCAGGCAGAAATGTCTTATTTGGTTGCTTGTAGTAGCTCAGTCCCCCCTTTGTCCCCATGAACCATATCAGAAGCTCCATGGTAACAGGTAGATTCATCATGCCGATACAGTTTCACTCGCTCTTCTCCAATATCCCCATTAATCAACCAAGCTCTTTTGTCCTTCGGATTTCCCCTATTCGTCGTTATATGCTAACTCCGGTACCACTAGGTATTCGAAGGAGCTGTAATGACTCTGAGGCTCAGAGTCTGAGCCTATCCGCTCTGTTTGTTTGAGTGGGCTTTGCTGGCTTTGATTACCTACAAGTTCTAAAATCAGTGATGCAAAAAAGCAGGGCCTCCAGACATGACAAGGCTTGTCGGAAATACAAACAAACAATGAACATAGAAAATAATGTCAAAGCTTTGTCTCCTGATTCATATTTATCAAAAACTTGACAATGGAATCGAACACAATGGCTTTGTTTTCACCAAAGGCCCCAGACTAGTATGGTTGTATGCCATAAGTTCAATTACAATATAGTCGGCCAGTGCCATGTATTTATTGGGCTTCAATTCCCACCATCCAATTCATCGGCAAGTCGGCATTATCCCGCGACTGAAGAAGTGGACTGAAGAAGTGGATAGAATTTCCTTCCACATCTGTCGCCATCTTGAGAGCAGCCCTAGCAAGATAACAAACTTTGGGAGCGAATCAGTATGTCATATTACATTACCATCCACCACGGCTCAGGTGTGGATGAGAGCCCTGAGAACCAATGGGTGAATCTGTCTTTTACTGTCAAAGAATATTTTTACCTTCGGACTGATGGGGCGCTAATTTGTTATATCATGGAACGTATCCGGGAGAAGAAATTCGATCTTACTTCTGAACCCTGGGATCGACGATCTCGATGGTGTATCTCGATACCAGTCTCCAAGATGCATGAGAGCAAAGACGGGGCTGCTGCTGATGCTTTACAACTGGCGGAGTGGTACAGAGTTCAAATTCTGAATGGGAACGCAACTATTAACCGTGAGTTGCTATTTGATCGGAAGCCATTTTATGATGGTAAGGAATGCTGTAGGGGTAATGTCTGCGATCTGATACTGCATCCGGAGTGGTGGATCCCAGAGCCTTCTTCGAACAATTCCACGGACTCTTCTTCGGATTCTTCTTCAAATCATTCTAAAGATCCTTCTGTGGATTCCTCTTCGGATCCTTCGTCTGATCCTTCGTCAGATCCTTCCTCTGATCCTTCTTCTGATTCTTTTTCGGACCCTTAGTGTTTTGATCGGCTGACTGGAATATGTATACAATCTCTATGCCCTTGAGTTTGACTTGATAATGTGACTAGTGCCAATTCAAAGCTTTCAAATTCAGAGCTTTAGTAGCCTTCTCAGTATTTGTAGGTAAAGAGTCATTTTTCAATAGATCCACTGTAGCGGGCAGCATCACCTGGGGAGGCACCCCCCGTTAACAAAAAGGTTAGATAGTAACAATTTGAGACTATATTTGTGGGTATAGTGCGCAAGACATGGCCTACTAAAGTTGTTAAAGATGGTATGTCGCCATATGTGATATGCAATACAAGGAGTTGTGACGTCTTAGTTCGTGACATCCTTCAACCCGGTGTTCAGGTGTGTGATAATTGCAGGAAGAGTCGCAGCTCCAAAATTGCCTATGTTTTATATATCCTTTACTGAAAATATCTGCTAAGTCCACGCGAGATTGATTATGTCCCTGGCAAAAAACAAGACGTGGGAGATACATCTTACGTCTCCACCACAGATCCACAGCAGACAAGGTGGAGAAGATTACGTGGTTGAAGAAATGACTAGGCCTTATATTTGCTAACAATTATTATCGTATGAAACAGTTTGCTTCGCTTAGGAGCGGAACTAGAAGTATATCGGAACTCATTACCGAGTATTGTATCTTAATTTAGATTAGGTTAGTACCCTGATCAGCTAATAAAATTATAGATCTAACCGTGAGCTACACTGTAACTATAGCAAATTCGACATAGCATGATCATTTCTTTGCGACTTAGCAAGAGGTAGAAATTAAAGATATCCATCTATCCTGGACTGCAATCTTAACAACTAGCTGACAGATGGTTATATAGGACACTACTTATATGTTCTGATGGACTAGAATCTACAATCCTGGGAAATACCCACTAGAGACAGAAATTGACACTGTTCTTTTTATTGACCGGAGATATTGGAATCTGACTGGACAAAGCAGTGTATCAGACAAATTTGGTGGAGTCGCGAACCAAAGGTTCTGACATCCACACCTTTTGACATCTGGAGTGTTTCGATGGTTCCGCTCCACTCAATCGAACTGGGCCTTCTAGATATCACCAATTAATCCTGTTTGTTCCTATTGCACGCCCATCATACTCCACTACCATGCTGTCAAGTCGTACGACACCAAGGCCTGCATTTCCAGCTGCGGGTCTGATGGCGATGAGTGTCTCATCTACATATAAGTTGTGTGGGTGCTCAATTTCCTGGCCGCACGGTCTCAAAAATGGATGATACCAGTTCTCTCTTCGCTCAATTGAGTCACACCTTCTAGCATGGGCCTTCATGGTAGTTTCCCGGCCTACGGTGGTCGTGGCCCCAGCGATCTTCGCCTCGGTATTGCTTTGGGCGCGATTGCGACTATCTTCACGGCGTTGCGTGTTTACGTTCGCATCCGGATGAACAAATTTGGAACTACTTCACTGATATGGGCCCTGGCTGCTTGGGTAGGGACATTGCATTTTAAATTTCTTGAAGGAAATAGGAAATACTAACTCACTTGATCTTGAAATAGTCGTTAACAACAGTGACCCAAATTTTCGCTATTATTTCCATTCTCCATGGCCTGGGAAATCATATTTCAATTGTGCAGAAAGTGGGCGAGCTACACAATTATCTTCTATTTACATGGATCACAGTCTTCTTCTTTAATATGGCAATTCCAGTGGGAAAAGTAGCAGTTGCTGCATTCCTGATCGAATTGAACTCGCAGAGCAGTATGCAATCTTCCGACTCTTCCGTCTATGTTATTTAGCTGACAGTGAGCTTATTGATAGACCCCAAAATACGGCGCAGTCTCATCGTCGTCGCGGTTTTGAATATTATTCTCAACATTCCTCAAATCCTTATGGCCTGGTTCCAATGCAGTCCCCCGAGTGCGCTCTGGGATCCTCTTCACCAGAACCAGTGTAATCACACCAGGAGTGTATATTATACCTACTTTGTCGGTGCGGTAGCTGCGCTTTCTGATTTCTATCTTGCCATTATTCCCATAACCATGCTGGTCCCTTTGCGCATGGACCGGAAGTTGAAATGGGGATTGAGTTTCCTCATGGGATGCGGTATCTTTGCCGGCGCCGCTGCAATTGTCAGAACATGGGCAGCCAAGTTCATTATGAGCGATGATTCTTCCTGTAAAGCACTTCATACCCTGTTTCACATTTACACCGAACATTTCTCTAACAACCGTCATAGATGGCATGGGCATCCTCTTTTGCTGGGGTGAAGTCGAAGAATGGCTCGTCCTCATCACCATGTCCATCCCACCAGTCTGGCCCCTATTTCGACCTCTAACCAATCAATTCATCAAATACACAAGCGATCGAAGCCAACCACAATACAAGTATGACGGCTACGGCCAGTCCACCCCAACGACGCGAGGACACCTGACCGATGGACCAATCGTCACAACCACCATCTCGATTTCATCGCACAAAGGTGCGGCAATGACGGCTGGTACCGTGGACGAAGAGGGATCCGATTCCCTTTCCAGATACGAAGAAGAACCTGAGACATCTCAGATGCCCCTTGGCCACAATGGTCACCCAGAAGGGTGGATGAAGATGTCCCAATTCAATAAGCAGAATCGTACTCGGGCTCAGAATTGAGTTCGCTTTCATTGCGACTGTCGTATTATTCCCCCTCCAACTTCACCTTCACTTTTCAGCACAACATCGATCATAGGAATCCGTATAACCTTTGTCGTTCCTTCCTGTATAGTAGGCCGAGGGAATTGAACCTCTTTTGGAAGGCGCGACATCCCCGGAGTATAGACCCCCCCTCTTCTTCTTCTTCTTCTTCTTCTTCTTCTTCTGCACCTCTTCTAAATCTCTTGTCCTCTTTCCCATTCGTATGGTCCTAGGTACATAGATACTTCGCAGATTGATAGAACTTACCGACAACTTAGTCTCAACCGATGCAAAACTCAGCAACATACAATTGCAAAACCGTGAGTGTACACATAGGGAGATCCGAGTGGATGATATGTAAATAAAATTATACAGTTCCAAGGCTATTAACGTCGATTAAAAAAAATTCAGGTCTTATCAACAAGAGCTAGGAGAATCTTTCAGGCATTCGAGCCCCAAAGGACATCTTTGGATCCCTTGTCGGCTGGGGGTATATTCACATATCTAACCAAACCGAGCAGAGATTGGACATCAAAACAAAAATGCTTCGCGGCCGGGCCAAGCTAATATTCTATAGCCGATTCATTTGAAAATCGAATGGCAGAGGCAAGCTTTAAAACAGCAACTTTTCGTTCGCAGCGAATCGCTTAGAAGCAGAAGACCTGGTCCTCCAGCTTGCTGACGGGGCGCGCCTTGGTGTATCCAAGAGCCTCGGTGGACTTCTTCATGGCGCTGATCATGGGAGGGGGGGCCACAGAGGAAGATCTTAACATCGGCAGCGGGGGCAGGCAGGCGCTCCTATAGGAAAGTTTAATTAATACCGATGGAGCACATCCGAGCACAGTGGGCAAACTTACCTTGATCATATCGGGAGTCACGAAGCCGACACCGCCGGTCCAGCCCTCGGGCGGGTTGTTGAGGACGTAGTAGACGCGGAATCCATCGTCCTCCTTCTCCAGCGCCTCGAGCTGGTCCTTGAGCAAGATGTCTTCGGGGTTGACGTTGGCGAAGATCAGGTCAACCTTGGTGGTGTCGTTGCCACCGTTGCGAGGACGGTTGCGGATGATAGCCTTGATAACCTGAAGCATAGGGGTGATACCAGTACCACCGGAGATCATACCAATGTGACGGCACATGTTGGGGGTGTACACCATGGCGCCCTTGGGGCCGCGGACCTTCATGTTGTCGCCGATCTTCAGCTCGGTGAGATACTTGGAGATGTTACCCTGGGGGTAAGCCTTGACGAGCAGGTCGAAGTAGCCGGCCTCGTTGTCGGAGGAGATGGGGGTGTAAGAGCGAACAACCTCCTTAGGCTGACCAGCGATAGTAGCGGCAAGAGAGATGTGTTGACCGATGGGGAGTCCGAGGATATCAGTGGGACGGGGAAGAGCAAAACGGTAGATGGCGACATTGTGAGAGATCTCGTTCTTCTCCTTGAGGACGAAGTCCTGGAATTCGGTGGGGTTCAAGACCTTGCGAGGCTCCGCGTTTACTAAGGTCAGGTCAGTTACTCAGCTCCACTCTGATTGATAGAAGATCAACGCACGAGTGCTGAACACCAAATAACCAGCCAGCATTACAGCGAGGGCAATCGCATAGGCGAGAAACTCAGGCTTCACGGCGTAAACACCCGCGACGAGCACGGCCGAGGGCGCGAGGCCCATGCCGATAGTGGCGAGACTTGAAGGAATCAGTCATTGTTCGGGGATTAATATAAGGGCAAAGAGGTGAAGAACATTTATTTACCTCATTATGACAAAAACTGGATACTGTAAATCACCAACAAAGCGCGGTGAAAGGAGAGAAGTGAAGTGAGAGAAGATAAAAAGAAATGAGGGGACCCAGTTGGCTCCGCCCAACGGATTTTCCCACCTTTTGGGGTCACAATTTCCCCGACTTTCTGTGTGTTTACTTCTTGGACTTGGGCTGATTGACTGATACTACACCTTTTTCTCTCTTTTCAGAATCAAAATGTCTCAAATACCAGAAGTCCCTGCCTTTAATCTAACGGAATTGGACCACAAACTCCTGGCCATGACCGATGAGGAGTTTGTATACCATGACTGGGAAGACCTAAAAAGCATTATCGGTAAGTGTTCCCTCGAACAAATCTGCCCGGAAACTCCCCCTCATAGGATGTACCGTAGCACGAAATGACCTCGGCGTACTCATGCGGAAGCCTTCCGATCTCCGCCGATATCTGGCCTGGACACATGAGACCAAGACCCAATATGGCACGATTATGAATTATATTTGCCAGCAGCGATTAAAGTGGCATTTACCGCAAAACACTGCCAGCGGGACCCCTTCCGCCTTCAAGAACCCGATTCCCTTTGCCGATCCCGAGGACTACAAGATCCTCCGCAATGACTGGCCATATGGCGTCAGCCCTGGAATTTCACATCTTGTCGTGTGGCTCCGTACTCCCATCCCTGTACAGTCTAGCGAGGGTCATTTGACCGATGAATCTCGTGCGATGATCAACAATTTTGTTCAAAAGACGTTCGTGGACCGTTTGGCTAAGGACCATCGAAATTTCTCAGACCCTGAGTCTCATGTGCTCTGGTTTAAGAATTGGGTTGGCCTCCAAAGTGTGAGGGCATTGGAACATGTTCATATTTTGGTTCGTGATGTTCCTGAGGATATCTTATTCGAATGGGCGAATGAGTGAGACCTAGGGATTGTTGATAGGCTTTCTTTTGCCCGATCCGTCAGGTTTACATCATCCGAAGCATCTTACAGCGTTTCACTACATCGGACATTTCACGGCATCCTTGAGCAAATCAAAATATAAGATAATATACTTAAGAGCCCAATGGACACAGGCAGTAGTGACGTCCTTCTACCATGAAGGCCGTGGTTCGTGGTCACCTTGAGGCCTTGCCACATACTCGATCTTTACCTGATCCGTGCGATGAATCTTGCCGACCACATGGGCATCGTTCCGGAGCTGATCCGAGTTCAAGATGCTTTCTTGGCTACCGCTCCTCGTAGTCTCAATATTCGTGGTCATTAGGATATCGTCGTTTTCGCGAGTGTTGTTTGATTTCTTCGTGGGTCCATCCGTGTAAGTACGCATCTTGCCGCTGTCATATCGCCCGTGAGAGCTCCACGAACGTTTGCCTCGGATCATCTCGTATATCGGACCCAAGGTTGGGATGCAGGAGGCTATTATGATGATGTTCGACTCGACACTGATAAACGAGTCAGATATAACGGTTTGTAACATTCTGTATAAGGAGTAACTGAAAACATACCTCGTCCAGATGACAAGATCTGCCGTTGCGTCTATTCATCTCGAGTCAGCGGTAAATCTCTCCCTTTATGCAAAACAACTCACAAGTCGAGTCTGCCGTGTCATATAAACCTGGCAGCTGTAGGCACTTAACGATAGCCATCGCACAGGCTCTGTGTGAAGGATCAGCTACCTACTCCAGACAATCATATGAATCTACTTACACGGCACCCAAACCCAAAGCTGCACAAAGGGCCAATTTCTTCTTGAGCGTCATTTGAAGGCGTAGCAATACCACAGTGGGGTAAATTGCAAGATATAGATCCACCACCGCGGACAGAACTGGGAAAGCTTTAGTTGTTTGTGTGCAAATGAAATGCAACTCAACAACATACCTCCAGTAAAAATTGCATAGCCCACAAGGATCGTGGTCGAACGGCATGTTGCCCCTTCAGAAATGAGATGAATCTTCCATAAAGCCCGGGGAGGATCACACATGGTGAAAAGAACGACAATGCAGATGGTCGACGCTACGAACACCGAGGCTGTCAACATCCACAGCCAGATTCGATGAAACCGGCTGGGATTCATTATGCGATTCAGGAGAGCGGCGATGGCAAGTTTCGGTGTTGTGAAAGACATGATCCCTAGCGCAAAGTCTGCATAATTAATGACTAGAATGCGCTCGACCAGGTCCATGCCACCTCGTTCCATCAGCACAGAGGTATGGCTCCCGTAGCCAAGAAGGACATTCACCGTGGTGAGAATTGTATAACTGGTGACCATGACCTATAAAATTGGTATCTGGCGTAGATCAAGATCAATTGGAAGATACCTACCATTGCTGCCGCGATAATATAGTCATCGAGTCCAATGTTCCTTAACATTCGGGCTCGGATATATAGTCGCAAGGATACCATCACAACACTTACACTGAAGAAGGCCCAGAAAACGCCGAGAATGCGCGGACCCTTTGTCTGGCTCATATATTCAGCATTCACAGTTGCCATGATGCCGAGAGCAGTGGCTGCTCTGTTGCTCAAAGAAGAATCACGACAATATCCTTTACTTATGGCGTCAAAAGGACTAGAAACTGCGGAGTAGGTAAGTAATCATGATTAAAACCCCAAAGTTGAGAATAATTTATTTTTGAAGAGATCTATTACTTCGTGCCGCTTCCAGGGGGGCCATAATGATACAATCTGACCAATGGACTGCCCAAAAAAGCAGATACACCAAGCCTCAAGATCGCAAGTGGCTTGAAGCAGGGTATGATTGATTTTTGGCCCCCAGGCACTACAGCCTTGGCGATCGTATATTAGACGCGAGGTTGTACTTTATATACATCTTCCCATTTTATATTACACATGATAGGACAGAGTTCATGAAGTTAGTCCTTGTTCTGCTAATTATGCTATCTCCCCTTCGATTCCCTGCCAGAATTTTCACGAACCTGTGTGTAGATCCCTCGTGGAGACATGAGTGATGGTCTTGCACCATGTGGAGCTGTCAATCCCGCAGGATTTTCTCGGTTAGGACAATGGCTATGTATTTAATGAATTGCGGAGTTATAGAGCAAACTGACCAACCAAATTGTACCCAAGATCGCTTAATGTGGGATAACATATGATACTAATATGCGTAGGTATATGTATATAGTATTCTTGTCAGGGGTTCGGCTATTCTTTACCCGGACATGTTAGCAGCTAGAATTTAGTGTAGCACTAGATACTGTGGCCGTGGGGGGTTCCTTTTAATCCCACCTGTTCGCCTCGTAGATATATGTGTATGCCTTGCAGCAAGCTCAGTCTATCATGACGTACTCCAACGGAATCTCAAATGGCTCAGCCAATGATGCGGCGAATGTAGAGCGTCTTGCTCTGTCCTCAAACCTGCCAGATACCGTGCCTGGTCTCCTTAAAACGGTTGCGAAGCATGGCAATGATCTCCTTGCTCAGGATCCTGAAGCACGAGCCAAGCTGCTAGAAGCTGCACGATCATTGACTTTTGCATTGGAAACTCCCCGAGAAGCAATCATCCGGCACTGCTGGTCTGAGGTGTGTTGCAACTGCCATCTAATGTTCTTCGAAGTGATATAAGAGTGTTTAGACTTACATTTGCTGGATTTGCTTAGTCTACGAGCTATGCAGCCCTAGAGACGGCCGTTGATATAAACCTCTTCTCTGCCCTTGGCACAGATGACAAACCGAAAACTGTCGCAGAGCTTGCTCATGCAACCAGCGTGGATCCAATTTTGCTCGGTTAGTGGTTTGTTTGCATATCAGCAAACTCCAACACCTAACAAATTTCTATAGGGCGATTGATGAAGCATCTCGCTGCGATGGGAACAATAACTGAGACTGGCTACAACGAATACTGCCCCACTGGGTTATCAAAGGTCCTCACAGTTGAGAGATATAGCGATGCATTCCCCCTCATGTAGGCTGATAACCAGAACTCGATACTCAGAATCGTGACTGATAATCCCAGGACTCGTCGTTTCACCAAAGGCATCATGGCGCTACCGGCGTTCCTCAAAAAGAACAAATACCAAAACCCCACATGTCCTACAGATACAGCGTTCCAGATGGGCTATGAAACAGACATGGGTTTCTTCGGACATGTGCAAAAGGAACCAATCACAGCAAAGCAGTTTAATAACCATATGTCAGTCTACGCTCAAGGCCGAGTTCGCTGGATGGACCCCGGTTTCTACCCGGTCCAAGAGCAGCTTGTAGATGGTGTCACCATTGGCAAGGATGATGTCCTGCTCGTTGATGTTGGAGGCAGCTTTGGCCACGATCTATCCGATTTTCGTCGGAAATGGCCTGGCGCCCCTGGTCGTCTGGTACTTCAGGATCTTCCTGAGGTCGTGGTTTCCGTTAAGGACCTGCACCCCTCTATTGAAGTTACTGGTCATGATTTCTTTACTGAGCAACCAGTCAAAGGTACGGAAACAGACGACCCACCTGTATCCTTGCGCACTGCAAAAAGGCTAGAGTAACTAACTTTTTTTTATTCTCATAGGAGCCCGCGCTTACTATATGCATTCTGTCCTTCATGACTGGCCCGATGAGCTTTGTCGCAAGATTCTCGCTAATACCGTAGCCGCCATGCGGCCCGGGTATAGCAAGGTTTTGGTGAATGAAAATGTGATTCCGGACACGGGGGCCTACTGGGAAACCACCAGTCTGGACTTAATTATGATGGAGATTGGATCCGGCGAGCGCACTGAACGCCAATGGCATTCATTGCTCGAGTCTGTCGGGCTCAAAATAGTCAAGATCTGGACTGCCCAGAAGGGCGTGGAGAGTCTGATTGAGTGTGAGCTAGCTTAATATGTGAGGAGATGCTGTACAAATTTCCAAGCAAATCAATCTGAATCTGCAGAGTGAGAAAGGAGATATCATGACACTTCGTAAGAATTTGATTTTAGGCTGGTGAATAACCATCATGCACAATTCATTAGAACACGTAAAATAACTACGTTTGACGAATTGAAATGGAAACAGGACAATAAAAAAGAAATTCGGTATCAGAGTACGCCAGCCAGCTAGTCCATCGAAGCAAATGTTGATTACAATATACAAACAGCACGCTTAGGCAATATGACGATCAGGTCTTCTGCTCCTCCACGAACTTGAGAGCTTCTTCACGTGAGACAACATCGATAGTACTGGCCTTTTGCCTGAAGCTCACACCATAGCACTTCTCCGCGACATGCAACATTTCAGGTCGGAAGGTAGTGCAGATAAATTGTCCGTTGGTCGAATCCGAGATGGACTTGAGCATCTGTGCAACGGCTGTTCGGTACTGAGCATCTAGGTTGGCATCGATCTCATCGAATAGATAGAATGGCGCGGGGTCGCAAGCCTGGATGGCGAAAACCAGTGCGAGAGCGCAAAGACCTATAGCAACTTAGTTAGCAACTACAAGCAAATACAGAGTCAGACTGGAAATGCTTACTCTTTTGTCCACCACTCAGCTGCTGAATACGTTGTTGATCGTCGTGCTTGCTATTGAAGCTCACACTGATGCCGACACCAACGTAGTTTTCGACGCTCTGCCTAGCTTCCTCGTCATCTGAGTCAACATCGTCATCAAGTCGTGTAGCACGGTCAGTCTTCCTTTGAATGATAAGACGACCACGACCGGCGGGAACAAGTTTCTCGAACACGTTGTGGAACTCTCGTGAGACCTGCTTGAAGGTTCGTTCAATGGCCTCATCCTTGCGCTGGTCAAGAACAGAGATGAGGTCATCAATGGACTTCTGGGATGCATCCAGCTCGGAACGACGTGTGGTAAGAGTTTCACGCTGCTTGGTGAAACTGTTATACTGTTCAAACGCCTTCTTGTTGACATGCGAATATTTCTTGAGAGCCTCATTGGTTTTGTGGAGCTTCTTGACGACTGTGTTGGAGTCAGTGTTTTGGTACTTGGTGAAAGCTTCATCCGGAAGAACACCGAGGGAACGAATGTTGGCCGCACACTCAGCTCCCTGCTTAGTAAGTGCTGCCTTCTTTTGCATGCTCTTCTCCATACGGCGCTGATGCTTTTCGATAGATCGAGCGAGCTCTTCAATTTCCCGTCGAGTCTCCGCATTACGCTGTTGCAGATCCATCACGCGAGTATTGCCTTCCTCAATTGAGGTATCAACCTCCTTCAGTCGTGCATTGAGCTTCTCCAATGCCTGGCCGATACGCTTCACTTCACGCTGTGTCTCTTTCAGGTTGCCCTGAACTTCCTCGTCGGCGATGTCAATGTCCCTGTTAAGTAATTGATCAAGGCGAGGATTGAGGTTCTCTCGAAGCTCAACTTCTAGCACCGACTTGCGGGCCTCGAGCTCGCTGCGCTGACCCGAAAGCTCTTGGTATTGACGGCGCAGATCTTGTACTGTGCTGCTTAATGTTTCTAGTCGGGTTTCCTCTTCGCTGGTGAGAGCTTTCTGGAAAGGCGATGACAGTTCGATTTGGAACGCATTGACTTGGTCGTTCAGTGCTGCAAGGTTAGACTCAACATTTCGAAGAGCGCGTCGCTTGGCATCAAGAGTATCGTTCTTGTTTTGAAGGAGGTCACGCTTTGCCCTCAACTCATGTCGTAATGGTCCGCTGCTGTTTTGGACCTGATGTCTCTGTTGCTCAAGCTTTTGCAATTCACCAACAGCCTTTGTGATCATCTGGTCGAGTTTTTCCAACTCTTTGCGGATTTCCGTGCCGCGATTTCTCTTGATCTCATACTCGTCCCGCCACTTGGCTAGACTCTTGACAGCGTCCAATCGCGACTGACGGGAGTCGTGGTATCCACCAGTTAAAGCACCACGCTTGTCTGATCGATCACCCTCTGGAGTGATAGCATTGACACCATGGCTTCGCGCGTACTGTGACGCAACCTGCAGGTTGGGGCATATGATAGTCTTGCCGAACACGTGCTGGAAGGCTCTTTCATATGCCGGGTCATACTGCAACTTCTCGATCATTGGTATTGTGTCGCTAGCACGAGGCATGTTCATCGGCCTAGAGCGAAGTCTATTTAGAGGCATGAACGTCACACGACCGGCCTTTTCCTTTTGTAGAATCTCGAGAACGGTTGTAGCTGTTTCGTCGGTGTCAACAACGTAGTGGAATAAACTCTGGCCGGCAGTGACTTCGACAGCGGTGCGATATCTATCATTGACATCGAAAAGCTCAGCAAGAGTACCGTAGACTCCTTCAAGATTATGCTGGCGCTTGATTCGGCGTACTGCGGCAGTTCCGCGACTGGTGTTGTTATCCATCATCTGCGAGAGATTGCGCTCGGCACGGTCCACCTCTTGTGATGCATTCGAAAGCACGGAGTCAAGTTTTGCTTCTTCTCTCCAGAGTTCCCTGCGGAAACATTAATATGTGATTCGAGCCAATCAGTCATTCAGGAAAGCTTACTTTCTTTGGTCCATGAGTCGGTCTCTTTCATCCTTGGCATCTTGGACTTGTCGATCCACGGAATGAATTGTGTCACCGCGTCCATCAATTTGTTGGCGCAAGCGTTCGGTTTCCGGCTCCAAAGCGGCAATCTCGCCTTCTAGATCTTGGATATCTTCTTGTGTCTGAGAAATCACACCCTGGACAGTACTGATAGAAGTATGGCTCTCGCGGATTTCCATGTTCAGCCACTTGTCACGCTCAGATTTGTTCTTGAACCGCGAGTTTCGACCCTGCTTAGCATAAAGACGCTGGCGCGAAGTCTCGGCATCTGTCAACTGTGATTTGACCGTGTCTTCTTGATCCTTCAAGGCATTGAACCGAGGGAGAATTTCCCGATGTTCGATTTCACGATCACGAATAGCGGTCTGAACAGAGGTGAGGTCGGAGTCGTAACGAGATTTCAGTGCCTGTGCGGCAACCTGGTTATCAGAAAGAGACTTGGCCTGCAGTTCAGTTTGAGCCAGAATCTTGGATGCTTCACGCCGTTCATCCTCCAGTTGAGCCTTGTCAACTTTGAGGAACTCAATCTGTTGCCGACACTCAGCGATCTCAGCCCCAATTTGAGCCATCGCTTTCTCGCCTTCAACGAATTGGTCACGGTTATTGTCGGCATCCTCTACGCCGTTCTGCCGTCGCTCTTCAATTTCATTAAGGACCTTACCGATCTCCTGTTGTTCGAGGGAGTAGATTGTGTACTCTAGACAGCGGCGCTCCTTGTCTTTCTCCTGATAGCTCCGAAGCTCGTCCTTTTCTTCTTCGAGCTCGGCAAGGCGTTCGTTGATATAGTCGAGGAGTTCGTCAATCTTGGCGCGCTTACTGTTGGTCTCATTCATGATTTTCAAAGATTCCGAACGACGAGCTTCGTAAACCTGGGTGCCGGCGACCTCCTTAAGAAGAACCAGGCGCTCGGAGTCTTTCATGTTGGTCAGCGCTGTGACTCGGCCTTGGGGCACGATGTAGTAAGGGTTGGACCGAGAGAAACCAGCCGACTCGAGCAGGTTCATAACATCATTCTTGGTTGCATTCTTGCGGTCGAGAGTGTATTCGTCTTTCTTAATACCGATAGTACGACGCAGGACAACCTCGGGCTTGCCTGTCGGGAATCGATCGTCGGAGTTGTCGAATATGATCTCGACGTAGGCGGACATTACAGCCGAACCGGAACCTTCCTGCTTGGGGTCAATCTAAGTATACTTTGAGTGATGACAAAGTACATACGTGCAAAAGTGCTTGGCGTTCCTCTCTGCCGAGATGAGTGTAGGCATCGCTGAGGACGAAGCGAATGGCCGCAAAGAAGTTACTCTTCCCGGAACCATTGCGGCCGACAATGACGTTGTGTTTGGGGGAGAATGGCTCAATGACCGTTTGATCTTTATAGCTGAAATTCATGCGATGTCAGCATAAGCAATATAAGGACCATAAATATCGCGTTTGAGTGTGGAATATACCTCTTGAAGCCTTGAATGATGATCTGCTTGACATACATCTTGAGAAGAAACGCGCGACGCGATGATCAATCAGAGAATCCTCCGCATAACGCGCCTGGCGCAGGAATGAACTAAGAAAAGAATCTTCTGCAAGAATCACAGCTAGCAGACCTCTCTACCAATGAACAGACAAAGGCCGATGGGTATTGTGATTGTGTTGCAAAACCTTGGAAACTGACTACGCGAGGAACGAAATTCGCGCGTCTCGTTGGGCGCGGGGTTCTGCCGGGCGGTGACACTAATTTGGGCCACAGAAAAAAAAAACCCCTTGGGGACCGGCGGACATATTCAACTCTCTCAATTCTCAACATTGAAGATCCAGAATGGCTTCGATTGAGAATACCGCCCAGGCAACTGGTATTGCCGATGGCCTCGCGCCATCGCATACCTACGTGCCCAACGAAGGCTACGTGAACCCTGATACTGCAGACTCCGCCGAGGCGGGGCAAGATCTTCCCGATGAGCACGAGGAAGAGTATGAGGAAGACGATTACTACGACGACATTTTCGACGACGAATTGGATCGTGAAGATATTCTGTCTTCTGATAATTCTGATCTTACCAAAGCATACAATCGCCAACGCAGAATCAACGACCTCGCTAGCGACTCCAACGTGCCGAGATGGACATACCCCAAGACGAACACACAGAAGCCTACAGTGAATACCTCTGCGTCTGTCGATGACCAGGTCAAGTCTCTTACTCGCCATGCCGCAAAGATCAAGCTAGATGACCAACAGGCCGGCATTTCGGGCCACAGCAACAAGCATGGAGACAAGGCGGACCGAGCCACATCGGAACAAGTGTTGGATCCCCGTACGAGGATGCTTCTACTACAGATGATCAACCGAGGTCTCGTCTCAGAAATCCACGGATGTTTGTCGACCGGAAAGGAAGCAAACGTCTACCATGCCATGTCCATCTCGCAGGAAGACGAGGATGCTGCCCCACTACACCGTGCGATCAAGGTCTACAAGACAAGTATTTTGGTATTTAAGGATCGTGATAAGTACGTGACTGGAGAGTTCCGATTCCGTCAGGGATACAACAAGAGCAACAACCGCGCCATGGTCAAACTTTGGGCCGAGAAGGAGATGCGAAACCTGCGAAGAATCTATGCTGCGGGTATTCCCTGCCCCGAGCCTATCTTCCTTCGTCTACATGTACTTGTCATGGGATTCATTGGTAGCTCAAAGGGTCTAGGCGCACCGCGCCTCAAGGATGTGGACTTCAATATTCCTGAACCGGAGACTCGTTGGCGCGCACTGTATATCGAATTATTGGGGTATATGCGCGTTATGTATCAGACCTGCCGTCTAGTTCACGCTGATCTGAGCGAGTACAACATTTTGTACCACAAAGAACGCCTGTATATCATCGATGTTAGTCAAAGTGTTGAGCACGATCACCCCCGCAGTCTGGAATTCCTGCGCATGGATATCAAGAACGTCAGCGACTTCTTCCGCCGGAAGAACATTTTGACTCTTCCCGAGCGGACTGTGTACCAGTTCATTATCTCCCCAGAGGGACCAGTTGATGGGACCGCTGGCAACGAAGAGATGACGAGTGCCATCGAAAAGCTCCTTGCTGCCCGCGAGGAGGGTGATGATGAGCAGCAGGAAGCTGAGGATGTCGATACTGCTGTCTTCCGCCAACAATATATTCCCCAGACACTAGAGCAGGTGTACGATGTCGAGCGCGACGCCGAACGCATTCGTGATGGCCAAGGTGCTGACCTTGTTTATGGAGACCTCTTGGCCGGCGACAAAAAGAAGGCCACTGCCACCGATGCCGTCGAGGAAGACGTTGAATCTGACGCAAGCGGCGGTGTTTCCGTCTCAGGATCTGACTCAGACGAGGAAGAAATAGACCCGTTCGCGCCGAAGCCGCCTCGAGGCAAGCGGTTCGAAGACAAAGACTCCAAGCGCGACCACAAAGCAAAGGTGAAGGAGGAGAAGCGTGAGCAGCGGGCGAACAAGATGCCGAAGCACCTGAAGAAAAAGCTCGTTTCTGGTTCTAGCAGAAAGAAGAAATAAGCTCGGGTATTTTTCTGACCTTATCTTTCTTTGCATGTGCACGAGTTGCGAATTTTTGCACTGTGTCAATCTACCGCTTGGCATGATTTGATGATGAAATGCATATATGGATGGAGCATTGGGCATTTGATACCTTGGTCTACACTTGATAGAAATGGGAAACATAAATAAATATATGATGCAAGCTCCTCAACACTGAACCAAGAATTCTCACTTGGGAGTAGACTACTCATAGTATATGGAGGATATTCACAGCCAATTCGAAAAATAAAATCAAGGTAAAAACTTATCAGAGCTCTCTTTGGACGTCACTCCAATCCGTCCTCTCACCATAGATCCCTCACTGGTGTCAAAGCAGTGCTTACATCCCGCAAACAGGGCAAGAGTATGCATCTGGTAAATGAGCATCGAGCAGGGAACATGAGGATGAGTATGACGAAAGGTCAGACCTATTGTGCCTTCATCATTTAAGTCAAAATGATAATATGGTCATGATGTACTAGTTAGCAGCGGTATTGATGTGCCGTATATCCAATTTCCATCTTAGCTACAAAATGTAGTGGAAAGATCAGAGCGAGGCCGAGGAGGTCAAAGGGGACGGTACAACGCTCGGACAGCAATCGGATGAAGATATGCATTAGATGAAAGCAACGAGCTGCTGCCGTCAGGTATATTAGGGGAGATCATGGGGATTGCATTTGGAGCACGACCTGGCTTCGTGCCTTGACCCGTGCATAAGCTTCCTCAACAAGGCCTCTCGGCAGGTCAGGGATTTGTTCTCCTTCCGAGCTTCCATCTGATACTCCTGCCTCGGTAGTCCCTGTATACTCAGATACACCAGGTTCCTCCGAAGCCTTCTGCGTCACAGGATCATTATCCAGGTGGCCGCCTGAGAGGCGTAAGAACTGCACTTGCATTGGTGCTAAGCCAACCCCAGGCCATATGTCAGAAGGAAGAAAATCTCCCTGTTCAACACGGAAAGTATCACGAGCAGAAGCATCTTCATCGTATAGCTGGTCCAGCTTGTGCCGAGTATCTCGGAGCACCTTTTCTACACGTTGACGAACATGACGTCGACGTGCTACTTCCAGCAGCAGGCTGTCGTAAGCATTCAGAAATCCGTCGTACAGGGAGTGTAGATCAGTGAGCTCCGCGAGGCCGGAGTTGATGCGGTCATTTTCTTCGAGCCACACGCGCGTGAAATTATGTGCCTGAGATATGTAACGGGGTAAGCGAGAGGAGGCAAGAGAGGATAGGTGGCTGTGAACTTCGATCGTTGCCTTGTAAATGGACAGCAGAGCATCTCGCTGAGCTTGCACTTGTTCAAATACGGATTCCATTTCATTAATGCGATCTTGAATCTCCATAACAACATCATCAGCCTCGGGAGCATCTTTGATCAAGACAGCCACCATCTCCTGATACTCGGCGTCAGTCATCGGGTCAAGAGGTGCATTCAAATTGGCGTTGATCTCTGCCCCTATATTTGGCATTCCATCATTGCTGCCATCAACACCAGTTGACATATCACCCGTGATAGATCGCGCAAGTGCTCCTCCGCCATCTGTATGCTTCACAGCGGTAACACAGAGATCGAAATGCCGAACCAGTGCTTCCAATAGAATGGCCATTTCTTGAGCATGGGCCTCCAGTGATTGGATCTGACCCGGCATAAACGCCAAAGTGAGAAGGCCGGAATCGGACGCAGATGACGAGGAAGATGTGATTGATAATCGGGATGACGCCAACTTGGTGGCTGTGTGGTAGTGACGAAGCGACTGTCTGGTGGCTTGAAGTTCGTCATCAAATTCACGATTGGACGTGTCCAATTCAGCGCGCGCCGTGTTAGTGCGGTCAATAGAAGCTTTTAGAGAGGCATGTAGTTCTTCAACACCTCGCTCGTCTACAAAGTCATGTAGAGACTTCTGCTCTTCATCACCAGGTCTGAATGACGTGTGAACGATAGTCCCGCGGAGCAGATCTAGCGTATTTCTGAGCCGAGCATCGGCAGCATCCAAGTTTTTGAGTGCCACTGAAAACTCATCACGACCTCGATATGATATCTGTTCGACCTCTGTACGAACATCGTATAAAAGCCGGAGTTGTCCATTGAGGCCTCGACGTAAGAAGCCTGTCCGGGAGCACACGACAACACTTTTCTCCAATGCCGTGTGTGATGCAGTGACTATTTCATTGGCTCGCCAGACATGAGTAATTGAAGACAGTGAACGTTTGGCACCCAGTAAATACGAGATCAAAGTGTCAACTTGAGGTAGGGGCTGCTGTTCCCCATCATTGAATCCAGCCTGCGGACGAATAGACGATGAAGAGGACTGGGATGACGCCATTGTGTGAGTCAATTAATAACCCTGTTAATGGCGCATTTGGACTAGGATAAGAAGAAAGACCAGGGTTGCTTAAGGGAGAGAATTCTCAGGGGCGAGAGCAAATTCTGACACAGCTACGAGGGAAAGAGGGTGCTTGCACCACTTTCGCTTCACCGAAACTCTAGGACACTTCAGTATAGGCCTATATTGGACAAACCAGGGTGTTGCGAACTTGGATAGAGCCGGAAGGGGGAAGTGGCTCGTCCATCAACCTGGAAGCTAGGTGTTATCAGGCACTCGGCACGATAATACCAAGCTAGGGCTGGGGTCCACACGGGCAGATCAAGAGCATGAGCTCCAGTCCAGAAATGACTTGTGAACAAAGCGATAAAGAAAAACAGCCTCTTACCAGTAATTATTCAGTTCCATATGTCTCGGTCAAGACCGGATTCCGGTACATCAATTGCAGACAACGGCAAGCCGTTCACAGAAGGTTTGGATAGACCGCAGTAGGGTGTATGATAACCAACAAAGCTGGGGGCAGTGGGTCTCCCAAAGGGTGTCGGTGTGAGATAGCCGGACTAGTCTCAATCATCCAAAAAAGAGAAAGCCCCGTTTCACCCCGGTTAAGCTGAAAGATAGCGAATCAGCCTGTCGGAAGCGTAGGAAGTGATCGATTGATGTGCGACGGCGTGGAGATGGCGCAATAAAGATAATCACGTGCAGCCTCACCGCCCAAATCACGTATGTGCCGCTCTGCCGCTGTCACGCAATCCCCGGACTCCATCGATGGCGATATCGAAGACACGTCCAGATTGTGCAATTTTTCTGGATTTTAAATCCTTCTCCTTTAAAAAACTCCGTTAATCCCAATTTTTCCTTCTCTTTATCCTACAAGATTCTTCCACTTGTTCAATCTCGATAACGCTCTTATCTCAATTTTCCTCTCAGGGTACTCATATCGCCCGAGTATAGCTTTTTGACACCCTCCCTTTTGAGCCTCTTATTCTGGGAAATTCTTCCAAGAACCCCGATCGCGACATTGATCGAGATTCTCTCCCGTGCTCGTTGATCTAAACGATTCAACTCAAAAGAACACCGAGATTCACAAACCGACCGGTTCTTATCTCGGTGCCACATCAGTCGCGACCGTCTCTCGCCCGAGCGGTCCCTCCCCCTCCCCCCCTCCTTTCTCAACACCGCGCAAAACCGAAACAGTCATCATGGCCGATACACCGAAACCCTCGTCCACACAGCAGAGTCTAGTTATCGCAAATTCGACGGTCAGTGCGAACACCGACTCCAACCGCTCTATGCCGCGCAAAAATACCGACAACACCACACAAACCCTGGAGGAACTAGCGAGGCAAAATGTGGCCCCCTTCCTCGCTAAATATCAGCCACGACAGTATGCGCCTTTGCGCTCGCAAGTATCAACTCCATCCGAGCAAAATCTAGTGAATGCCAGCTACTGCTATCGTCATCAACCGGACTCAAAATGCAGCAGACGCCAAGCCGATGAACAGTCGATGACTCAGCTGCAATCCGATCTCAACCTACTCCCTCAAAGTGACCAGCAGGGTATTTCCCATGTGTGGTCGTTGTTCTCAGCTGCTCCAGCGAAGCAGCGAACTCTCATGCTCCAGGGAATTTTGGCGCAGTGCTGTTTCCCCCAGCTATCTTACATATCCGCAAGTGTCCGCGAACTCATCCGGATCGATTTCCTCGCTGCCCTCCCTCCTGAGCTTTCCTTCAAAATCCTCCGTTACCTTGACACGGCCTCCTTGTGCCGAGCAGCGCAGGTCTCTCCCCGCTGGAGAGCCCTCGCCGATGATGATGTGGTGTGGCACCGGATGTGCGAGCAGCATATCCGTCGAAAGTGCAATAAGTGTGGCTGGGGTCTTCCTCTCTTAGACCGCAAGCGCCTGCGCGAAGCCAAGCGTGAGATTGAATTGCGTGCGACCAACTGGGGCAACAACGAGCCTGCCGCTGGGCCTGCTGATGCTGCAATTGCCGAGCCTTGCTCGACAGTTGAACCTTCAGACAGTGGCAAACGCAAGATGGAGTCTGATGACGAAGTCTCCGGCGCCGCAAAACGCCATTGTGCATCATCCCCCCAGTCTCCTGAAGAGGACGAGAGTTACTTCAAAACTCGTTACCGTCCGTGGAAGGAGGTTTATCGGGATCGATTTGTTGTCGGTATGAATTGGAAGCACAAGCGCTGCTCAGTCAAGGTCTTCAAGGGACACAGAGACAGTGTCATGTGTCTGCAGTTCGAGGATAATATCTTGATGACTGGGTCTTATGATGCCACGGTTAAGATCTGGGACACAGATACCGGCGAAGAATTGAGAACTCTCAGAGGACACATGGCTGGAGTGCGATGTCTCCAGTTCGATGACACCAAACTGATCACGGGAAGTCTGGATCGCAGCATCAGGATCTGGAACTGGCGTACAGGCGAGTGTATCTCCAAGTACAATGGCCACGCCGAAGCGGTCATCGCCCTCCACTTTGATTGCACTCTTCTTGCATCCGCCTCTGTCGATCGCACTGTCAAAATTTGGAACTTCAAGGACAAGTCTACTTTCGTTCTTCCCCATCCACAGGGAGTCAACGCTGTCAAAATCGACTCTATTTCGCGCACAGTTTTGACTGCGTGCGATGATGGTGCCGCGCGCCTTTGGGACTTGGACACCAAGACGTGTATTCGAGTGTTCCATAACCACATTGGAGCCGTTCAACAAGTTATTGCTTTGCCCCGAGAAATTGAACTAGAGAATCACCTCGCCGACTGCGAGAACGACCACGTCAGCACATCTTCTCAAAATGGTGACAATATCCTGAGCACGCTTTCCCCTCTTCTCGAGGCCAAGTCTCTGTCTCTCCAGAACTCACCATTCGGCTCCTCTTTTGACCATGACCAGGGCCGCGTGGAACCTCCGCGCTACATTCTCACCAGCGGTGTGGACACAACTATCCGATTATGGGAAACCAGCACCGGAAGATGCCTTCGTACCTTCTTTGGACATCTAGAAGGTATCTGGGCTCTTTCTGCGGATACTCTGCGGATTGCGTCTGGTGGCATGGATCGAATGGTCAAGATCTGGGATCCTCGTGTTCCTACCGGGCAGGATACCTATGAAGGTCACAGCGCAGCCGTCAATTGCATTGGCCTGAGTGACTCCCGTTTCATCACTGGTGGTGATGACTACCAAGTTCGCATGTATGATTTCCGGGCCTAGGGGCCGATGTCTATTTTCTTTTGTCTGTCAAAAGTACCCTTTTGGTTAGATCTTTTCTGTCGTCATGGGATGGGGCGTACAATTGCGACGCTGCCTTTTTTTTTTCTCGGAGGGCGGGTGGATTTTTCTTTCTATAATTATTGCATATCCGGCGGATGATTGGATACCCTGGCGCATCAAGGACAGTGGCTATGGCTCAAACACGGCCGTTTGGCCTCATATATTGCGACTGACTGCATCATAGGCGTTACTGGATTTTGTTTTTTTTCTTCTTCTCCGTTATACGCCTGGTTTCGCATTCATAACATGTGTAACTGTTTCCATACGAGTATCAAATGAACTCAAATAAATACATTTGTATCTTCAAGCACCTATCACTAGATACAAGTCATGACGTATTATTCCTAACGAATCAAGCAACGTTGTACCTAATGTATGTACAGCATAAGCGCCCAACAGGTACAGGCGACTAAATATGCCATCGAAACATAACTCTCTCATTGGATCATATTGCCTGGCAGTATTTTAGTCATCTATAGAAATGCCTCTTTTTGTAGAGGTTATGTCTAAATTTAACTAAATTCTGCCTTGTTTCTGGAGTAGACCTGGTATAAATTAAGATACCCGGATTACTATAATAGAGGGCTTGATAAATAAAGTATCAAATTGTAAGAATTCTGTAAGAATCTTATAAGAATCAAAGATAGGATTTATAACCCTATATATCAGAAGTTATATCTAGAAAGGGGAAAACTATTTTGAAGATATCTAAGAAAAACTAGGAAGTCCACCGATAAAGCTATTGAAAAGACTACTGAAAAGACCACTCAAAAGCCCTTCAAGAAAGATATTATAGGGCCGCAGAAGCGGCTGTCTACACTTATACCGTGTAAATGAAGAGAGAAATAAAAAAAGCTACAATTGAGATTACTAGATATTGGCTGAGAGAGGGGCGGTGATTGCGGCGGTGAGGCAGTACCCAATGAGAGAGTTAGGTTCGATGGCAGACTTACCTACCTAGGTAGTCGCCCGTAAACGGGACAGCCCCACTGAGACGGGGACTAAGACCGTTTGGGATTAAGATGTTAACCTTGAAAGCTTTTGACTTCGGTGGCTTCTACCTCTACCTTGGAAGGTTTCTATCCAAATGAAACGCCAGTCCCGGACCTCTAGGCTTTCACTTTGCTTCTTGTTAGATCTACAATATCTATATACGTACGTACGGGTACGATATTCTCTTCCCAGTAACCACATGGACGACACTGATTGCTTCTAGACTTGTTTTCATCCTTCCTCGACTTAACATTGATCACACATCAATTCTGAGCTTCTGAATTGCTAGATTATGTATATAACCGTACCTATTCTATGCTGATTTTTAGTCACCGCGTCCATGGTACTGCTTGTGGGCTTCGGCGGCAGATAAATCCAAAGGGTACCCATCAACTATCAACTACTCTAGAGGAGTGTTAGAATGTTCACTGGCCTTAGGATCTATAATTCATGCCCACTATACAATCTATTATTACCCTCTTTCCAACTTTCGTCATCCTCTTTATCCTAATAAGAAGGGGGAAACGACCCACCCCGTCCCTCCAACCCAGAACAACTCTGAACGAGAGTTTTCTTACCAGCATCTGATGACATCTTATTGTGAGGATTTCGAGCTAAACCAACGATATCCAAGCTCAAACTGTGCAGGCCGGGAGCTCGTCGACACAGAAGCCAGTTTTGGCCATCTGGGAAAAGCTGAATCTCGAAGCTCAACACACCTTGAGCTCTAGCTCTTTGAACTTTAGCTCCGCAGAATCCAGCTTCGATCTCCCTTCGTGACCTTACTCTCAGTCATTTGCTGTGATTAGATGACACAGAAATCGTGACAGGTACTGCTGGACATGTGGGGATACTTTGAAGCTACTCCCGACAGTGGTGGAGTGGTATTGAGTTGGATTCTTGCTACTCGCTGCCATAGGTGTTACCGTTGGTTGCCTCGCTATTCCCCAGGCTAGGAAGTACCACACCAAAAAGGAGACACAGGTGAATATCGATGTCACAAAGCTTGATTGCGAGAATACTATACACTCACCAGCCTCGACGATGGCCTTGCCCGGCGACTCTTCCAAGATCTCGGTGTCTAATGCCACACCGTCCACTATTGTGACCGCCGCCCATGATATCTTCACACATCCCGCACAGACTACCTTTTTCTTCTCACCAAGGCCCGTGTTGCTATGCTCATGAGTAATGCCGCCTCCCCTGCCCCCTTATGGGAATGACGAGGTAAGTGACACAATGAATATCATCTCTGACAAATCAAATAGAGAGGGATTGCCACCAGTTTCAAGTATTGAACTTTCTCTTCGGAAACTAGGGCGAGGAGAGACGTCCTACAACAAAAGATTTGGCCACAAGAGAAGCATGTGTCATGGATGTCGACATACTACCCAAAATCATGTCCAACCGGTGGACATTCTACCTAGGCTTTCTCATCTACGCTTAAACAACAGATGTGATAAATATAACCAAAGGAGAGATACAAAACGAAGAATGGAATAACTCAGATCAATTGATATAATGGATACAGGGTAAGGTTGTGTTGGCGTCACAGCATCTCGATATATACGAATAGAAATTATCATCTATTGTGAGTAGTATTCCACACTGTATTGTGTGTTCTAAAGGCCATTGTCTTCTATTTCTGTGGTTCTCCATTGAGAGATCAATACAATTCAATTCAATTCAATCCAATCCAATTGTTCCTGCCTTTGAGACTTGAGTACTTTTATCCACAGCCTTAATCGAATTAACTTTTTCAGTCTTCCTGTCTAAGGGCTGAGGGGGTATTTGAATGGGTGTTGTCTCATTTTCACTTCCGATTTACTTTCACTTGTACAGCTCCAGCAATTGAATGTGTTGAGTTCAGCATTGGAGGTTGTCGCACTGCCACCTGAAAACTTGACCGTATGTCTCCAGTTGATTTGACCTGACAAAGCTGTGGGTTGATTGCTTGCGACTATCACGATTCTGGCATTTGTTAATCAAACCTGACCCCAGTTTATCCTCAGCTCGTAGCAATCCGGCCATTCGCGATGGCATACTCTTTTGAAAGGCTCGCCCAAGCTCAGCAGCTATTTAACCGTAGGACAAGCGACTTCTACGTACTGCCACACCTTGCTGGTCCATATCACCTGCGAGAGCGTGCCTCCAAGCGTGCTGCTGCTGTTGCATCGTGGCATGACAACGACGAAGATGAAGACTACAAACCTTCGACCAAGCGAACACCAAGCAAGCGCAAGCTATCTCTTTTACACGAGGATGATCAATCTCCTCGGTCCGAGAAAAGGGCCAGGAGTTTGTCTCCAACTTCGACGCTCCGTTCTAGACTCAGCCCAGACATACGAGAAGAAGATGATGTTCCATCTTCGACACTCTCCCAACACAGTGAGCCCGACAGTTGGGATAGATACTGGGCGGTCAATCCCGATATAGACACGCCGAACTCACGATACAGCCTCCGACGTCGCAATAAGGAATCGGTGTCAGCATCCCCACAGAAGAAAGATGAAATCAATATTGAGGTCTCGGCATCAAAGCTGCCTGGGGATGTCCTAGCTGCGGATAAAGTTCTTCCGATGAGAGAGTGCGCCGCCTGCCAGGAACTAGGCATGGAGTGCTCGCTCGCATCTGACCCTGATCCGTTCTCCTATCCTTGCACAACATGTGAAGTGGATGATGTCTTCTGCGTTGTGAGTCCCCCACCCAAATGGAAGCGATCATGTGAGCTTTGCAAAGGTCGAAAGAAAGAGCTTTGCTCATATCGCTTTGCTGATTACGATCATTCCCAACCTTGTCTCTCATGCCGAAATCATGGGTTCGAATGTGTTGCTGGACCAGCTAGACACCCACCCTATGCATTCCTTTCCACGAGTGAGCCAAGTGAGCCAAGCAGTTCTCCAAAGATTGATTCTTCTGCAACCTCCAATCCACCCAATGGCTCGTCCGAGCTCAATATTTCCGAGGAATCTAAGCCTCATGGAAGGGTCAATTCTCCCAAGATTGAATTCCCAGCAAGTTGCTCCCCACCACACAATAATCCGGAAATCGACGCCGATGAGACATCTAAGCGAAGTGATCAACTCACTTCTTCAGCTATCAATGCACCAAAGACCCAGACTCCAGAGAGAAATCCCAGAGAAATCAATTCTTGGGACATCTCAGCCCCCCCATTCAGTAACGCAAAGCCCTCCATTATTGACGGGTCGAAGCTGCAGGAGGTAATTGAAATCACTGACTCGGACGACGACATCCCGAAGAAGCAGGGCTCCCCAATTTATATCTCTGACTCCATTGAATCACCCCGTCACGCCACTGTCTCAAACACCATTGCTTCACAGTCTGCCAACATCCATCGAATTTGGACTGAACTTGCTCATCCTGTAGTATTTCTCGCAGATGACCCTTGCGACTGGTGCAACAACTTTGCGTATGGGATAACTGGTCTCGGCCCTCGCAACCCAGAGGTTTGGACGGATGAAAACGGCACGATCGTTGAGCTTCAGGATGGTCATATTGCCGAAGGAAAAGAACAGAGCCGGATGTGTGTCTCCTGTACATGGAATCGATGCAAAATCATCCAATGCTCCCACAACACTTTGAATCTATTACCCGCGCCTTTTTCCCCGCAAGACGAAATACAGAAGGCTGCTGCTTCAACACATCTACGCAGAGCAAGTGAGATGCTGTCTGATCCCGAGAATGGGAAGGACGGTAATATTTACAGAAGTCCCATTTACGAATGGTGTAGCATATGCCGAGAACCCGCATCCGGGTCTTGCCAGACAGTTCAACCTGTGAATATCCATGCCGATGTGGTGGACTGTGATGAAGAAACCCATGGATGTGGACTGATGCTTTGTGAGTACTGTCTCGAGCTCACCAAGCGATTCAAGGGTGACCTCAATGCTGTTGTTGCATGGGGTCGCAATGACTCGTCTCACCCTGTATACCACCGAGCCGACATGGAGTTCATCCTCTCAGGGGCGGAGCACAACACACTCTACAAGCTTTATATGGAGGAGGGTTGATTTGCAGATTGCTTTTTTTTTCGTTTTTGTTTATTGTACCTATTTCACCACCGCTGGCCCTGTTTATAAGCAGCAGCTAAGCTCAGTTAAGAAAATGCAAAATGACCCTATTACTTTCCAAAGTATGTCTGTATTTGCAATGGGTGCCGTCTAACAACCTCATATTTGGTTGCATACTCTAATATGTTTGGTAAGTCGTGATAGTGAGGGCATTGTGCCCTAATTGTTCACAATAGCTCAATAGTACCGCAACAGGATAGTAATAGCACAATATGGATAGAATCATCCCACCAACAAACAAACGTGCATACAATGAAGAACACAATAACTATTGACAATTCATCCCATTCACGAGTCTCTCCCATTGTGCGAACTACTCTGAATAGTCCACCTTCAAGTATAAGACCTTCACAGTTCCGACTTTCCAATCTTTCTTCTCTTCTTCCCACATATCTTCGTTTAATATCTTCTTATCCTCTAACTTCTGCTTGTACTCTTCTTTTTTCGTTGTTCAGTACTTGTCTTAACTTCATCTACAGACGCCGGTCATCTGTATGTGGATAGCCCTGGGTTTCGTTTCCGCTCCGGAAAAAAAAATTACCTTCGGATTTTCTGCCAGTTGAATTCGCTTCACAACCAAATCCCCTTGTACTTCCACCAAAAGGAAGTAAGGGTGCTGCTTTGATCCCGTCTTCTATTTTCCCCTGGTTGCCCCGAGCTGCGACACGAGGTGCGCAGCTCATCGCCACGACGTCTTCACCAAAGCGACGAAAAGTTTCCCCAGAGCCTCGCACCAGTCCAGGCCTTCGGGCTCGACGTCACGGCCGCTCCGAACTTCCACAGTCTCGCTACACATCTTCCTCTTCTTCCCGCGGCCAGAGTTCGTCGTTGTCTCCGCCTCGCTACGTGCCTGCGCATCTGCAGTTTCAGTCTGGAAGCTCGCCTGGCCGCTCACTCACCCCCGCGACCGCGACCGCCGGACTCACCCTCTCCAGCGACCATTCCGATATGCCATCCGATACTCGAGAGGGTACACCTCCGACTCATGGACGATCTCCTTCTCCCGGTGAGAAGCGCCCTGCATCCGAGATTACTGACTCTGACCCTGAAGGAGGTGTGAGCACTGCTTTCAGTAATGCGCGCACATACATTATTCCCCGCACATGCGATGGCACAAATGACGAATCCACATATCCTACTACTTCGACCAATGACAACACCGAATTGGCATACTCAGCCAGCGAGCTGTCCAGACCAGCGTCGCCAAAATCAGGCGATATTCCCACAATCGACGAGCAGGTCACGGAGGTGAATGCGTTGATGAAGGCGCCGTTGAAAGATGGACAAAAGGGCTTTGTGGTTTCAATGGCTTGGCTGAAGAAGGTGCTTGCACGTACTACAGCGCATGCGGATCACGCCGACAAAGGATCATTGGAGGGCGATGTTGGTCCCGTCAATAACTTGAACATAATGCTCGACACCGACCCTGCCACACCCAGCTTCAAAGACGAAACCGGTGAAATATTTGTGCCGATGCGGCCCGGTTTGCATGACGCTCTAGATTTTGCGATAATTCCGCAACATGGCTGGGACCTGATCCAGAAGTGGTATGGCCTCGCTGACCAGTCACCTGTGATCATTCGCTATGCCCACAACACCAGTCAACCCGGTGATACTGAAAACATCGAATATGAGACTTATCCTCCGATATTCACCATTTTCAAATTGGCTAACCCCGCCGCGGGTACCACCCCGACCATCCTGCGACAAGCTACCAAGCCGTCTGTGAAGCTCTTGGCCAGTCGCCAGACGAATTACCAGAAATGGTTGAAGGATGCCAAAGAGCAGAGTGGCATTGATATGTCGACCAAGGTCCGAGTCTGGAAAATTCTCCAGCTTCCTCTTAGTACCACTGCATCGGCATCAGCGACTCCTGCTCCCTCCCGTAGCCAATCGCCTGCTCCTCCATTGGCTTTGATCTCGAACCCAAATGACAAGCTCCTTTTCGATTTGAATGCTTTCCTCGAACTTCCAGAGGGAAGCCATCGAGTGTTGCTTGATAATGTGAAGGATCAAACCCAAAATTTAAACTACAACGGTCGTATGACCTTGGATATGGCTGGTCTCAGCGTGGCGAATTGTGTCATTCTTGAGGAACAGATTGGGGGCTCTAAAGGAGGAGAATGGGTTTCTGAAGCCTCTGCCAAAACTCTCAAGAGTCTGGGTATCCCCGTGGAACAGCCGAAGAACGATATCACTGCTAAGGCATCTGCTGCCAAAGCTGCACTGAAGAGCACACAATTGCCGCAGCCCAGCGGCAGATCCACACCTTCCCAGGGACCCGATCCAATTAGGGGGCTCATCTCTCGAGGTCGGAAGGGTCGACAGCTTATCGTAGGATTGCAAAACCTTGGCAACACTTGTTACATGAACTCCGCGTTGCAATGTGTGCGAAGCATTGAGGAGTTGTCTTATTACTTCCTTAGTGAGTATACCAACCTTGCGGTTGGATCCTACGAGCGAGGTCGTGCGGTGCTAACAACAATCTACAGGTGGAATGTACAAACCAGAGCTAAACCCCACCAACGTTCTAGGATGTGGCGGTGTCATTGCTAAGCAATGGGCCAACTTACTTCAGGACCTCTACAAATCGGACCCTCAGCCGAGATCTGTCAACCCCTATAGGTTTCGTGCTGCCGCTGGTCGGCAACGTGAAGATTTTGCTGGCTACGAGCAGCATGACAGCCAGGAATTTGTGATGTTCCTCCTTGATGCACTGTCGGAAGATCTAAGCCGCATCGTTGGCAGCAAGCCATCGACTATCATACCTGATTCCACTGATGAGATGATCCACAATCGCAAGGCTCTTGAGGATTTCGGAAAGAAGTGTTGGGATCTTTACGAGGCTCGCAACGCCTCTATCATCACCGATTTATTTGCTGGAATGTACAAGTCAACATTGATTTGCCACAATTGTGAAAAGACCAGCATCATCATGGACCCTTTCACAATGGTCACTGTGCCTATCCCAACGGGCCCAACGCTCATCAATCGAACGATTATCTTTTACCCTCTCGATGGCCCACCCGTGTCCCTGAAAGTTCGACTCGATGAAAACGATACTCTGAAAGTCTGGAAGGACTTTGTCGCCCAAAAAATGGGAATCGACGGGGAACGAATCATTGCAGCAGAAACATTGCACCACTCCTTTTGGCAAATGTTTTCCGACGATGAGGAGACTTTCGGCAGTTTACGCATTTCCCAAGAAGACACCATTGTGTTCTTTGATCTTGGTCCTCTTCCTGCATCCACCGATTCTCCTGACTCTCCCTCCGATGAGAATACAGTCATTGTGCCCATCTTCCACCGCAAACTTCTTCCGCGTAAGAACAAAGAGGCCAGTCGTGAACTTTTCGGATTCCCATCCTTCATACGTCTTTCTAGCAAGGAGGCTCAAGATCTTGAGGCGATTTACCGCAAGCTCCTGGCCCAGGCCAATAATATGACTACACGCGATATCCTGACTGCTGAGGAAAACAGCAATGACGAAAATACAGCTGATGACTCTGACACTGTGGTCACAAACGAGGATGATGCACGATCAGCAGATTCTCAAATCAGAACATCTTCTGTCGACGGCGAAGACAGCATCATTGACATTTCCATGCAAACCGAGCAAGTTAAGAAGCCTGCAGATGGCTCTGATGAGTCGGACTCTGAATCTGAATCTGCCAAGTCTCCTCAGCATCCTCTTGCCGGAAAGATTGCTGCCAGTTTGTTGTCACTTTTCGATGCAAAAGTCATGAGTACAAATGCCACTCTGCCTGATGGACGCAATATTTTCCCACTCAAGAAATTCCCCCTCCTTTCCTCTCGCATTCCATCTCCTCCTACTTTTACGAAGGTTTGTTTCTTCCATCTTGTCCGTCCAGATTCAGCCCGCTAACATTCGCCAGGGGTCCGACACTTCATCCCAAAGCTCTGCAGATGATAGCAGTGACGATGATGTTGAAGCAGATAATCCAGATCTCACACCAAACTCAACACCATCCCTCCTTCACCAAGGTGATGCTATCCTGCTTGACTGGGCCCCCGATGCTGTTGATTCTCTTTTCGGCGGCAAGCCACGTGACCCCGAGGAGCTCCGAGGTCGCCCTACGTACCTGAGCATCAAGAATGTATTTGACCACTCCATGGTGGTAAGCCAGAAAAAGCCCAAGCAATCAAATGTCTCTCTCGATCAATGTCTGGACGAGTTCAGCAAAGAGGAAATTCTTTCGCGGGCAGATAGCTGGTTCTGTCCCCAGTGCAAGACCCACGTTTCGGCCACCAAGAAGTTTGAGCTGTGGAGAACCCCGGATATTATGGTCGTCCAACTCAAGCGGTTTAGCCAATTCCGCGGCAGGCACGGACACAAGATCAGCACTCTCATCGACTTCCCCTTCGAAGGGCTGGATTTGAGCAGCCGAGTCGAAGGCCCAACGGATGGAAAGAGTACGGTGTACGATTTGATTGCTGTCGACAACCACATGGGTGGAATGGGTGGTGGTCACTACACTGCCTATATTAAGGACTTTGTGTCGGGCGCCTGGGTCTATTGCAACGGTTCGATGCCCCTGTCAATATGCTAATCGGAAGATATCTTACTAATACCAATTTCAGATACCTCTGCTAAGACTGTCACAAATATGCAGTCCATCATCACGGCGGGTGCTTACCTCCTGTTCTACCGCCGTCGCTCTGATCGTGCATTGGGCAACCAGGAGCTGCGGGAGCTGGTTGAAGGCTACCGGAACGAATCGGAGAGTGTTTCTGGCAGTTCATCCAGCTCACACAGCCCCGGTGGTTCCCAATCACCTTCAGAAGACGGTGGTCGTGTCCTTGGCGGCGCATCCCGCAAGGGATCATCTGCCTTGGCCGGGGCGGGGGTGGCACCCCGAGTGAGCCGGGGGCAAGACTCCCTTGGCAATGACCTGTACTCTTCCGCCGAGGAGAGTACTTCGGGCTCGGAAGATGAGAGCAGCGAAGGTAAGAAATTCGGCCTCGAGCACGAAAACGGAGGATCGCAGGTCGACTCCTTCAGCAAGCTCACGGAACCCTCTTGGTCGTTCGACGCCGCTCACGACATCTCACAGATTTCCAGTGGTAATGCTCCCACTGAAGATGGCATCTTCGAGGGTCAATGTCCATGGGGTGATGGCATGGACATTGACCCTCCGTTTCAGTTCGGTCTCACCTCTGGGGGTGAGGGGGATGATTCCTCCGATGATCTCCCCGTCGTGGAGCTACGTGTGGGGTCCGAGGACATCATTTCCTCGGACATATGAATGATACGAACGAAAAAAAAAAAAAAGGCAAAAACAAAAAAAAGGGAGGCGGATGTGTGGGATGGGTGGTGTTTTCCTAGAGGGAGGAGGGGATGGGCGTGTGGCCCATACTACATAAAAAATGATTTCTTGTTTAAATTTCAATCATATTCTCAGAACGAAGTGAAGTCAAGTAAGAATCAGGCCAAGATCAGGATAAGTAAACAGAATTGCTAGCGAAGTTGTCGAGAAAGTAAGATATTCTCCGTCTCACTTCCCAATCACTTCGATATCAGATCATCAGCTTCCTCAACAAGTGCTTACATCTACAAGCGATAACTTCAGGCCACGTCAAGACATATTCGGGGTTTGGCTTTACATGACCTTTTAGCCAATGGTAGCTGTTAGCAATGTCTATCCATATACTGTGTGACCTTGTTTTATGTAGTTTGATGATCATGTTCTTTATTCTGCCATTCTTGTTATTCTATAGCCTTCCATTCACTATAGGTGACAGTCTCACGAACGCCAAGTTAGATCTCATACATAGAAAACTCATTTTGCACATTACAAGCCATCTTTACTGGCTATTTTCTATGATTTGCTTCCAAGACTTGATAAATGCAACTTTGCGCAATTTCATATCAAGACTCCCACCAGTAACCTACTCCATTCTTTGTGCGATTTCAGCAGGGCATGCTCCAATAGGTAAGTCTCTGAACATTGATTTGCTCTAGAAGAATGATACACGGTATAGTGCTGGGCGCTGGTAATTCTCATGGTTACTCAAATCTATCCTTATAGTGAAATTCCCTGAATCATACCAGATGGTAAAGCCAATAAAGATTGACAACCACTTATAGCATCCCTAGAGTCAGTTATATGAACTCACATATCAAAATCGATGTTATCCAACACAAATCATCTAGTCTGGACAAGGAATCCCCTTTCTTGAATCAGTTATTGGAGTATGAATAGATGATATGTTTAGATGAAGAGGTCAATACCTTGTGGCCTTGGGGTCTGGGAAGGAAAGGGCCGCAGTCGTTCCTTCCATATTAGGGCACGGTGCGTGTAAGTCGTCTCCTTCCAACAATTACGCCCCCAAATGCCACGCCGTCGTCAATCCAATCGCCGAACCTTCAAACATCCACGCACCCATCCCAAGATGAAACGCACTGTATCTTCACGTCGGGGGCTCCTCAATCATGAGCCACAACCTCTCAATCCCAATATATCTGCATTGTGTCCAGATGTAATCGACGTCAGCTCTGCCACAGCCAGATCGATGATTGCAAAGATCAACACGGAACACGAAGATAGATACTTGGATTTCCAAAGCGCTGGTGATCAACTCGAGCTTCTGAGGCTCGAGACCTTGCGTCTCAAGATGATGGGGTCAATGGATTCCAATTCCCATGCACCTAATGAGATGCCAGCACAGCATACGACTCCCATCTCAACTCAAAGCTTGGGAGAACCTGGTCCCACCGTCCCAAACTCGATGCGAACTTCCATGCGACCCCGTGCTGCAGTCCTGAGCGAAAGTGAAATCAGTGTTCTTGATCTTGGTCCCAGTCTGCACTCTCCCTACCTTTTAGCTCGAGCTTCCCGTCGCAACTCAATCTCTACAACCTCTAATCACGGATTACTCGGCCTCGCTCGTACCGCTGCTCCCAACTTTATGCTGGGGCCTGCCAGCGACATTTCTGACAAACCATCTGACTACCGCCTCCGGACAGATGATCTTGAATCTGTTGCTCTCACTTCCGCCAGTGGCTCCATCAACAACGAGTTCCCTCTGAATCTACGTCAACGCCGCCAGAACCGAGCTAACGTCACACTTCCCGGGCCCCATGAGCTGCAAACACATCGCGTAAACCGTTCATCTACCATCAGTGAGGCTACTCATGGTATGAGAGATCAATTTGGCTTTGAGAAAAGCCCTGCATTCTTCCCTGATGAGTCTAGTCGCCGGATTCACTCGCTCTCTGTCCCACAGTCTCCCGAGTCTCCGCCCCTGCCACCCCTGCCTACTCTACGACGTGCTCAGAGCTCATTCAACGGAATGGAGCCGGCATTTTCGGCTATGCGCATTGCGGAGCGAGTGCGACGCTCACGCGACGCTGCAGGCTCTCGGGATGCCGATATGCAGTGAGACACGGGACGCCGAGACCGAGGTATGAGATATGAGGGTCATTTGACCGCAGGAGAAAGCGTCGCCGACATTGATTCTTTTTAAGCGCCTGGTGGGAGAATATCTGAGACTTTGAAATATGGGGAATCGGTTATGAGTTCTAGGACCCTACAAATGTTTTCATTGAAGGCTCTTTACTTCGAGTCTTTGGCCATACAAGCAACTTTCAGCATCCATCGCCTGTTTATTAGCTGGTTACTCCCCAATGAAGTTTATTTCGAAATGCTTCTTGTGTTGAGCAGCTTCTTCTCTTGAGAGCATATTAGATTCGACTGGCTCCTTCCTATGGGGAAAGTATCTCAATTTAGTGGTCTAGGGCTACACGTATTTATACTACATACCGGTGACCGGCCGCTCTTGGATCATCGTTCGGTGAGTGACGTTGCGATCGACGGGAAACCTGGTATTCAAGCTAGAATTATCACGGTGAGGATATCCTAGGAGAAAAGAATATCTCTCAACTCAGTTCAGGGTTTTTTCAGCTACCCTTTGAAAGTATCTTGTCCATTTTGTATCCATAGCCAAGCCTCTTTCATGACGTAATCGCGAACACCGCCCTGTACCAGCCACACTACGACTTCCCCCCGCAGATCCCCAGGCACAGCTTCTCCAACTCAGGTTCCGGTGATAGTTGACCTTATCAAGTTTCCATATCTTCATAATGTGGAACGACGAAGATAACAATCCCTACGGGGCATTTAACGAACATCAGTCTGGCCTATCCGACTCGCTCCACTCAGCCGCACTATCTCCTCGTAAGCTTTCCGCTCAGCTCCCACTCTAACGCTTCTGCCTTTGGATCAGTATCTCACACCAGGTAGCCCTCTACGAGCATGATTCAACACCTCCATCTAGTCGCGACTCCAACAGCGAGCCTCCAGATTATATCACCCATCCCGACGACCTCAGCGATCCCGAAGATGAGGCCGAGTATGGTGTCGCCAGTGAACAATACCCTCGGAAGAGTGTCTATGACAGCCGCATTGAGCAACTTCTTTACGAAAATCCCGAGATGCCAATATTGATCACGGATGCCGGGAAAAATCATGAGGGCGGCGGGGGCTTTATTGTCTACACAATCCGGACTGCGGTATGAGACTTGTGTCCGGCAGAGAACTGTACAATGCTGAGTGTTGATAGGACCTGGAAGTGCGCCGTCGATATTCCGAGTTTGCCTCACTGCGACAAACCCTTGTCAATCTGCATCCTACCTTGGTCATTCCGCCGATTCCTGAGAAACATAGCATGGCCGACTATGCAGCCAAACCCACCAGGGCCAAAGATGATGCAGCCATTATAGATCTCAGAAAGCGCATGCTCAGTGTCTTCCTCAACCGCTGTAGGCGTATGAAGGAGGTCCGTGAAGATGGAGTATGGTGGAGATTCCTTGATCCCAACGTTAGCTGGGTGGGTTCAAGCTGGATGTTTTTGATCACGAGATGATTTACTAATCTTTTCCCAGAGTGAGGTTTTAAGCTCCCATCCTGCGTCATCGGTCCCAAAGAATAACCTCAAAGCACCACCGCTTGATCCCGCAAACCCAAGCCCAGCCCATGGCTGGCTCCCGATTCCGTCTGCATCCGCAAAGCTCAAGCCCACCGGTGGGATTACCACAACTGGTGGAAACACAGCGTCTCCCACATCGCCGAGTGAGCCAGAGGCGCCTTCGTTCCCAGGACCTGAGATCCTCGGGCGGTTCCCTCCCGAGTCACGCAAGCTCAGCGAGCAAGAACTTGACCCTTACTTTATCAATTTTGAAGCGTCTACGCGGGAGCTAGAACTCCTTCTGCAGGGAAACATTGAAAAAGTCAATCGGCGGACTCTCTCGCATTTGTCTGCGTTGTCAGCCGATCTCATGGAGTTGGGAGCGCGTTACAACGGATTCTCTCTTTCAGAGCAGTCACCAACGGTTGCTGCGGCCATTGAGCGAATAGGCCAGGCTGCGGATACTTCTTATATCGAAACCGAAGAACTATCGTCGGCTCTGAGCGCAAGTTTTGCGGAACCTATGCGGGAGAGTGCTCAGTTCGCCAGTGTTGTCCGAGGAGTTCTACGATATAGGGTGCTCAAGCGGGTACAGCAAGAAATGACTCGTGATGAGTTGTCAAAGAAGAAAACTCTACTAGACTCCCTCGAGCGCAGTGAACTCGAAGCCAAGCGCATTGAGCAGTACCTCAACCGCACCAGTCCTCAATCTGGAGGGACAAAGCCTCGTTCTTTGTCAACCTCATCCGCGAGCGAAGCAGGCAATAATGCTGCCATGTCAGCCGATTCCGGCTACAAACCTGCTCATGATGATTCCACCAGCCCTCCACCTGGGTCGCAGACTGGAGGGCTGAAGAGGTCTGACCCGTCAGTACCTGGCTCCCCTGCTCATCGGAAGTCATCCAGTGGGACCTTCGTGGCGAACAAAATATTCGGTCGCATTAGCCATGCTATCCACGGCTTCGCGGATGTGGATCCCGAACGAACCCGTCGGGACCAGATAGGGAAGACCAAAGAAAGCCTTATCCAGGTATGTAGACTGTGGAGTATAAATCTCAGGTGATATTAAAACTAACATCATTTTTTAGTTGGAGCAAGCGTTAGAAGTATCCGAAAAGGATGTCAAGGATGCGAGCGCGGGCGTTCTGCATGATCTCAAGCGCTTCCAGAAGGACAAAGAAGCCGATCTTCGACGGTATATGGTATGCATGGCCCCCCACATCATTTGCGACTACGACTAATCCTATATTTCTAGGTTGCATATGCTCGTTGCCATTTAGACTGGGCGCGGAAGAATCTAGAGACATGGACTGAAGCCAAAGATGAGGTTGACAAGATCGTGGCCCGATAGTAGACACTACATCATCTTTATGCTCTGGAGCTCGGCGCTGGCGCTTGGGGGGATATCTTTAACATTTCTTTAACCGTCTGTCGCTGAAAATGCAAATCTGGTATATTCAATTTGAGTCTAGGCTGTTCCGTATAGAAAGTAGTAGCCCTGAAGGGCTTTATTTGGGATGTGCCTTGTTGTCTGCAACCCTACAGGGTTATGTTCAAAAGATCTCATCAGAACATGGCTAGCTTATATCTATCTGTTTTCATCTTGACAAGATTACCTAGTTAGGTATGGGCACATTCCAAATGCTGACCTATCACGTCCCGTGTGATAAGAGAAGATCGACACTGCAACCGATCGACCCAAGTCATGTCCCTTGCTTCTCAACTCCATTTACTTATACATATGATGTGGATTGCGTTGATTTTGTGACTCCCTCGGAGGTTAATTGCATACTAGCCTGGTCTGACAGCGCTTCGGCTTTTGTGCCACGAATCCCTTGGTGATTCTTTCTGCTTCTGTTGCGCCAAGGGGATCCGCCTGTATCTTTTCTATAGAACTAACTGCTACTCTGGGAATTCCGAAACCTTGCAGGCATGTCCAATTGTGGGCCTCTATTGAGGAATCAGTAGACTGTCTCGCAATTCTCTCCCCCCTGTCCTGCATACATCATCAACTCCACCCTACCTGGGTGGCAACGCAGTGCGTCGACTGAAAACGATGAGTGCCTGGATCCATCAGGATGATCGTCAGGGCCGGTCACTTATCACGGTTGATTTCGCCGTCTGGCTATCACGATGAAGTTCAACATCGGTCTTGGTTTTCCTGGAAAAGAATACCTCGACGCTGGGTGAAGATGCTTCCTTTCCTTGTCTTAGTATGTTTCTTCTCCCTCGGTCTCGGGGTGAATATAAATCGAAGAGACAAAACCTTTGAACAAGGCGAGAATGTGCAAGATCTCGGAAATGACCAGGCCATAAGCCGGTTTCCTCCTACTCGTCAGACACAGCAACATACACATGATCCCACTATTCTGCGTGTTGGCGATGAGTATTATCTGTACCAAGTCGGAGAACACATCCTCATCCACACTGCTACAAGTATGGCCGGTCCGTGGAAGCGTGTTGGCAGTGTTCTGGATGCTAAGAGTGTGATCCCAAAGGGTGATCGTGCCGCACCCTGGGCCCCGGCCGTTATCGCCGTCGATGGCACATATTATTGCTATTACAGTGTTAGCAAGGCCGGCTGCCGTGACAGCGCTGTTGGAGTGGCCACTTCTAACTCTCCCGGACCGGGGAATTGGTATGATCATGGCGCTGTCATCGAGACGGGCACAGGCAACGGATCGGATATCTACCCTTACACTGCGTCAAATGCAATCGACCCTAGCACGTTGGTCACTCCCGATGGACATGCCTATTTGACGTTTGGAAGCTACTGGAATGGAATCTTCCAAATTCCACTGAGCAAGGACCTCCTCTCTCCATCTAGCACCACCGAACCCGATGAGCGTCGACTAGCCTGGGAGCCCGAATCACTCGGCTCGCCGAATCGCATGGCCAACAACATCTGTGGTGACTCGAGCGGTCCCCATCCCATCGAGGGTGCTTTCATCTCCTACAATGATGGATGGTACTATCTCTGGTTTAGCCATGGATTCTGCTGCAATCTCAAACAGGATAATCTACCACCCGCTGGTCAAGAGTAGGTCCTGATAATATAGTGAATTGTTGTTTCATACTCATGTACTTCAGGTATTCCATCCGTGTTGGGCGCTCTCACAGTCCCCGTGGGCCATTCACAGACAAGGCTGGTACGGATCTTGTCAAAGGCGGCGGTGAACTTGTATACGGCTCGAATGGAGAAACCTATGCCCCAGGCGGGCAAGCTGTGATCCGTGATGGCGATACCGATGTGCTCTATTACCACTATTGTGCGTTTAGCCCGAATCCCATTCCCCTTGTTACAACCCCATACTGACCTCATCGCAGTGAACACGTCCGTTGGCATTGCATTCCAGGTAAGCTCACACTGAACTCTTGCCAGACTTGAGGACCACGATTATTGTGGTTCATGCACCCCTGTCGATCCTCCTTTGCTATCCCTTGCAGTACATACACAAACGTCATCAAGATCTGATCTAACACATGCAACCCCAGGACGCTTTCCTTGGATTCAATCCTCTCAAATATGTTGATGGATGGCCCATAGCTCAGGGATAATCTCACTTTTGCACATCATTCACTTTTTGATCTATCCCCGAATTTCCGCTCCGCCACTCCAGGCCCTAACATGATCTTCGATCAGCTCATCCTTTATCTTTCGAGAATGGATCTCGAATTCTGCACATCACCGCGTTTTTGCTTGCCAGCATACTTGAGTCAGTCGCATCTGACTATTACCGCCTGTGAATAATAATTTACCTTGCCAATACATACATGATGCTTCTGCGAAAGCGAACAGAAATCCACTGGATTCAGTCATATTGAAGATGAAGAAGACCCGACCTGAAACGAACCAAACTCTAGGAAATCCCGTACCTCACATATTATTATCTATTCCTCTTCAACACCACAAATGGATGCAAATCAAACGGACAATAGTGAAATTCCATTTGCCGTTCCAATCTGAAAACAAGTACATGGGTTAAAGCACAAGCCTCATTACTCAACCCATCATCATCAACCGAGACATCCTGTTTCCATCTCATAACTTGTTCTCAGTGGTCCCCCTCTACCTCAGTGTATTGCTAAACAAGATCCCCTAAGACTTCCGACGTCTCTTCCATGGAGTCCAGCTATGATTCAACAGCCCTCCTATACGAGAACGGAGCCTCTTCCGGCTTCTAGATTTCTGCTCTCCGCCGTCGTCCGATGATACCCCTGAATCCTCCGCCTGCTTTAGCTGTGACTGATTGGAACTCTCGGGGATCTCTGACATTTCTGGCTGGTGTCCACCCTGGTTGTCAAGTAAGTCTGAAGCTCCAACTACTATCTCCAATCGATTTGGTCCAAGATTATTAGGGTTCTCTGACAAGGTTGGCTGAGGCCCATCATGATCACTCTGCAGATCCGATGTCCCTGTCCCTGTTTGTGCATCTGACTGGGATTTGTCGACGCTTTGACAACCATCTAATATATCCGGCTGCTGTTTCCCCTGGTCAGGGAATAGATCTAAAGCCCCGTCCACTACTCCCAGCTGATCTTGTTCAAGATTTCTAGAATGTTCAGGCAAGAATGGCTGGTGGTCATGATGATCGCTCGGTGGGCCTAAAGTCCCTGTTTTGGTCTCCAATTCGGTCTTCTCGGTGCTTTGACACCCTTCTAGTTCCTGTTCCTGGTGCGGCTCATGAATAACAAGCGGCTCGGGTGTCTCGGCTGCAGCTTCGAGTTGTACCTGCCGAGGACTTCGGGGCATGTCTAGACGCTCTTGCGGTTGGGGGCCACGCTCTTCCAATGAATTTGTAATCTCACGCTGTACCGGCTGCTGTCGTTGTTCATGATTTTTCGATAAGCCTATGGCACCTTCCAGGGCATCAGGTCGTGCCTGTTCAGGGTCCGCTTGAACCCCAGTTAGCTCAAGATGCGCCACCGCGTCGCTGACTGTAAGTTCCTGTTTTCCCTCTGGTGCATCACCCTGCAGGGGGCACTTGTCCAGCGTTGGGAATGACGCTGACTCTGCCAGCTCTGTTGCTGCAAGGAGCGGCAAGCGATCAGACGGTCGAAACCGCAGGAAACCTTCCATTATTGTTAGCAAGGGAGCCAACATCGGATTGTTGGCTCTCTTGGCAAAAATTTCTTTTAGGCGCGATGCTGAAGCTAATTTTGCAAGCTCTCGTGTCTGTGAACTAGGGCCAGTGTGTTGTCCTTCGCTTGAATTGTCGTCTTTGGCTAGGGATCCTTCTGCTGCTAACTTCTCTTCAGTTTGTGCTAGAGACTCGGGAAGAGTGGCCTCCGTAGCTTGTAGCTCACATGTTTTTTTATCTGTATTGCAGACGTTTTCCAGTACACGATTCTGCTTGGAAATCACTCGAAGATCTTCCACCTTTGACTCCCACTCGACTGGTAAGTCATCCACAAATCCGACAATATTCATTATGTGTTCGTAATCGTCGGACGAGCCAGGGAACGGAGGCTCATACATCAAGAGCTGATATATCTGCCGTGTATCGCTCAGTATATGTCATATCGACGAGCTTCGGGCACTGATGGAAACTTACAAAGCACCCTGTATGCCACAGATCAAGACGACAGTCAAGCTTGTCTCCCATGATGACTTCCGGACATCGCAGATGCTCTGGCTGCTTGAGTTTATCTGGCTCTTCTCCGCGGAGAAAACTCTTTCCAAAGCCAATCAGACGAATGTCAGATTCATCTTCATCGACATACCCAGTCCATTGAGCGCTCTGAACTATTTCTTTGGGAAGCCCTTTACTCAAAGGCATTCCATCACAGCGCTCCAGTGGAACAACTTGTGGTGATCCCATTACTCCAAAGACGTCTTCTTCGGTCGCATGTCGCAGGCTGTTTCGGAAAGTGAACGCAATATTTGCTCCATTTATACCTATTCGGATGTAAGTATTATGCCATTGTACCTCAACTCTTTGCCGGAGTTGAGAACATTCGTTCTGGAAAACAGGCGAACTCACCTCCATGGCACATTTCCAAGCCATGTACAAATCTCAACGCCATGAAAAGCCGCTTGGTAATTTCAAATATACGAGAACATTCGATTTCGGAATATTGGGTAGAGTTGTTGAACTCAGCATTACCGAATCCAATATGATGAGCGTAGTTGTTGAAGTCCGTATAAGACTGTTGGACTGATTCGAAGGAAGGGCCGACAAGTTCAAGCACCAAGCACTGATGAATCCCATTTGGACCCACGAGCACAAAGGTGTCAAGCAACTTAACGATACATCTTGTGAACAGCACCCCTTCCGACTTGTCCATCAAGTATTGCAGATTTCGAATCTCAGTCTGTGCCTTGATCTGCGCGGCCAGTATCTTCAGCGCGACCCATTGATATCCAGGAACATGTTGATTGCAACTTGAGCATGTTAGTTGCTGTTTGTAACTCTGGACGCTGAGGAAGTGTATTACCCTATATCCTTTGCAAGCCACACCGTCGCAGACTCACCAAAGCCCAGCTTATGGTGTACTGTATACCTACCATTCTGGAATTGATCCCCGAGACTGACTGGGTGAAGGCCACCTGGACAATACCTGTGGATCCCTTCCTGTGTCAAAAGAAGAGAGTCCTGTTTAAAATCGTTGATAGCAGAGTTGGGGTCGGTGTTGATCTCCATAGAGAATATGGGGACAGCAAGTCTGATTGAAACAAGAGAAAAGCGGGCGGTGTCAAAGATATAAAGACCAAGGGATTCTTTGTTCGAGCTAACTTGAGTCTCGAGAACCCTCAGTATTGGTTGTGTAGTGATTCTCTTTGTTGATATCTGAGACATGGGTTCTTCATTTGATTCTTTCATGGCTGCATTGCTCATCTTCACACCTTGAAGGAATTAAAATTGGTAGAAGTCTTTCATTCTCCTATAAGATACAAATTGGAAAAAATGTTAGAGAATAGAAATATCCACCACACATGCATCATGTGTAGATGAAGACAAATTCGTAATGCCCGAGAAACTTCCCATCCACACAGATAAGACCTCGACTTCACCAATTCTGTTTCTCTTTCCAGTCCGAACCACTACGCTTGCCCCATCCTGCATCTGAGCTTCTGCCTAGGGGGCTTCGACTGCGACGCCTCTTCTCGTTCTCCTCCAATTCAATTTGCCACCGTTCCTTTTTCTCTGTATCATTGCCACCGCGGTGTTCTTCTGCATGTTCCCAGGGGCTGGACCTGTTGCGGCTGTACTTTTCCCGCTCCCCATGGTCATCGTGACCCCAGTCTCGGTTGGGGCTTGATCGCCCTCTTGACTGTCGCTCCGGGGATGCATAGCGGTAGCCTTTGCTTTCCTTATGGTAACTTTTTCTATCATCATCTCCCCACCCAGAGTTGCGGTCTTGATGATCTTCGTTGCAATAGTTGTTCCGTAAATGCTTGTGTTGCTGTGCATCATCGTCACTCTGACCCCAGCCACGGCGGGATTCCACTTCGTTTCTTGACGCTCGGCCTGGGGACACATGGCGGCCGTTGTCCCACCCATCCTGAAGATTTCTGTTTCCGTGGTCATTGTGGTGTTCGTTGTCCCGTGGAGAGATCCTTTCCCGCGGGCTATCATTATCCTGGCCCCAGCCGTGATTTTTCTGGCTGTCTTGTGAGTTTCTTCGTGGAGAACGTGATGGAATATTTCTCTGTTCTCCTTGGTCATTGTTGGAATCGCCTCCCCAGAGGCTATTGTGATCGTTCTGCTCAGTATTTTGACGATTGTCCCAGCAATCTCCATCATTGTGATTGCTTGTTTGGTCATGTTGTTCCTCTATGTTTCCCCATTGATTGTGGTGCTCGTCTTGGCCCGCTTGGACTTTGGGAGACTGGGCAGGGGGGACTTCTGCTGGCTCTGGCCTTGGTTCGTATTTTTCTGTTTCCGCTGGTTTTTTCGATTGTAATTGCCCCTTCGCTCATTCTGGCTTTGCTGTTGATCTCTCTGCTGTTGTTCTTGCTGCCTTTGTTTGTTTTGTAGGGCCCGTTGTCTTCTTTGCTGCCGTTTGGATAATGGGTTCGGCTGCTCGTTCAGGTTCCGGGGACTATAAGTGTTCGCTCGGTTTGGTCCTTGGAAATGTTGGTCAGAATTCGGGACATCGGTAAATATTGGCTGCCGGGAGTGAACATACTGAGGCGGACGCAGGACATGGGAGGATCCTCGGGTCTTTGGGCAAACCCAACCCCGAGGGGTAAAGTAAGGTCCCATTACGGGGTTGTGGGTTCCATCCGCAGGCTCATAGTTGGCCTGGGCGCGATCCCGGTTTCTTCTGTCGAAGATCTGGCCTTCGTGGTGCATTCTGGTAAGATGTGATCGATACCAAAGGTAGAACAGCCATGCAATGACTGGGGTGACGAATGCTATCGACAGAAGGACCCCAATCAGAACGTTGTTCTGCATGATGCAAAGCAGTGAAAGAGGGTCTCGAAGTGAATTATTTGGAGTGTGTGAAGCTGAAGTAATGAGGATGGCCACGTCAGATAATGATAGAATAGTGTAGAGTGCAAGAGATTGAAAAGAGTGTGGAGAGAAGCGATACAAGGTCTTAAATAGGAACTGTCAAAAGAGACAGTGAGGGAAGGGGCAAACTCGCAAGGCAAACAAGATATAGGATATTTCAATATTCTATCTAATGTAGTGATCTGTTCATTTTCGATTGACATTTCATCTCAGATTGCCAATCCAGCTTGGATTCTCGATAACCAATCCTCATGGATTGACGACAATTTGCCTGCACTTAAGAAGGATTCGAGAGATGCACGGAAGGCATCTGGTTGCACCCGCAAATCCTCTCCCTGGAAGACTTGTGAACTGAGAGCAGAAGAGATAAGAATGACACGGAGACCTAGATTGAAGATCTCGGGCTTTGAGACCCAACCAAGAAGTCCATCTGGCTCTTTCCCAGAACCAACTAGAGAACAGAGATGTGTTAATCCGTCATAGGCCCAGACGGAAGTTTCATCCAAGGAGAGCTTATTGTACGTCGAGCGAGTCAACCGTACCAGAGCTCGCGACCAAACCTCAACCTCCCGCACATCATCAATAAACAGATTCTGTTTTTCCTCAACGAAGAGGACAGTGCTTTCTTGGCGATAGTCGGCAATCTGGTCAGACACGGCAACCAAGTGACTGCGTTCGTCAGATCCACTGATCCGGGGCTCTTGGCCCGTCAAATATCGAAGAACTCGTTGCCCTAGGAGTGCGGAATCTGAATAGTTATCAATGATGAAATTGGCAAGCAGCGCACTTGCATTGAGAGGCGCCAGAGTCACATCTGCGTCAGGTGAGACGGTTGAGTGTGACAAAATCCAGGAAGCAGCTGATGCAGCGACATCACGAATTTCGTCATCGTCATCATTAAGCATGTCATAGAGGACCAGATAGACATCTAACAACACTGCATCCACGCATGGCTGCGCTCCGGGTGATCTAAGAGCCCGTGAAAAGCTAGCAACAGAGGTAGCTGCAGCAAAACGGGTTGTGAACTCCTAGGCATTGAAATAAATTAGCTCCATAACTCGATCACAGAACAAATGCCACAAGACTTACCGTCTCCTCGCTCAAGGCAGAGCGAAGCTTGATAGTCCAGTTGCGGAGATCGCCTTCAAATGAAGACGCAGCTGACTGATCAACAGACCGCCGGATGACCAGTAGACAGCCTCGAAGTCGGAGCTCGGCGTCCGTTGCCTCTCGGTTCCAGGTGGTAATATGTGTTTCTGGGCGGAAGTTATTTGTGATAGCATCCCATGGAAGATCCATGCTTAACACAGAATCGAACTGTGAAGATATCGAGTTCTCCATGATAGATGCCAAATTGGACGCGGCCATTGTCTTCACATCTGGTACACTATCTCCCAAGATCACAGACGAATACAAGTTAGCCAATGGCCATCTGTATCTTTCGTCTTCGCTAATTGACGCGTGGAGCTGCTCCAAAATCCAACGAGCGACATCTGCGTCGAATTGCGATACTCCATTGAAGAATGCTGGGAGTTGCTCCCACTGCTGAGAAATCAGCATTTTCAATGTTGTACACCAAGCAAGGGCTCTTCTAAGGAGGGCAGATGCTCGGACAGTGCTTGAAAGGTTCCATCCTGCTTTAGAAGAGTCGAAAGCAAATGTCAACATCGCATCGACGTCGTGAACCTCGAACATCTCGTTGATGAAAGAAATAACTTGGTCTATAGATTGGTAAGTTTAAGTTCATGGCTTTATTTCCTCAGATAGATGTCCACTCACTTTCGCTCTGTGCCTGGATCGCCCGCTCCAGGGTGCCATTGAGAATTTCAACAAGCTCCCCTGCCACAGTCGGCGATTTTCCAACACGGAACAGGACTTCTAATACAGTGCGCAACGTCGCAAAAAGTAAATCGAGGTTTGCTGCAAAAAAAATTAGCTTGAGTATTATTGTGGGCTGTTAAATGTACTCACATGTCCAGAAATCGTCGGTGGTGAATGAGTATCGACGAAGAGCATATCGCACACACAAGGCAACGCCATGAACATAATTCTCGGTAACCTTTAAGGGAAGTTTAACAAGAGTGAATAAATCTTCCGGGATATGTTGTCGAGTGAGCAACGACGCATATACACGAGCTGCGTGCTCTCTAACACCCCAAACCGGGCTACTCAGGTGCCCAATAACCAGTCCGCGTAGAATCTCATCGGTAGGATCATCCAAGGTGGGGACTTTGTCACCAACGAGTTCTAGCGCAGGGAACACCCGCTCAGTGATGATTTCAGTGCCCTCGGCCGCTTCACCCTGCGTCGTTGTAAGAAGGCCAGAGAGCAATTCAAGCAGACCAGGGTACTTGGGGAATGTGATCCGGGATCCTGGCTCTGAGCCAGAATCTCCTCCAAACCCAGGTCCGGCGCCTGGAATTACACGACACATTTTTGTGAGTAGGGCACGGAAGAGCATCAGTCCTGAGTTGCGAAGGGCCCAGATTGGCGACCCTAGACGTTCGGCGGACAGTGTCAGTGCTTTCATGATGAATGGCTCGGTATGTGGTGCAAGCTTTGCGTTGGTGAAAATGTCTTTCAGGCAATTCATCGCATGAACCTGGGGCAGTTCTAAGTACTGTCTTTCTTTGTCGTACTCCACGGGAAGGGATGAGATCTCGTGGAGTTCATTAATGGCCTCGCTAAAAAATGGAGTTCCGGGATCTGAGCCAACAATACCTGTCACCAATGCAGGCAAGCCAGCGGACCGACGGGTGAGTTGAGACGCAGAGTCAAAGATAGTGGACTTAGCTTCCTGGTACCAGCTCCTGGGAAGTTCTCGAATTGATGGATCTTTCGAAGAGCTGCATCTTTGACAGCACGTGGCGAATGTCTGTGACACATTGGAAAATGCACCTCTATGGCGGAGTTCGGCCAGCTGTGTGAAGCTCACACCTCCAATGTTTGCAAAATCCGTCAAATTGAGACCCTGGTCGCCACTTGGTCCATAACTGGTGTTTATCAGAGTGGCATGGAGCAAAAGACTTGCTTCGCGAAGAGATCTCCAAGAATAAGAAAGGGCATCCTTGGGTCCCACATCCAGATCCTCGGTAGGCTCGTCCGAATGACCTTCGGGCGAGTCAATACACAGCAAAGGCTTTGCCTCGAGCCAGATCTTATCGCAAATTGCAACAATACGGTCATGGATAGACCGCCAAGCAGCGGATCCCGACCCGTCAGATATCAGGGAATGGAAGCTTGGCATGAGGACAATATACCTGGAATTGCAATCAGCGGTATTATCTCAAGTACGGGCCAGCACAACATACCTAAGACCGGACGTATAACCATGAAGTGGCGCCTCACGCATGACGGAGTTAAAAAGGGTCTTTGAATCCAGAAGACGTTCCTCAAGCTTTTTCAAAATAGTGTCAACAACTGATGCCTTAGTTGTCCACCAATCAGAAGCCGGTCTACCGGAGTTTGCTGGTAGGGCTGCGCAAAATATGATGTGGTATAGACGAGCAACAGTATCAGCATGATCGGCCCTGCTCGTGTTACTGGCAAGGCTTTCCGCTCGGGTGATTGCATCTGTCAGCCGCATGCCTGCAGTTGACTCCTGGTTTGTCTTGTTTTGCAATCCGTTGAGCAGAATCTCCCGAGGACACAAACTCAAGATCGAAAGCGATGTTTGACGAACTTCCTCGAATGGATCTAGTAGGAGATCAATCAACAATCGGAGTAGGTGAGCATCAAACACTTCAACCTGAACTTTCCAAAGGTTCTCCATCTCTGATTTTTGAAGTTTAACCTCTATCCGGGGATCAAGACCGGAGTCTAACAGGAGCTTCAGAGCTTTCAGAGCGGTGATGTGGCGAGGATATGAGGCAGCCAGACGCAAGTCATTACCTAATAGCTTAAGGTATGCTTTAAGGAACTCTGTAGTTTCAGTTTCGTTTCTGACCTGGCCTTGAGCTGACTTGAGGAGTGTTTTCTCTGTCTTTTCGGCAACATCTTCATCTTTGACAATGCCACCCCTAAGGCGGACAAAGAATTTGCGTGTCAGACTCAGGACCTCTCCTCGGGTATGTGCGTCAGATTCCGCATGCATGGAGGGTAGTCCTCGAAGGATAGCCTTCGTTGCCCCCACCGTAAATGGCTTGACCGTGGAGAATGCCGTGATCAACAGCGAGAGAGCCGCAATACGGATATTGGGCTCGCGGTGCAGGAGAAAGTTGCCAATAACGTCGCTTTTCATGATCAACACCTCATTTTCGTCGATTTTTGATTTGCCAAAGTTGAAGATATCTGCGCATATCAGCAAACATCAATAAATCCAGAGTCACAGGGCGACTCACAATCTTCATGAACCAAGTTTATTTTCTTGCCGATCTGCAGAGCAGCGAAAAGAACCATATACTCTGCCTCAGGCGCATCAGTCATATCACCTTTGAGAAGGCTCTTGACTGGGAGGGTTTCAAGGAAGATCTTGAAGCCATTGGGGTCAATGGTGAACAGAGGCTGCAGGAGCCTATTAGATACGTCTTCCAGCGTTTCTATGTTTTGTAATGCCGTGCGTCTTGCTGGAATTACCCACATCGCTGACAGCTTTTCTGGCGAAGTTTCAGCCTTCATCTTCTGGATCAACATTGCCAGCAAGTTGCCAGCAGCTACAGCCATGGTTCTGTTGTTGGTTTGGATCAAGAGCCCCAGGACAAAGATCCTTGCTGCTAATTCATCGGACAGGCTTCCAGATGCAATGTCAAAAGCGAGACCTGGTTCGCCTAGGGACAGAGTCTCATGATCATTGGCGAAGAGAGTCGGCCATCTATCTGTGTTCTTCAAGAGCCACTGGCGAATCAAGGGGATAAACTCGCTGGGTAACAGAGCATCCTTTCTAATGAATGTCTCGAGAAACACTAGGGACCCCTTAAGTCGTGATTGAGGCTCCCCAAGCACAATGCTAGGAGCTATAGCATTAATAACTGCAGTCTGGAGAGCTGCTCTTGTCTCTCCTTCGTGATTTTTGGCTAGGATGGCAATGATTGAGGCGAGAAGCTTTTTAACTGGCTTCGGTTTGGCGTCTTCATATCGAGTCAAACAAATGTTGAATATTGACAGCCACGCTTCTTGTGAGAAAATCAATTGCTTAGTCGCTTCACATTGTGACTTTGTGGCCGCATCAATAAAAGCAGAGGCAGCGTTGCATGCCTCTGCAGAATGAGGTGGCGAGATAGATGCTGTCGATAGCGTGTGAACCAACGACTGCCATACCCGGTTCACGTTTCTTTAGAAATATTAGAACAAATTTGGTTATTAAATATTCAAACATGTACATCACTTACTCAGTCTCTTGGCATGTCAGTGTGAATTTCACTAATGGCCCTTTGGCGATATCTCGGAGAGTTTTCTCCGAGAACAGTTGCACATTCTGCGCAAGGTCTTCCATTTCGGTTGATACAACACGTTGCACCTGACGTAAATCATCAACCGTCATAGCTCCCAATTATACAAGCCTCGATGTCTTGGAAACGGTCTGCGCGAAAGACCTCCCCGAACGATTAATTTTTATGCTCCCCGCGATGCCTCAGGCGCCAAGTGATAAAAGTGGGATTCCGTATCGGGTAAAGCGCATATCCTTCGGCCAAACTCTTCTCCGTTGGATCGCCGGAAGTCACGGGACCGAAGTTTTTGCTGTTCCGATGCCAGTGGAGCTGGGAACACAGGGTCATCAACTTCTTTTCCAGTCATCCGCCCGTGCCTTCTACTTGGGTCTTTGTAATATTATCTCCTATCCTCTATCTTATCACACCTCTTTTCACAATGTCGATCTGGGACTCCCTCAGCGGCCGCAAGCAAAACCAAGGGCCCGAAGCCTTCGACCCTTCAAGCGCGCAAGATGCTACATCCTTCCTCTCCGAGGTCGCTATTCCCGATCCCTCTCGCCTCCATCCCCTGGCTGGTCTGAACCAGGATACCCTCGACTACCTCTCTCTTGATGACTCCGCTCTTGATAACCTCCCCGGCTCCCGATCAGTGCTGCCATCTCGAGGATGGTCAGATGACCTTTGTTATGGTACCGGAACTACCTACCTCGTTGCACTCGCTACTGGAGGTGCATGGGGACTTGCAGAAGGATTGAAAAAGACACCAGCTACGGCAGCGCCGAAAATTCGTCTCAATGCTGTACTCAACTCGGTTACCCGTCGCGGTCCCTTCCTCGGAAACTCGGCTGGTGTTGTGGCTATGGTCTACAACGGAATCAACTCCGGCCTCGGAGTCGTGCGAGGCAAGCACGATGCATCTAACAGCATCGTGGCCGGCGCATTGAGCGGCATGGTCTTCAAGAGCACACGCGGACTCAAGCCCATGATGATCTCCGGCGGCATTGTGGCTTCCATTGCTGGTGCCTGGGCTGTATGTATATTGTTGTGATATGCTCTGTGACTTTGCTAACTGTGACTCTACAGGTGACACGAAAGGCTTTCTTCTAGATTGCTAGTATGGCAATTTTATCCTTCTCCGCTTCTTGGTTATCCGATTTTCCATACCCTCCCTCCACGCCACCCTTTAACGACATTGGCGGTTGACGATTAGCCGCCTCGCTTTGTCTTTCCATCTGCGATGTATTACAACTATTTTTTTATTCCCCCTGTGGGTCTCTTCACTCCGGCGCTTCAAGCATCATGTTTCGCATTTATGCGTGGGTTGGGAACGGGATGTGCAACTGGGTTTGTACTTTGTATTTCTTCTGTGTACATAGAAAAGTCTCTTGCATACCTGCGATTAATTGGCTACGGCGCTTACAAGTGTCTGTCAGTAACGTATTTTAATGCTGCTAGTGACTTCCAATAGACAATTTCTCATACATCCTTGACCCATTATAATGAGCGAGCTTCACACTCCTACTGACATTTTGGCTGCAACAACATTCATTGGGTGGGCTTGAGGTTCGGACCTAATGCCACCAGAAAATGCGAGGTTGTTCGGCCAAATTTTTCGTGGACGGTACCCCAAACACCTGTGTTTGCCTAACCCCGTCACATTGCTTCCGGTCCGAAATTTTCAAATTACATGCGATCCTCTCGCTTATGGCTATTGTGAAGGGAAATCTTGCCCCCTACGAATCTCCCAGGTGTATGAATTAGCGGAAACATGCTGTCGGTTCTCGTCCGGAAACCACGGCCTTGTCCAGGGCGAGGGTGAGATGTTTGCTCCATTTGCTCGGAGTAAGAATATTACGACAGTCTCTGCATTGCATTCACTGCTGGTATCACTTTTGGAAAAATATTCAAGTTATCGCGGGGTATGCGAAAAGTTGGGCTATGACAACTGCCGTGCTTTATACAACATACCCGGATCTCCGAGTGATATAGCGCAACGCCATGTGGTCAATAGGAAGAGCTGACAGGACATATTGATAAACAAGGCAGTAGAGCCACTCGTTCACCAAGTCCGAGTATGAAGCTTTGCTACTTGACTAACGAGGATCGGTATGCTAGGGAGGACTATAGTTCAAAGCCAGGATTCATCTAGGCGAAAGCTCTATACGCTGTAGTAATATATATGTGGGAGGTCCTCCGGTATCATTGTAAACCAATAAAAAAACTTCAGTTCAAGCTTTTCGATTTCATTGAAGCTAGTAAGAAGATGATACGAACTGTTGGAAAATGTTATCGCTTTGATATATATATATGGAACATTTGGTCACCTTGCGTATCAGACACCCTGGAGGTAAAATTTTTCTCTTCCCAGGGAAATATACTCAAACACATGTTCATTTGCTAGCGCAAGGACACCGAGTTGTCTCTGGTACATTTTCAAGATATTTGCCAGCCAACTTAGGCGTTCATGTGGCGTCGATTAGGGACCGGCTACTGCCGACGGGGCAAATGGGGAATAATTTTGGTCACCCGCGCCAGGCCTTTCACACTTCTTCAGATCCTTGGCAATGCCAGATATATCGTCAGATAATACAAAAGTGACCCAACCACGCACGAAGACTTTCACTGGATGTTGGACTTGTCGAGATCGTCGAGTAAAGTGCGATGAGGAACACCCTCACTGTCGGCGGTGCCGGCGGAATGGCTGGGTATGCAAGGGGTATGATTTGCGCCTAGGATGGTCTCCAATTCCCGGAGGGCGCTCTTATCGACGCACATTGCGATCACCAGCACCAAACGTGGGCCATGGGCTGTCATCTGCCGCTGTGACGGCACTACTGGCTGAGTTAGATGGATGTTCGGGGGAAAGCTGTGCCAAACAACGAGGACCATTCTCGGTGTTCTCCATTTTTTCAAGTCCTAAGACTCAAGATATAGGCAGTGGTCTACTCAAACCGGAAGATGCATTTCCAAGGCAGCATGCACAAGATACACATCCTACATCGTCGGAATTGATTAATTCACCAGTTGGCGACAGATATGGTCTGCTTTCGCCCAGACCAACATGGGATAGGTCGTCGCCTGCTGCCGCACCGTCCCCATTTGAAATCTACCAGGAATCATGCACAGCATTATCAGAGCCTAATATTCGGGTTGATGAAATCCCCATCAACACAATTGTCCATGCCATTCACCACGAAACTCCACAAAATAGGATCTCAGAACCAAGTGACTACGGCAGACCTGTATCAAACATTCACAGCGATGGGACTATCCTCTGGGATTCCATGAGTCCATTGACTCTTCCAAGAGCAGAAATAGAGTTAATCCACTATTGGGTTGTTTTCCTCAGTGGAAACATGCTCCTAATCGACACCCCGGACAATCCCTGCCGGACAGTATTCTTACCTCTAGCCCTGAAAGGCCTCGAAGCCCCGTCAACAGAGTCAAACATTCATCTCTCAATTTTCCACGCCATTTGTGCCTCTTCCGCCTTCAGTCTCTCCCACCTTCGCCACGATTCGCGGTACCACTCCATCGCCGTTCACCATGACCAGCTGGCTCTGCATCATTTGCGAGGAAGCCTGCAGCGGGATAGATGCCTAGATGAACCCACATTAGCTGCAGTCCTCGCCTGCATCACTGCTGAAGCTATGTCGGGTCGCCGCAGCCGATGGAGAGCACACGTGGCTGGATGTCTTGGCCTCCTAGAGAACGAAGTCTATGGTGACTGGATTCAAAATCCGACAGCTGCTAGAATGATCCAAAGTTACTTGGCTCTTTCGTCACTATGCAGTCTTACTGTGCCAAAACGGCTCATGACGCTCCTCAATGGCCCCTCCAATTCCCACCACTACCTAGAACAATCTCATGGAGTTACAACATCACTGGTCCAATTCCTCGCTCGAGTCACCGCACTTGTTGAGTCCAAGACACAGCTACCTATTGATGAACTAGACCGACTCGAACTCCAGCTTTACTTGAACTTTCCATCCCCGTGCAACCCAGACGCCCCGGGTTCGATCGTCGTCCAGCATGCTCTCACCTCATTTTACTATGCGATAATCGTATACTTCCGCCGTACCTTGCGTGGCGCAAGATTGAGCGACGTACAGGACCTGGTCGAGAAAGCAATCTGCGAGCTTGAGTCTGTCGATGCACTCACGCGTGAAAAGGGTGGCCATTCGTATAACTGGGCAGGTTTCGTGATTGCGGCTGACTGCGAGCGGCCTGATCTGCGAGATCGCATGTTAACATTCTTTGCCGGCAAAAGTCGACGCGGGATCCAGAATATTAACGTATTATGCGAAGTCGTTCAAGCCCTGTGGAACCGGCGGGCGGAAGCTGGATCGCACGTCGATATACAGTGGCAGGATATTGCAAGGGAAGCTGATTTTGATATCATGCTTGTTTGAATATGGAATCATACATGCAATCATCAATGCACCTATCAATGTTACAACCGTGTACATATATTAGGGCCCACAGAACAAGGAGCCAAGCCATGTGTTCAGGTGGAGCCAAAGTGGGTACTCGACCCTTTCCCCAGATACTATCAGGACGATACTATCAACATCCGTCTCAAATATCTCCAAATGAAAGTCACCGGGAAGCTCATTTGCATTAAAACTCACGAGCTGGCGTCCATTGAAACCGTCAATACGTCAACATATCCCCTTGTTCACAGAATGGCCAGTGCGTTAGGAGGGCTCGCGACAGCACCAGGGAAATTCAACGGGGACGAAGTAAGCAAGAAAGAATACTGCCTACTAGCCCTACAAGCATGAGCTAGCGCTTGAAAATCCCAAAGCTCACCAAGCGGAATGCCCAACAAACTAAGACACCACTGATGCAGCACAAGCTTATGGGTAGGTTGCTCAACACCATCGATGACAGGTGGCATAGCCTCAACAGCGATGTTATCACTAGCAACGGCGGCGAAATGCTGATCCCAGAGCCATCGCGCCATCTCCTTACTACCCTCCAGCCCACACATATTAGCATTGCTCATCGCAGCGCCCTGCTCAGCGCCAGTCATTTGACCCAGCGACTCTGTTACGCCGAATCGGACGAGGAGGATATCCCCTACTCGGAAGGTTACCCCTTGCCAGGCAGCCACTGCTTCTAGATCGCTGGCCCCAATGCGGAAACCGGAGAATTGGTCGTAGCTTATCCCGTGGATCTGCGCGTAACTCTTGAAGTCGATCAGTACGCCTCGGCCTGTCACACAACCGCGTTGTTGCCAGTCTGGTTTTCTGCGTTAGCCGTTTTCGGTGTTGGGGTTTGAGTTAGAGTTCAATTCTCTTACGGTCTAGTGTTGGAAGACACTCGGCAGATTTGTAGGTCTGGAATGCCTCGATTGTCGGGTTCGCTCTGTTGTAAGCGAGGCCGGTTGGGAGGTGCATGAAGTGAGCTGGGCTTGGAGTCAATTTATTTTTTCCAAAATCTAGAGTTCTTAGACGCACCGAGACTATCCCATTGACTACTAGCTTGGGTATTGAACTCGACCTGAAATGAATTAGTTCTGGTGGATATAAAACAAAATGGCTGCCGAATACCTCATCGTCAAACCCGAAGTGGCTGCCAGATACTGGATCCTCCAGTTTCATGACATTGTGACGGAGGCTCTTTCGAAAGAACCCTGGGATTTTGATGCTTCCAATGGGCCAACTAGCGGTGTTAGGATCATGTCTTGGAGATAGTGAAGGGAATACCACTTTAGAGAAACAGACACGCCCTGGCGGACCTCCGCAACAGCATCCTTGACGACTTCTGGGGTGAGTAAATTCAGTGTTCCTAGAACATCTTTCTTGCCGTCTTTGTCAAATATGCCCCATGCACAACCTTGCGGCATTCCCTCGACAGGAGGGAGATCGTCGAAATTCGGAAGGGATGTCATAGTATATTGGATAAAAAGAAGGTCTGATTCAGCTGACTCAAAGCCACACAGCCAGCAGATCGTGTGTTAAAATGGCCTGTCACCCTCCCGAGTACTCAGTCGGGGGATTTTCGTAAGATCGAGATGAAACAAGAGCTCGATTGTTTTGAATATGCCCGTCCGATTGTCAGATCCGCGTGAGCTTGGGTTTTGCTTTTAATTGCCTCAATGTGTGACTGCCCAGGTGCCCAAGTGCAGCGTTCAGCGTCCCGAAGGAGAGATTGAATTCAACACTTGCCTCGATAGTGCCACCTATTTTTTCCATCTTCCATGTTGCGAAAATAGAAATTCTAGGTTACAAAAGAGGCTGTTCCCGTCCTACCTCGGGCGGCGCAGGACTAAAGCCAGCCCTAGATGATGTTGCGACAGGGCACACCCGATTGGGAGCGAGGTGAACTGTTTCGACCTGCCAGAGGATGTGGACCGCTAGATTGGCCATACTTCTGCGCTATAGACGGACATTTTCTGTTCATGTACCACTATTGCAAGAAGGCCCCGCTTTATGCCAGGGAAGGCCCAGCCATTATCAATATCTATGATGGGGTTGTAAGCTATGCTGGGTGGACCAAAATGTGTACGCCCTCATGGGGGCACTTGCGCTAGTTTTGAAGTGGTTCGCAGCGTCTGAGCAAGTCTAGTCTTGCAAACTATATGGGGGAGAATAGCTTCATTCGAATGGACTCAAATGGATCAACCCGTATTTTCGACTGATATGAAAGATGTATATGTTTACACGTCTATCAAGCTAGTTAGCACCCGTCGGACCCAGAGACGCACTTTGTGTGAAAATGATTGATGAGTTCGCAAAAATTCACCTGGTAAATGAGAAGGACGTCGCAATGGCCAACTCTTTATTCCGTCGTGCCGGTGATAACACGTGTAAATTTCGATCGAAATTCCAGCATTTTTGCTGAGGCTCAAGGTTCACCATATAGAAGCCCCGCCGTGGTCTGGCCGAGTCGGGGTTAACGGGTCGGGTTCGTACGTGCCGATCCATTCCCAGCCACTTTATTCAGCCAGCAAATTGATATGGCTCTGAGATTGGACAGAGTTCTGATCGACGAGATTATTCAAGCGCTCCATCCCCCGAGTTGCATCTGATGTACGTAGTACTCCGTAGTTAACTGTGGCCTTGACGGTAGAAAGAGTGGAGGAGATCTCCAATCCCAACACCCTGAGTCATTTCCCGCCCAAAGTCTCGCTTGAACCGTTGCGGCTGCGGCGGAAGAGGTGTGGGATGGCAAGGGGGCACTATGTACTCCGTACATATGTTTAATTAATTGAAGGGGCTGTATGGCACGTTGACCGGGCGGCTGATTCCAAAGAATGAGACACAACGGGATGGACCGGGGCCACGTCAACTCTCAGGAATGGAGAATGGCCTGCCTTGTCGGTTCGTATTTGTCGAGTCAAATTGTGTATAAATTATATCGTACAGAATGCCGTGTTGGATGTTGTCATACGGTCAGTAGTCATGCCAAGGCGGAGGATCGCATAGTGCATCAATTTTGGGTTCGGGGACAAGCCACCGCGATAGCTAAAATTAGTATCTACATATGTACCGAGTACCGGCAGCCATGACGCGTTTGGCTCCTACATGACTGCAGATAAAGCAATTCGGGACCCAGCCGCCAAATTATGGTTGACAAGGCCCGAGAGCAAGGGTTGAACACCGAGGTATGTAGGAAATGGGAAGCTTACAGCGTATGTACGCGGTAGGGAGTATAGATATGATCTTCGGTTGGACAAGATACTATACTTGAAGAGGCCCACAGAAAAGTGCAGATGATAGACATATCACCTTCCCTTTTGGGAACTAGAGGATACACTCTGAGCAAACATCTTGGGGCTTACGGTATCGACACTGTACAGTGTATGAAAAGATAGAAACGAAGATGAGTTTGCACAGATTCAAATATTGTGAAGTGCATATATATCTTAGATATGAATTAAGAAGAATATTAACCATCAACTATCATGTATGTCATAGGTATATTTTGCCGTATATTAAATTGCAAGTATAAACTCAAGTAAACCTGCGGGGGACACATGGGAAGCTAAACCATATTAGGATCGTCAGCTGACTAGCCCCGATCAATTCTGGTTTTTTTTTTTGGTTTTTTATTTTCCCTCTCGCTGCATCGCCCCAGCCATGGCGTTTTCCCTGCCTTTTTAGTGCGTTCACTCATTTTCTTTTGTTCATTTCCCCTAATCTTGCATGTGGTTTCATCTTTTTTTTTTATATACATAGAGAGGTGACCCTTAACGGGTCTTCCCACGCCAAGGCCATTTAGGTCTGGAGCCTTGGGGTTCTTATCTTTGACCATTTTATATTGATTGTTATATCTTGTGACTTGGACCCCCCACATCCCCGGAGGATAGAACTCAACGCTCCCGGTCTTCCGTTTGCGGCCGAGTCATCCCCCCTCCCCCCCAACACCTTTTCTACCTTGATATAACCGAGTTCGGTTTATCGACCATGTCAGCAATGTTTCAAGATGCAAGCGACAATGGACATACAAAGAAAGAGAATGACGGGCCTCTTTCGGTAGACCACCTACCTTCCATACTTAATGCCGAATCGCCACTGCCGTCTCTCCAGATTCGCACCGATCTGCCCAGTATTCGTCCATCCAGTTCGCGAGACTCCGACCCTTATGCTTCGACCAGTTTATCCGGAAGTTATCCACGTCGGACCCCGAGTCTTCGTGCCCTTTTCGCACTATCTATACAAAGTGCGGGCTCCTTGTCCCCGGCATCCTTCATATCCTCGCCGCAATTGAATGCAATGGGTGACATAACTCCATTGCCATCGCCAATTGGAGGAGCTGTGCCGTGGCGTAGAGCTGATGTGCCATCGTTGTCTCGTTCTTCGTCGATGGCGTCGCGCAACGGTTCTAGTATTCGTCTGAGTGATTCATCGCAGATGCTTGGGCCGCCCGTCATGTCCCGTTCGCGCCCGAAACCATACACTGGCATCGATGGACAGAGGGAGGATCCATCGGAGAAAAATGGGCCTTGTCACGACTCACCTTCAAAGCATTCTCATTCACGGAACCGCAGTCTGAGTGACTATGCGCCGCCCGGCCGGGTCTCTGTCCCTCCCCGTCCGATTGCGGTGTCAGGGAGTAACGCGCTTGGTATTGCCTCCTCGTCGAGCATAGATTCGAAGTCCAATGGCCTTCATCGCGAACAGCATCTCGCTGTCCACCGAGGTATCACATTGCCGACTGTTCGTCCCCCCCAGCCCACCTCGCAGCAGTGGCAGTGGATATAGTGACAACGAGCCCGTGATCCGTCACCCTGCTCCCCTCTCCACACCCCAGGAGATATATTCTGTCCGGTCGGTCCGCACAGAGCAGGAACGTATTTATCAGAAAGTCCGAGCATTAGGCCAAGGCACATTCAGTCAAGTCAGTCTGGCAGCACGCGTGGAACCTATCCCCGATATGCCTTTGTCGCCGGATGGGGATGGAGCTGGCTCTTTCCACGGGTTTGTGAACAACCAAAAGCTGGTCGCCGTCAAAATTATCGAGCATGGACCCGCTGGAGGCGCTGATGAGGGCCGACTGGAGGTATCACTCAAGCGCGAAGTAGAAATATTGAAGTCGGTCAACCATCCGTCCCTCGTCCAACTGAAAGCATTTGGCAGTGATGCAAAGCGTGCTTTGTTGGTTTTGGACTATTGTCCCGGTGGAGATTTGTTCGAATTTGCCACATCAGGAGGTCCTCGTATGGCCCCAGAATTGATCAGACGTATTTTTGCCGAATTAGTGGATGCTGTACGTTATTTGCATGCTAATTACATCGTTCATCGGGACATCAAGTTGGAAAGTGAGTCAGGTTTATCAAAATATTGCACACATTATACTGACCATCTCTCTAGATGTTCTGCTTACCATGCCTGCTCATGTTATGGACAATGTGCAAGACTGGCGTACCTACGACCGCGCTGTAGTCACCCTCAGCGATCTCGGCCTGTCACGACGTATCCCCGAACCATCTGAGAGCCCACTCCTGCAGACCCGATGTGGAAGCGAAGACTATGCAGCCCCTGAGATTCTGATGGGTCAGGCTTACGATGGCCGCGCTACTGACGCTTGGGCGCTAGGCGTTTTACTTTATGCCATCATGGAGAATCGGTTACCCTTTGATGTTATCCCTGGCACTCGCGGAGATCCTGCCAAACTCCGTGCCCGGACTCCGCATCGTATTGCACGTGTTGAATGGGCTTGGTATAGATATGCCGACGAAGACGAGGAATGGGACCCCGAGAAAGGCAAAGGACTTGAGGGAGCTCGTGACTGCGTGGAAGGTCTTCTCAAGCGCAACACGAAGCGCAAGTCCCTTGATGAGATTGCTGCTATGGATTGGGTGCGTGACGCTATCGATGTTCCTGGTGGCCTGAAACGAGGCGACAAAGAAGTGCCATAGAGCCGGTCTCCCATGTGCCTTGTTGTCCCGTATAGTGTTATTTTTCTTCCTTTTTCCTTGTGTGACGTCCCTTCATTCTCTTTCTTTTCTTGACTCACATACCTTTTCCCTTCTTTTCTTCCGTTTTCTTGTCTTTCACGAGGCACAATGACTGAATGAGTCATTTTGTGGATCGAATGTTATGTTTTTATGGCTAGACCGGTTTTTTATACCCTTTTTTACACCCAACTGCCTCTAGGAGGTAGGACACGGCAATACAATATTCATTTCACAATTTTCCCCTGCTTCCTTACTTCATCTTCCATCCTACCCATGTCACTCTTCAAATATAGTTCCCGGCTGCAGATATCTCAATTGACGATGGTCACAGTCAACTATCATCTGATCTTCGCATCGATGTCACACACGGAGAGCTGGAAAGATATTCGCTTCCACAATTACGTTGACTAGCATGGATCTTAAAGCTGCATGACCTTCTGTTTGGTCTTTCGCCTTTAGGCTTGCCTAGTTCGTATGAGTGCGACAGTCAGACGGACTCACGTATTAATCTTAGGTGATTCAACAAGTTGGAGCTGTGGTTCGCGACCCGGCCGTTGACAAAACGACTGCTAAGTTATCAACAGGCCAGCAAATCGATGTTTTATCTATCTGAATTTCTAGTCTTCTTACATTTTATACTTGATCACTATTTATCGAGGTTGAATCTCCGAATTTCATGACGTCAAGTGATCAACGAAATCATGTGCTCAGCTCGCCGGTTTCTTCACCTGCGACCAATCGTATTTGTTGTGCAGGCGCCCTGGGGCTGTGCTCGTATCGCTGAGCCCTCGAAGCCCCGATGGCAGTGATTTCTGCAAATCAACGTCTTCGACGCAAAGAACCTGCATAACTCCTCTTTTTTTTTGCTTAATTTGATGTATGCACAAGGACTGAGGCTATTGAGATTCTCGATGGAATAGTTAAATCCAGGCGCATTCCACTGAAACAGGACACACACACCATGGCCTTTGGACGTTCGAGTCGCTCAAAGAGACCGTCATCTCCAAGACCCCCTCCAAAACCACCACGTCCGAATCAGCGAGAGAACACAATAGGAACGCCACAGAAATATGTCTATCCGCCATATGCGTCGCCGGCGGGGGCATATTCAGTGAACACATTTCATACACCTGCAGTCCCATATCAATCAAATATGGCAATGTCTATGGTTCATCTACAACCTCAGCCAGCACCACAACCAGTCTATCCTTTCCCACCTGCTTTAAACAGTCCGCCATTGAATACTCAACCGAAACCTTCAAAATGGACGTCGTGTACGAATCTGAACCAATCAATGACAAACTTAGTATCGCATACAGTCGACAAAACCAACGCCACGATTCTTGATCTCGAAATGTTGGTCCGCCAGAGCTTGGGTGGTGGTGCAAATGTCAACGAGGCTACATCACGATTATTAGATCAAGTCATCACCTCGATCGACCTAGGGTCGTTTTGTGGGAGAGAAAATGAACTGAGTAAGTGGGATAGCTCTTCATTGTGTCAAATCATACTCATAAGTGACAATAGTTTCTGCGTGTAAGATTCCTTCCCAGTCAGACGAGAAGAAAAATCGCCGAACACAGCGAAAAGAGAAAAAGTCAACAGGGTCTGTGGATTACTTCTCCAAGGTGTACCTGTATGCCAATTCGCGATTACCTCCTCATTTAACACCACTAAAATTGTAAGACCATCTAGCCCTAATGTACTATATAACCCAACTTGCTGATTTCAAATGAAGCTATCCTCCCACATATCCCCTCCTCCAACTCGCAGCCAAATACTCGCGCCGTGTCTACGAAAAGCCCTCAGGACGTGAACGACATTCATACGTGAGTTCAGATTGGCTACAGGGCACCAAAGCCATGGTGGTCAAGTCGCTACCAATCGACGACATGAACACGATTGTCTTCGCCATACGTGGTACACAGAGCTTCCTGGACTGGGCCGTGAACGTTCACACAGCACCAACTTCTCCCGTTGGTTTCTTGGATGACCCATCCAACTGCTGTCATTCCGGATTCCTATCCGTGGCCCGAAAAATGGTTGCCCCCGTTGCAGCCAGACTACGTAGTCTTCTCGAAGAAGATCCCTCTCGCATGTCATATTCGCTAGTCTTTACCGGCCACTCCGCAGGCGGAGCCGTCGCAAGCTTGCTATATCTACACCTCCTATCCGAATCACCAGCTGTCCGGTCCGAGCTTACTCATCTCCGCGGCTGCTTTAAGCACATCCACTGTGTCACATTTGGTGCTCCGCCCATATCTCTTCGTCCACTGCAACTCTCTCCTACTGCTCGACGATCAAAATCCATATTCTTCGCTTTTATCAACGAAGGAGATCCGGTCTCGCGTGCTGACAAGGGCTACTTTCTCTCGTTGCTAGATCTGTATGTTTCACCTGCGCCGGGGTCACTACTAGCCTTGTATGATAGAAAGAAGAAATCTGCTCCTATCTATTGGAGAACCCCCTCATCCGATTTATCACTCGCTGGTCGACTTGTTCTTCTTCGTCCGCGAGACCAGTGGAGTGGCCGTCCTATTATTCTAGCACCACCAATCCCCGGTGGAGCTCCTGCCCTGCCGCCACGGGAGAACGTGGATGCATATGGGATTACGGATCGCGAGCTCCGAGGGGTGGTCTTTGGTGACCCCGTCATGCATTTTATGGACTTGTATTCTCATCGCATTGATGCCTTGGCCAGAGGTGCCGCGAGCAAGGGATCATGATGTATCACAGTACGTATCGCGATGTAGTTTACGCAGCTTATGTTTCAATATAAAAAACCACTGAGATACCCAGTACGCATTAACTGTTTTGAGTGTTGGCAGATCCCTTCACTCTTTATTATTAGTAATGCTGATATTGCTTTGGCCGTCCTGAAATACTCACGTCACCTCCATCCCAAGGTGTGTCAGTGCCGATTGCTACATTTTGAGACTATGTTCAAGTATGCCTTTGTTAACCTCGTGTCATGTATTCTTTTCCATCTAAAAGAAACAAAGGAAGGGACTAAAAGGCCAAAGCCTTTAAAGATCAATGAAAATTTAGTACTATCCAACATGAAATCTACTTCCATGAATATATAACCGTTCGTTTGGTCCTGTGCATGGATTCTTCAGATAGCAAGCCAACTTTCGAGGCGAACACACTAAAACCCCGAGTATATTATACGGTGTCCGAGCTCGTTCCATTGACTTGAGCTACAGAAAATTCCCCTCAAAATGTGTTTACAGACTTATGATATGTGGACGATGTGCAACTGCATTCAATTAGGACGAGTTCAGCGTTGTGAAGAGTTCGGCGTGCCATTTTTCAAACGGGAGCGCTGCACAGGACGTATTTTACGAGCTCTCAATATTGGCATAATTGGAATTCCCGAGGAGCGGCTTAGGCACAAGGCAGGAATGTGCTCTGAGTGCTCGGAGAAGTTGTATCAAGAAATGTGGGCGCTTCGTTGGGAATGGACGTCTCGTCAGAGTGAAGAGTGGGCGGCGAACCAGCGTGACAACGAATAGAGATACAGGTACAACGCATTGAGAGCCATGGGCTGATTATCAAAGTTAAGAAAGTCGTATTGACGAGAGGTGATTAGAAAGTTTTACAAAATTAAACTTGATTATGTCTTGATTCGATATCTACTGCTCAACGTAGTCCTGGATTTAGAAGACCAGACTGTCTGTTACAGAGACTCCTGGGAAGGACTTTCCCCCTTTATTGCGGGAGTTGGGCTCTGTGGATTCCGAAACACATTTCTTGGGTCAACTTGTTTTTTGATCTGCTGCAGTCGGGGGAGATTGGTGCCCCAATATGCCTCGGGGGCGTTGCTCATAAGAGGGTCCACATACCCCGGGTAGGCAGCGTAGGGAATATTGTCATTTGTGACGATCTTATGGAGTCCATCAAGGAAATTAACCTGCGTCTGGGATATGTGTCCAAAGAAATCGAGTGTGTAGGACTGTAGCCAGATGAGCACATCACGATGAGCGTAAGATGTAGCATTAATTGGGATGTCGCTGGTGTAACCTCCCTGAAAATCGAACAACAGAAACCAGCCCAGAGTACCCTTATTGACGGTACCGATGTAGTCAAACATTCTGTCGATAGTCTCCGGGGTCATCAGAGTCTGGGGCGTCCAAGAGGTAGATTTTGCGTAGAAATTTGTTGGGATCCCAGCACCCAACTTCAAAACAAGGTCTTCGGCCCAGTGGGCGACAATACCAAGCCAGTCATTAAAAACCAATGCCTTGCCATTTGCACCGGGAAATTTGCTGCTGAGGTTCATCTTATCATACTCTTCTTTTGTGCCAAAGAAGGTACCGCTGATTGCCATACTATGCTCGAGCACAGTGAGGGTAGATGCCATCTTTCGAGTTAAATTTGGGTCTGAAACAAAGGCCTGCCAGCTCTTGAAAAGGGCCGCCTGCTCCCTGGGACTGCCGATCTCCAAGCTGTATGCATACTGCACCGCAGTACCAGGCTCCGGCTCAGTTCGGACCTTGAACTCCGTGACAATACCATAGCCCGAGGCAGCACCTTTGATAGCCCAAAAGAGGTCCTGGTTTTCCGTGTCAGATGCTCGGACAATACTCGAGTTGGCGAGAACCACCTCAACCTCCAGGACATGGTCAAGTGCGGCACCAAATTGACGCGAAGTCGGACCCAGACCACCAATTGTGAAATGTCCCCCCGAGCCCACTTGAGGACAAATTCCGTGAGACATACTCCGACCTCCGGCGTGGTACAGCCGCTGTGTCACGTCACTCAATAAGCTTCCCGCTCCAATCGTCGCTTGCCAGGTTGTATTGTCCATGGAGAATTGTCGGAGATGCTTCAAGTCAATCGCAACGGCACCGTCTGTACCTCCAAGACCTGTCACATATCTCATGTTAGCCGCCAGTTCGAATCAATCTGCAATGAGATAATTGCAAAATCTCACCGTAATTGCCATAGCTGTGTCCTCCACTTCTGGCCTGGACTGGAAATCCGTGCTCTGCGGCACACTTGACAATGGCAGCCACCTGCTGAGAAGAGCTGTGGTCTATGAGCAAGGAACATAATGAATCATCGATCTTTCAGGGTACTCACGTGGGAAAAGTCATTGCTGCTGGAGTAACGGGAATGTTCAGGTTGTAACGATTCACAATGTGGTCGTAAAACAGATCCCCGGCGAAGGCAAAGCTTCCCCGGTCTGTCAAGGTATTCTCAAAGCATGATTTCAATGCTGCATTGGGACCAGCAAAAGGCACCGATGTAGCCCCTACTGCCAGGAGAAGAAGTTGAAGAATCATGATTGGTCCCGGCAAGGTTTGTCCAGGGTGTCTACAGAGAAGAGAGGAAAGTGCAGAGAGGCAGAGACAGGGAGAGAGAGAGAGAGATCATGAACCATGTCGCGGAGTCCAAACGGAATAAAACGAGTCAACCCAATATCAGATAAGACTGAATGATTTAATCTTTAGGACGATGAGCCTTTGCTCAGCTCATAAAATGATAACATCATCCATGGATCTCAGGCTTGGCTCATCTACATACTAAAAGCTGATCCGATTCAAAAACAGAACTGTTACAAGTCTAATCAATATGAGATCACGTCAAAGGTAACAAGTTTCAGGCATCAACAATCGGCATATTGAAAGATGGTGAAGACACCCTTCTTACACCGCAATCACCCCCTACCCTATACGATGATCCCTCGATAGAAAGCAAGCCTGAAGCCCATATCTATCCTCTACCTTGACATTGTGCCTAGCAAGCCTTATTCGACTTTCGGACTGCATATGCGACTCCTGCGCGTCTATTATTGGCGAGTATAGCTCGAGCCCATACAATATGTTTGGGTTAAATTTCTAAAATATACCAGGAAATGATATTGATTGTGGTCACCATGTCCGACGACTCTGACCCCACGCTCTGGAGAACTCCTGCTTCTCTTTTACCCCCAAGCCAACCCGCTTGACCCGACCCAGACGGGCAAGTGACTCCCCAACATTGTCCAGCAGCGCCTTCTCGCTGGCCGAGGCCTGCTTTTCTTGGCCGTTTTGTTCCAGCGTGTCTAGGTAATTCGTGTTATAGGTCGACTTGTCAGCAGGAGATGCATCAACGGCATTTTGGCTACTTGTGATGGACTCCGCGATGCGCACTCTGATGCAGTGGGTCGGCTTGCTAAGCAGCGTCCACAGGAAGCTCATGTAACTCCCAGGAAGAGGGGTCACAATATCCATAGGTGTATAGCGCAGACTGACAGGGAATATCTTGGTCTTAGGAGGTACGCTGAGAAGGGAGTTGCTCAGGGCCAGGATGCCGCGACCATTGGTGGTGGTACATTCCGGGAACAGTACAATCGGTCTGGTGGGGTACTTCTCGACCAAAGTCGAGACATCCACCATCTGGGCACCAGGAGCGGGTTGCGTGGCGGGGAAAGCGAAGGCTCGCAGAATGGCCTGGAACAAAGAGATGCGCTCGACCTGGCGAGTGTTGGGGTAAGATGCTGTAAAGATCGGGTCGAAGATAGCTGCCAGGTACAAGGCATCAATGGGTGATGTGAAGGACGAGGCGATGACTGAGCCGGGCTGTGGCAGACGCGCTTGCTGCTGCTTCAAAGACCTGTGTCCAAATTGTTAGTTACCGGCGGAACAGGCTTTAGTTCCAATGGCGTAGAACGAACCCTTTCCGCACTCCATCCACTTGGAGATCAATCCACCAGATGCTCGGAACTCCAAGGATACACCACAGAGCAGCCTTTTTCCCCAGCGAGCCAATAGGAAGCCATTGTAAGATCAAAAAATAGCTAAGAGCGACGAAGATGAATAGCGGGAGGCGGAAGCAGAAGAGGAAGATACGAAGGGGAGCTTGGAGGCCAAGTTTTTCAACGGGGACTGGGAGGAATGGCGCAATTCCCGAGCCTAGGAGATGTCAGCATAACTGTACTTGGAGGGGCTGGTCATCAAAATGGACTCACCTCGATCCCGAAATTGAGAGTATCTCTCCATCTTAAGTTATGACGGCTTCAAACAGAATGAGCTGTAGTACAGGCTTGATTATCAACAGGCCATGCGCTAAGCAAATGTCTATGTGAGATTGCGCCGACAGCACAAGTTGCGACTGACAATTGATTCGGGTTGACAAGCTGTTGATCTTCACATGCCACAAGAGCTGTCACGTGGCAAAATTCCTGAGGCATCCAGGCACATTCCCTTGTACAACACAAATAGTAGAAGAGTTGAGCGAAGTACTGACGGATATCCGGATTCCAAGTCTCTGTGGTATTGTGTGATCATTTGCGTACAAAGATATTTAGAGTATAATAGGTACCAAGAAAAAAAAGAACAACGCTTTGAGCGCACAGAAGCTAAGAGTAGTATACAAGATCTATAGGATTACGCCCTGTTATCCCCGTCATCATCATCCACCACCAAGTCCGGTATCGGAGGACTTGGAGGCAGTTTGAAAGTCCAGATAGCTATTCCGACCAAACAGAAGAGCGTACTCGTCATCATCCACGCGAGACCGATCCAGACGCCGCCCAGACGCAGTCCAATCTGGAAGACGGTTGTGATGGACAAGCTCGCAATCACATTGCCCAAGGACTGAATAATCTCAATTGCGGTAAATAAGCGAGCCGTCTCATCACGTTCAACCAAAGTGGTAATGATGGAGCGGGCAAGGAAGACGAAGCCCGATCCTGAAGTCTGGATGATCATGCTGGGGATTAGGGTCGCGATGCTTGGGGAGAGGCCAATCCCGAGGGTTCCAATTGTAAGACAAAATATACTGCGCCGCGCAAGCCACAGGTCTTTTTCTGTGGAAGAAAGCCGGGGATTTAGAACTCGGCTTTTGAGGAAAGGTAGGCCGAAGAGGAAGAGTGGGATTGACACAGTCGGGCGCGCAGACACTAGGAAATTGGACTGTGCTAGTGTCCATGAATAACGTGTCGATATATATTGGGTCAAAAACCAGGATGAGCCTCGGCTCAGGCGATATACCAGGAACGCACTCAGAAGCAGGAGGACTGGTGTTCGGTTGAGAATAAACCGGTATGGTCTAAGGTAGAAACGGTAATTTGCGCGGAACTTTGCCAGGATAGATTGGTGGGAGTATGATGGGATGCTCCAAGACGGCGGTTCATTCTCATGATCACCGTTCATGTCGGGTTCTGTGCGATGTGGTTCAGGTTCGTTGAGATTATGTAAAGAACGCTTGGGTTCAGTGTCATCTGTCAGATCTGACAGCTCAACATTCGTTGGTTCAGCTTTCCGGGGTGGCAGTGCATGCTTCGTTTCCGGTAGCACCAAGATGAGCATCATGCCGGCCATCACAATTCCGAATCCAATCACCAATGGTATCCAGGGATTCAAGGTCATCAAATAAGAACTAAAAGCACTGGAAGCAAAGTCCGCGCCCATCGATACGATGGCAAATTGAAAGAAGATTCCCGCTCTATAACACTCAATTAACATTGATTAAACACGCTGTAATGGGAGGGATAACATACCTTTCTGCCTCGCTGGTTACATCAGCCATCATCGTCCAGATAATTGCGAAAGACACCACTGGACCACCCCCAAATACCCACGTTAAGGCAGTAAACCAAAGCGCACGTAGGGGAAATATATCTGAAAACCACAATATAACGAGCGTGAGGAGTGCATTCAACCCAAAGCCGGGGATGGATAAAGCGAGTGTAGACTTGCGGCCACGACGGTCTGCCAGCAGACCATAGGGAATCGCCAAAAGAGCACCTGCAAGATAATCAGAGATAAATCCGGTGCTGAAAGTTCAAATCAACGTACTCAGTGACCCATCAAAGAACATATGGTAACCTTTGACGGCCGCCAATTCAGCCTGCACCTCGCCGATCTTACACATGGCCTCGGGCACTTGTCCATCCACGCCGATCTTAGTCGGATCCACACCTAGAAAATACTGGCGACAAGCGATAGACTCCATGATGCGGACCATTGGACCCTCCAGGAAAGCGAAGCCGATTTCAACTGCAAGCACCATGGCGAATAAGGTCGCCTTCAGGCGGAAACTGATGGCGCTGGCGGAGGCATTTGCCGTCACTGGGCGGCTGCCTATACTGGGCTTGCTATGGACATGACGATGTGCTGGACCGGGGTTGCTCAGATCGGGGGAGTCGAGGAATGGGGCATCCTCGCGGTCCTCGCGATCGAGAGACTCATGACGTATGGAGGCCATCTTGGTCTGTCATACCGTCAAGGGTATATATATAGGGAATGTAGTCCGATGGGGTATGAATGAGGGTATGATCAGATCATTGTTAGGAAGTTAGGGAAAGGAATGTGAGAAATCTGTACGAGGCCAAGTTGCCAATCGTCGCAAGCGAATCCAGCACGGTGTCTTGGCGGGATCTCTTCCAGGGGTTAGGGGCCAAAAGCCGAACTAGTCCCGGGTACTATTCTTATCCCTCATGCATATCAAATTCTTATGTAGTTAATTGTTATAGAAAAAGAAACAGCATACCGATACCTAGGTACGTATGTCCCTTTATATACGAAAAAAAAAGAAAAAAACCTTCCTAATTACAATCATATCCTGCCTCTTCAAACAAGCTTCCCCGAACTTGTACTACTGCCGACAGCTCTAGGATGAATTCATAAAGTATCACCACATTAGTCAGTACATGACCAAGAGTTGCGACTGGGGCATCCCTGTTATCTTCTGAGTACGAAGCTCCCTCCTTGGTAGATGGAGATAGTGGATCTGCGGGTGCCGGCGGGAACGGGGTGGCAAGGCGCTGGCGAAGAGCCTCGGCGGCCACGGCACGGGTGTTCAAGGATCCGCGCGATTCGGAAGGAACAGAAGATCCGTCCCGATCTCGACTGGAAAACATAGAGGGCGAAGTTGCCGGGTACGGAGACCGGCCACGGGAACCTAGGGCAGAGGCATCCGGTGAACCAGGATAAGACGGGCGTGAGCGGTTCATTGAGGATACTGGAGGCTCCGAGGGCTCTCTTGATCGGTCCGGTGTCTGCGGATGATCTTCTTGGTGCAATAATTCTCGTCGGGCAGCGAGCAGTACATCGAAGTCGGGCAATTCTCGTTGCCATTGTCGGACCTGGCTCACCAATTTTTGGAGCGCTATAGTCAATGTCGGAGCAGCTGTAGCGGGCCAAGTTGGTTGCTGGTAGGCCCGACAAATATTTTCAGATCCATCGTCTGATTCTTCAGAGGCTGGGGCCTCGTACTGGTTGGGATCAACCAACACCCACCCGTCCAAGGAGAAGAGATGTGAGGACGCCAGGCTCATAAATACACCTGTTAATGCCAGGTTGACAATGACGCTGTTCGTAAAGAAAGATTCAAAACACATGAGAAGGGCCTGAACTATTGGATCGTCTTGCTGGAGCTGTAATGGTAGGGGTAACGTCTCCTCGTCTTGCTCCATTGAAGATATGGGCAGGCACAGGCGAGATTCAAGCACACATGTCGCATCTGCGACATAGTTGTCATACGACTCATTTAACGTGGGGTCATCGACGAGGGATGTTCCCATGACCAAAAGTTGCTCTAGCTCAGCATTCAAAGCACCAACGGGGCGCTGATGTGCAGGCTGAGTAGGGATGGTATGGATGAGTGCCCGTGCAAATAGATGGTGTCTCTGAAGGACAGTATTTAGAAGGCGCAGTGTAGCTAGAACCGTCTGGCAGTTCGATGATTGGAGTCCCAGTAGGGCTAAATCGCGAAGATTGAATAGTGAGGGTGAGGGCTGAGCCGCTTCAAAGGCCAACGCAGCTAGGACATTGAGCGATTTCCGTCGACTTGCCGACATGTCAATCTGCTCCTCAGGCTGAGGAGAAGATGCTAACAAGAAATGTAAGATTCGATGGACCAATTCGCCTTGATCGATCGAGTCGAGGATGCGGCACATGTAGGTCAATACCGCTGCTGTCGAGCCACCAGCTGCATCTGATGATTCTAGCAAGGAGGGATACCTATAGGAGTCAGTGATGATAGAATTTCAGAGCGAAGAGTCTATACTGACAAAAGCTGTTCTAGAAACAGCACCTGGAAATGGTCTAGTAAGGTGTCGTTCACTTCGGCCGATTTACAGTGATCGATTGTATCCTGCCAAAACAACAGATATGACATGAATGCGTCCATTGTCTGACCTAGTGTTGGCTGCAAAGCGGTCTCTTGTTTGGCATGATCAGACAACGCAATGATGTGAGGGACATTCTCGTCCTCATCGATGGGAGTAAATGACAAACTTTATTCGATTAGTGCACTGTCCCATAACGACCAAAATAACAAACTTACTGTCCCAGCTGGCTGTAAAGTGCACCTAATCCCGTGGCCATGAGCGTAGCCAGGTCACTCTCGATCAACCACTTCTCGAGATTCTTGGACCGCGATGCGGTTTCAATGAGGTAAAGCAGACCGGTGCGGGCAAAATCGCCAGCACGTCCTTCGTGATGAACGTAGTCTACCAGCAGGTAGAACAGGGGGAACTCGTCCTTCCTCGTAGCTCCTGCAAACTCCGTCCCGCTTGGAGCTTGAGAATCGCTATCATGGGCGGTCGGTGTTACCCGAGGCACAAACCATGCAGGCAGTATAACAGGCTGAAGCCGAATGTTGTTGGCAATACCAAATATCAATTCGACGAGTCGGCCTTCAATCTCGTCCGATGTCTTCTCGGCGCGTCGGACGAGATCCACCAACGCGCGGGCGAACAAGCGGTTATCCACAACCCCATCCACCTCCGCATCGATCAGGGTATTGAAGAATACAGTGGCTGACCGGATAACTCCTTCATCGTAGAATGACAGTGCAAGTTTGGTCACAGTCACAAAGACCTGCGAAGATGCTGCATAGGCGACACAGGGGTGCGGTGCAGGCCCACGGGCTTCATCGCTCAGAATCGAGTTGAGTCGTTCAACATACGTACGTGCGTGCGCAACCGACTGTTCGCCCGAAGGATTATTTGTCGCACGCCATATTTGCTATCAATTGGGTTAGTCAGTGGTGTTGTGGAGGCGGACATTGTCGGTACCTGGAGGGCATTGCAAGCACGCTTAAAGGCAGTCAGTCGTTCCGTGGGCGAGGTGGCCTTGGAGGGTTTGTTGGACAGCGCGCGCGAACCGCCGATAAGTCGAGACCACTACATTCTATTAGTAGAGTTTCATAAAGATGTAAGGGGCACGTACAAAGTCCATTCTGTGAGGACAGCATGATCTCACAGAGTGAAAGTGATGGGGGTCGCGGATGAGTGGAGACAGTGTTTATCTCGCTGATCGCCGCTTTACAGCTACAGAACCATCAACTTCCTATATACTACATGCACATTCGTCATTTATACAGTTACAGTCGTGCATATTCGGGTTCCGACAAAGAAAAATGCCAGTCCAGGGCCCGATTGAATAATTAGACCGTGCGCACATGAGGGCTCGAGTCATTCGAGCCCAAAACACCAAAAATATTCACAGAGAAATGCGCTCCCAGATTTCCCTCCCACTATTTGAACGCCTAAAAGAAAAGAAAAAACCTCATGAATATATGCGCCTGATACCAATCCCATCTAGCACGTCGTCAAATCATTTACGGGTCAGCCTCAATCACTCTCATCCTTTGGTCGCCGCCCGCCCCGCTTACGGCGACCCTCATTCTGATCACTCCCGTCGTCTTCGTGTTTCCGGCTAGCAGGTTGGTCGGGAACTTTAGAGATGATGTCCGCCAAGAAGTCGAGCACTTCATCCTTGGCAACGGCCTGTTTGAGATGCGAGGCCGTGACGCGCTTTGAGTTGCGATCCTTGGCTTCTTGTGCCGCCTTGGTGACGAGAGAGATCATGAAGAGTTCGAGAGCCTTGGCTATAAGAAAGTGTCTGGTCAGTAGCTATTGCAAAATGGACCCGTGAAAGGAGGCGCAAAGAAACTACTTACACACAGCAATCGGTGTTACTTGGGCAACCTTGCCGACATCCTCATCGGCCTGCATGATGCGCTTGATGCGCGCCACAGGAAATTTGGTCTTTACTTCAATCCCCGCACTTGGAGGCGCCGGCGGCATCTCTTCTTTCATCTCCGGCGCAACAGCGGGGACTGGTGCCATTGCGATCGGCTCTGGGGTTGGTGGGATTGCTTCGGGCATTGGTTGAATTGTTTCGGGCATTGGTTGAATTGCTTCAGGCATAGGTTCAGGGATTGGGGCGTGATCGGACTGAGCAAGACGGCTTGAGCGACGAGCCATGTCCGAGTCGTCTGGCTGATATGGCGGGACGTATTGTTGAGACACGCGACTTAGATTTGGATGTTGGTACGGTTGGTATGAGTTGAAGAAGGGCGAAGTATAAGAAGTAATTGGACTCGGAAGCACTTGTGGAGGAGGATGAGAGAAATCAGGAGAGCGAGGCCGATAATTGTCCTCTGTCATGGTCAAGAAAAAAGAAAAAAATTATTAAGTGGAATCGCGAAAAAAAAAGTAGGTGGCCCAAGCTCCCTGGAGAGGAGAATCCAACGACCCGACTCGGGCGCCGCTGTCCTTTTTAAATTCCGTCGTGTGTTTTTTTGGTAATGTTTTTACCGCGTTTCACTGTTTTGACGGTTTTGACGGTTTTCTGGGTTTTTTTTATTTTTACATTTTTGGTCCCTTTTCCTTTCTTCTTTCTTTAGATCTCACTCCTTCACCCTGGAATATTTGGAACTTCTCTTATTGTCTTATACATTTGATTCTTTTCAACCCCTTCCATCTTGTACCTGTCTTTGTTTTACAAATCCCCTATATTGAATAATCCGTAGGTGACCTCTTCCCTTTAGGCACCCGTAGAATACCCGATGACGATAAATCCAAAAACGTCGAGTTGAATCAGATGAAACCATAAGCGTATCGCTGTTTCTTCTGTGAACACCAAAAATAACTTGATCTAATCTGAGGGGTCTCATCACATCTACTCCGTACTTCATACAATGCACCTTGTTTGCTCCACGTCATAAGTTTCTCTTCCCTCTGACAACGTAACTTCGGTGAAATAGTTTCTCCGACCAATTTCAAGCATCAACCTCTACACTTGTTACCGGACATTGAAGCCATGTCACTGAAGTTCTCTGTCTAGTCAGGGTCATCTAATATCTCCAGCCATCTCCAGCCATGGCGGTGGCGGATGTGCCCGGTCTCATGGACATTGCCAGGTACCTACTTTACATGCCGATCAAAAATTCGGAATGATGCTAATGAGTTTGCAGTACCCTGGCCCAAGATGAGATCCCCTTTAAGCTACGATGTGCCATCTGCAATAAGCTGGCAGTGAATGCATTTCGTCTCCCTTGTTGTGACCAGTCTATCTGTGAGACCTGTATGTTGGACCCAATGTTTCGCACCTGTCGCAAATAGCAGCTAATCTGATATTTACTGTAGGCCAAGCTTCCCTGTCCGATACATGTCCAGTCTGCACACATACCCCTGTCTCTCCTGATCTCTGCAAACCCAACAAGGCTCTTCGGACCACTCTCAAGGCTTTTCTGCGCACGGAAGAGAAGAAGCGGGAAAAGGACCGCCAATCCGCAGCGCCTCCAACATCATCCATTGTCACGCCTGCAGATACAAAAATCCCTGCCCAGGATACAGATCCTGATCAAAATGGGGCTGAGCCAGTGGCATCTGTGGAGACCACCGCACCTCTCCCTCCGGGCCCTACGGAGCCTACAGAGTCAAAGCCTCGGGAGCCTGGACTAGACACACCAGCTCCGGAAATAGTGGGAGAGAGCATTCCAGAGCCAAGTGCCTCAGATTCGGCAGATCAGACAGCCCAGGTAAATTTCCCCTGATATTGTATACTCTATTTCTTCCAAGCTGACTCCGCGTGTAGCCCGAGGCAACTGGTGATCAAGTCAACGGCACCGAGCCGGCCCTTGAGACCACGACTGAAGATGCCGCAGTCAACGACGCCCCAGTCAATGGAGAACCTGCTCCCACGTCCGGGGAGGTTTCTGGGGAACCCGGTACCAACTCGATGACCCCAAACATGGCCGGAAATTTCCCCGCGATGGGCTGGAACGGAAACGGCATGAATCCTTTCATGGCCGGCATGTTCAATTACCCGAATACGATGGGTAAGCTCAATAGTACCAGTATTTGTTGCTTCGACCTCGCTAATCTCTCTCCACAGGTATGCCCATGGGGATGGACCCGATGGCAAATCAGGGGATGTATGGAATGAACATGACTGGCATGGGCATGAACACTGGAATGAACTACAACGGGGGCATGTATGGATCCTTAGGATGGGACGCATCCCAACAGAACAACAATATGTGGCAAGGCGGCCAAAATAAATTCAATCCAAATGCTTTCGCAAATGGCACGGGCCCTCCTTACGGAGGAGCATTTGGCGGATCTAATATGTCTGCTTACCCTTCTCACCCAGATTATCAGTCCGGTTACTACGGCGGCTACGGTCGTGGTGGCTACCGAGGACGAGGCCGTGGCCAGTTTCATGGCTCCGGTCGAGGTGGCTTTGGACCCATGCAAGGCCATTACCGTCAGGGTGCTAACTCAGGCTATCCCAACCAGAATCCAAGCATGTCTAATGGTCTGAACAGTACTCAAATGGATGGTCAAGGTAATGTCCAGACAAATGGGGCTCCAGAATCAGGTGAAACTGGACCCGATGTACCTGGTAATCCAGACGATATCCCCACAGGCACAGACCAACCAACCCAACTCCAAGGAATTCCTACCATTGACAGCCTTGATAATTCTGTACCAACTGGCCCTGGATACGGTACTAATGGGTATGGCCAATACAGATATGGCCGATATGGACAAGAGCGCGGGCCAGGCGTCGAAGGCGCTCCAGCTGCTCCGCGTGCCATGCGGCAGGGGCTACCCAACACCAGTGTGCTACGACAGCGTGGCTTCCAGATTCAGGGCCGAGCCAGTATCTCTGGGTGAGACTTTCCCTCTTTCTTCTTTTCTTTTTGTGGCAATATAAATTCTAACCACCCTTAGTGAACCTACTGAGGATGATCACACAATGGCCACATCTAATGCCCTGTCCCAACGTGCACAGTCTCGATCCCAATCACCCTCACAAAACCTAGCTTCTCGCCCCCGTTCCCCGTCTGTTCATGGTACTGAAGACGACCGTGAGAGTCGGCGTGGGGCAGAAGCCAGACGCCCAGATCGAGTTGATGAGCTACAATCCAGCGCCCGTCACTCCCGCTCTCCATCCCGCACGTCCTCTCGTCCGTCCTCGCGACGCCGACATCATGACAGTGATCGGGAACGAGATCGAAGAAGCAACCACCGCTCACAACGCTCGCGTCGTCATCGCAGCCGTAGCCGCAGCTCAAGTCGCCTAGAAAAAATCGCAGAGAAAGATAGATCCAATGGCAGGACCAAAGCGTCCTCTGAAGCCCCGGAGTCGCAGGATCTAGCAAGCCGAATCAGCAGCACCTACCGCTCCTCCAAGGACAGAGGGAGCCGACGCGAAGATGACAGATCACGAGAACAGGACCGAGATCTCCGACGCCGAGATCGTGATCGAGACCGCGACCGAGACCGCGATCGTCGAGGCAGAGACCGCGATTCCGATCGCGAACGTCGCCGTGATAGCGACCGTGATAAAGACAGGACTTCAGAGCGCGACCGAGATCGACCAAGAGAGCGAGAGCGGGATCGGGATCGGGACCGCGATCGCAAGCGTTCTCGCCGCGATCGGTCTCCGTCTGCCACCGGCGGCGACCATCCCCAAGCCCGTCGGATGAAACGTGGCGATGAGGACCGTAGTCGGGACACGAACGGAGCCTCGACCAAAAAGGCCGAGCCCGATAAAGACCCTTACACACTTGAGCGCGAAGCGCGCAATAAGGAGCGCCTTGAGCGTGAGCAGCAGCACCGTGACAAGGCCAAGTCTGGCCGCCGCCGTGATAGCCGGCAGGACCGTATGGTGGCGGGCCGTCGCATCAACTACAAGTACGAAGATGAACTCTGAGCTCTGGGCTTGGAATTTACTTCTTTTCATTCCATACAAAATCATGAGACATGGCGTTAAGGGTTGTTCTCTCACTTTCTTGCATGTTATTTTCCTTCAGCTGGTATGTCAGCCAGCTCGACAGTAGATATGGGATTTGTGTAGGCTATTTGAAATGGCTTCTTATGAATAGAGACAATGCAACTCCGAATGATGGAAATGGATATTTTATTCTAATCGCTGCCTTGCTATGATGGTTATTTTTGGTAGAAGAAACGAAAACAATATCCTCGTCGCCAAAATCATCCCGTGATCCTTTTTATATATATCATAGCAGTCCAGAATGCTCCCCTAACCTATGAAAATTTTGATTGCAACTTGCACGATTGACGAGTAGCACTTCAAATCACCGAGCAACGTGTTGCTGACCGCCAACCTTACGAATAGTGTTGATTCACTGCTAGTCTTTCACTCAGAGTGTGGACTGGGTTTCAGCCTACAAAACCCATCATGGGATGATCCCACACACTGCCGTAAGCGAGTAGCTAAGAGGACTAGCTACAGATACTATGGCTCTTCGCTCTTCAATGAACACAACATTCAAATTTTGATTTCAAGGGCAAATGTATTGACAATTCCGCTAATAGGAAACAAAAAATCTTATTCACTGCACCGCCTCATATACGTCAAACACCGTATGGGATTGTAGGCTCCCAATGAATGTACCTAGATAATATTTGACCAACCTAGCAGCCTCCAGAGACTCAAATTAGGACCATATTATTTAGTTTAACTTGCTCTTCAATGCCTCAATTTCGGCAGTCAGTGTTTGCATCTGCTGTGCCTGGTCGGCAATAGTCTTCGTTTGTTCGGCAAGTAGGTTTTTAATCTCTTCGATGTCGTTCTTAGGGATAGAAGTGGTGGGAGAAGGGGCTTCGCTAGCGGGTGATGGGACAGTAGGGGTCTGGAAACATTAGCAGCTGGTACAACCTAACAAATTCGCCAAGGGAGCAGGGAACTTACAGCAACAGCGGCAGCCGCGGCAGGTTGAGGCTTTGTCTCAACCTCCTTCGGCCTCAACGGGCTGCTGACACGGGGCGAAGCAGCCTCGGCAGGGGCAGAGCGAGTGGGACGCTCAACAGGCTTGGGGATTTCCTCGAAGCTTGAGTCGTCATCATCGGAGACGGTAGCCTCCTCCCCATCAGCAAACTTGTTCACCATGGCGGCCATTGAAGCACCCTGTTCCTTCATCGATGGGGCGGGGCGCGCAACGGGAGTAGGTTCCGGGACGGGCTCGGGCGCAGGCTTTGGGGAAGCAGGCTCGGGAGCCTTGGCGGTCTCCTTGGGGGTATCAGCGGCTTTAGGTGCCTTGGCGGGCTCGGGGGCAGGTGCATCCATGGAGCCAGTTGGCTTTTCCTCCACCCCTGTCACCTCCTTGATGCCCTCACCATCGAACAGGCTGGCCATGGAGATCTTGGGAGGAAGTGCCTCCTTGCCACCCAGCCATTCAGACGAAGACATGGCGGGGGTCACTCCGACAGTGGGTGGGTATATGTCGTCCTGGAAGTTCTCAGACCGACGGGGGACGATGAATGAGACGGGTTCGATGTATTGATCGTTGACGGTCTTGTAGGCACGGGCAACTTCGTTCTCATGCATGTTGACGCCACGCTTGGGCATGAAAGCAACTCCTCGCTGGGGGTCAGCAGACTTGTGCTCAGACAGGAACTCAAACTTGTCGTTCTCAAGCTCGAAGTACCGGATATTGCCGTCACTACTGGTTATCAGATATTGCGACAGCATAAGGATTCAATCGTGGACACTCACCCTCGTCCAGCCAAGTATAGCATGCTGTTTCCATCATCCCAGAAAGGCATGCACACGCCCGAAATAGAATCCAAGGTCTTGAAACCGTTGATCGGTTCCCGCACGGCACGGATATCCCAGAGCGCCAACTGGCGGTCGCTCATCTTGGAGAAACCGGTAGTCGCAATACGATCACGCTCCCCAAGCCACACAGCTCGGCTGTTCTTGGCACCGGTGTGGCCATTGGTCTCGTGAGCCGGACGTTCCTGTCGCACATCCCAGATGCGGAGCTTCTTGTCACGCGAGGTGGTAACCAACAGGGAGCCATTGGCACTCCATGACTGCGACTGCACAATATCGCCAATGTTCAGCGTAAGCTTAGCTGCACCAGCTTCAATATCCCAGATCTTCACGGTATAATCGCCCGAGGCCGTTGCCAGCACGTTCTCTGCCGCGGGGTTGAAGAGCACGTGGCCAATCTTCCTGCAGGGAGGGGTAAGTATAGAGCGATAACGAGTCGAGTCAAGGATTCATACTTGGGATGGCCACTCAATTTGCCAATAGGCGCGAGATCCTGGATGTTGTCGGCATCGGTATCAGGTCGAACGGTGAAGTTCTCTGGAACCCGCCAGAGTAAAACCTGGAATCGGTTAGTCGCAGAGGCAAAAGCTGTTGTATGTCCCACTATACCTTGCCATCATCGGACCCAGAGGCAATCAGGTCGTCATTGAAAGGGTTCCTGCAGGGTTTCAGTGAAGTGCGGAGTGGGCGTTCTAGATTCGAATTCCTTACCAGTCGGTGTCCAACACGACGGCAGTGTGGCCTCGGCACAATGGGATGCGCTCCGGTAGCTTGCCCCGTTCCTCAAGAGGGATAATCGCAAAAGCCCCGCCACCACCTGCTTCCCAATTGACCGCAATGTGTTTCGGGTTGACCTAGATGCACCGTAAGACCGGGTTCGCCAGTGGAACGTCAGGGGTGATGCGGAGGGCAAAAGACGCACCTTGAGGAGGTTGGTATCCCAGGCGTTTCGGGACACGCGAAGGTTATCGTAACATTGATCCTGCGAAAGTTAGAATAGGAGATCGGGGGGTATAGGAGGTAGCCCTACCTTTCTCGTCGATCGCCCGAAGACGTGGCCTGTAAGGGTCAGCGGGGGAGGCGCATTTTGTATTGTAGACGTAACTCACGATATTTGGAGGAACGAACAAAACGCCCGGACATGGTTACCAAGTGTTCAAACGAAGACGTAGAGACAAGAAAAAAGTAAGAAAAAGGAGTAGGTGAAAGAGACGTTGGAGAAGCTCAAGCAACGGGGCTACTGGGGCCGTTTCGGGAATCCGAGTGGAGGCAAAGAACGCCCCACGAATGCCAACTAATTTCGGGAGCAGCTTCAAAAGGAGTCAACAAAGAACAATAGATGTTCCCAGGGCATTGTACAATCTCATCTTTTTAAACTGTTCTTTCTTTATTTGTTCATTGGTGAGCTTCATCTTCGGTTTTGGGACGCTCACGTGCTGTGTTCAAATACACAGCTTTGGTAATACAAATACGACAATATTGATGCCATTGCCGGACTAGGACTAGTGTGATACATCTGCCTGAGTCAGCAATCCTTTGTTTACTTTGCATCTCGGTCCCTCCAGAAACCAGTTTGCGCTCATTTGACGCTCATACTTCCAAGGTTACTGCCCAGACCATTCATTGGCATGTTCTGTACCTCTTCTTCTCATCCCAACTCGCTAACTTTCAGTCCCAGCGGCCAACACATACAGTGGCTGGACGTGAGCTCATCCTTCTCGCCCGGATACTCTATTCGCCGGTAACCTGGCGGTCAACAAATCCCAATATGGAGGGCGAAAACATGGTGAGCACCCCCACATTGAGTCTACACTCCATCGGAGTACATGAGATCATAGTTGACCATGTTCAGACCCGAACCACCAGGGCTTCTACTCGGACGCGCCTACCGCAGGCCGGCCTACGTGAGGCTAGCTTGGCGACAACCAATTCGCGCTCCGGCATCATGGCGCCAGGTACAATCGCAAACAAGGCTATGAGCATGTCTCGTATGAAGGATCCCGAATCATTGGCGCAACATGAACTGACAGCGCTGGAAGCAACCCGCCCGAAAACCGCAAACCCGGAAACGAGGAGACCTGGATCCGTCACTCGACAGGCTAGTACCACGACCAAGGCGCATAACCGGGGCAACTCATACTCATCTTCAACCATGTCCCGGCCCACCGCACCCGCAACTCGCACAACCAATGGCTCCTTCTCCTCAACTGTCGGCCCCGGCACGCGACCAGCATCGGCCATGTCCCGGTACCAACCGTCCTTCAACGGTCGCAGACCTGTCGGCGCATCGATTCCCCGCGCAGCAAGCGCATTAGATACCCATATGGAAGACGCGTCTCCTAGTGTGCTAGGAAAACGAAAGGGTATGCTACAATTTCCCTTATCTCCCAGTCGTATCCCTTCTTGTCCCGTTGGAACCGTGTCCCCCGGATTGGATGAAGGTTGCAATGGGATTTGTGAATTGGCATCGCTCTCTGTGTCTGAGAAGCCTGGCCCTTTTCCAAATCCTTCCAACCTAGCAACTATCCCCGTGTTTCCCAGTACCCCATTTCGGAATGTTACCACCCCAAAGTCACCCGGACATATGCAGTCCTCGTCCTCTCCTTTTATCACTGCCCCTACCGCACCCTACAGAACCCCATCACATCCCCAGCGGCGCATTGTCAAGCAATCCTCGCATCCCGCGTTTTTGACCAAAGGGTCTTCGATCAGAAGTTTTGACAATATCATAGGCCCGGAATGGGATCAAGATTCTCGTGAAAAGAGCATGGAGGGATTGATGCAGACTTTGCTGGCCCAGGTAAATCAGCAAGGCCAGGCAAGCTCGGGTCTTAAGGAGTCGATTGATATCTACAAAGCAAGAAGTGAGTTAAGTCGGATCGGGCCATGTTGAAATGAATCTAATTCTTCCATCTAGTCAGCGACCTTGAAAAGTCTCGGGATGAGGTGAAAGAACTCAATATTACCCAACGCGTGGAATTAGATTCGCTGCGAAACCAATTACATGCCGCAGAGAAAATGTGTAAAGAGGACAAGCGAGATCATGAGATCGCTTTGGATGATCTTTACCAGCGCCATCGCATTGAATTGGACTCAGTCCAGCAACAAAGCAGGAAAGAAATTGACAAAATGAATGGCCGACATCAAGAGGAGGTTCATGACCTGAAACGACGATTTGATCGTGAGATCGAGGGTGAAAAAGCGGCACGAGCAAGCGCGCTCAGCAAGCTCACTTCCCAATCTGCACTTGATATCCAGAAATCCCAAATTGAATTGGAGAGGAAGGATCGCGAGATCACGACATTGCAGGATAGGCTAGAGGCTCTGAAGGCAGATCTTGATCGCGAACGAAGAACGGTGCAGGAACTCAAACTCAATCTGGATACCGCAAGCAGCAACAGCGTTACGCTAGAGTCATCAATTCGTGCGCTCAAGGCTCGCATTGAGTTCCTTGAAAGTGGACGGGAGGAGCAGTCTAAATCTTTTGAGCGGTGCAATCGGGAGATGATGGATGCATTTGCCGAAACGGAGGCAATAAAGGAGAAGCTGCGTAGGGAAGAGACACTCCGACGCAAACTGCATAACCAGGTTCAAGAGCTCAAAGGCAACATCCGTGTGTTCTGTCGAGTTCGCCCCTCGCTTAACAGTGAACCTGCCTCCGATCTCACTCTTATGCAGTATCCCGATGAAACTGACGATGGAAAGGAGATTAATATCCTTGGTCCCGAAGAGAAGAGCAGCCTTGGAACGGTTACCCGGAAGAATAACACTTTCTCCTTTGATCGTGTATTCAATCCATCCGCCCAGAATGCTGAGGTTTTTGATGAGATTAGCCAGCTTGTTCAGAGCGCTTTGGATGGCTACAATGTTTGCATTTTCTGTTATGGCCAGACTGGTAGTGGCAAGACGCATACCATGTCATCGGCTGATGGCATGATCCCTCGTGCTGTTCACCAGATTTACGAGACCGCGCAAGGTCTGGAAGAGAAGGGTTGGCGGTACTCGATGGCTGGCAACTTTGTCGAAGTTTACAACGAAAACCTCAATGATCTTTTGGGCAACCCGGATGAATTAGACAAGAAGAAGCATGAGATTCGCCATGACATGCAGCGGGGCAAGACTACTATAACCGACATTACAACTGTCAACCTTGACTCCCCCGAGATGGTTGAGTCTCTTCTGAAGAATGCGGATGCCAACCGCTCAGTAGCAGCGACCAAGGCCAATGAGCGCTCATCGCGGTCCCACTCTGTCTTCATTCTCAAGCTCACTGGCCAGAACCACATCACCGGTGAACGCAGTGAAGGTACGCTGAACCTTGTTGATCTTGCGGGAAGCGAACGCTTGAGCCACAGTGGAGCGACTGGCGAGCGCCTGAAAGAGACTCAAAACATCAATCGCAGTCTCAGCTCTCTGGGCGATGTGATTGCAGCTCTCGGTCAAGGCAAAGAGGGAGGTCATATTCCATACAGGAACAGCAAGGTATGTTGTTTTCTTTTACTCTCATTTTCATTTTCATTTTTCTCGCAAGATATTAACACGATTTTTAGCTCACCTACCTACTCCAATTCTCCTTGGGTGGCAACTCCAAGACTCTCATGTTTGTTATGGTCAGCCCGCTCCAGGCACACATGTCGGAGACCTTGACCAGCTTGAAGTTCGCTACCAAAGTACACAACACCCACATTGGCACCGCAAAGCGACAGGCGCGTGTTCGCGACGCCTGATTATGATGATACCTCTTTACTTTCTTGCATATATCTTGTTAGTCTTTCTCTACTGGGTTAGGGGTCTTTGACGATCCTGTCCTCTACCCTGGCGTCTTGGTTGGGCTCATTGATAGTTTTTCTCCTTTGTCAAAGCCTTTGGAGATATTTGGTTCCTACCTTAGCGTGTGATTTACTGTATGGACAATGATACATTTGATTTAGTCAATGCACAGTCGCATGCTCTTAACATTCTATCTGTTTGGTTTACATTGCTAGATATATGCTAGTCTTGCCTTTGAATGAATTTACGAATATCCATCATCGTCTGTTCCCTTTTCTCAATCCAAGGGAAATGCCCGCATTCGCCATAGGTAATCAGTCGCGCATGTTTGATGCCCTTAACTGTTCGTTCGGCAATCCCTGTTCCACAGATCATATCTTCACGCCCGAATATGACGAGAGTCTCTGCCTGTACATCACCAAGTTTCTCCACCATTTGCATTGGATTCAGCAATTCCTTGTCACATCGAGCCTGGGACTGGTAACACCAAACCGACAACTTGCGGTCACCGATATCATGCAGTAGCTCTGGGACATACTGCCGTGGATCAAAAAAATACAAAGGCCACATGGCTCTCACTGACTCTGTAAATTCCTCGTCGGAATCAGTTTTCCGATCCAGCATACTGTCCCAAGCATCCTGGTATCGAGGATCTATGCGAGTCGCTTCTAATTGCAACAGTCTTTTATCCTGGAACCCTACTAGCTGGTGATCGAGGAGAACGAGCTTCCCAACGCGACTGGGATACATCTCTGCATACCCCAGTGCAATCGCTCCGCCGTTGGAGTGGCCCAGTAAGACCGGATATTGTTCCAGATGCAGGTGCTGTCGGAAATCCTCCAGGTCGGAAGCAAGATCGGGCATACTGCTCATCTGGGATCTCAGTGGTCTGGATGATCTGTTTGTCCCACGAGAATGGAAGAATATGACAGTAAAGCTTTCAGTATTTGCAGTACTGATGTGGTATTCCGGTCTCCATAACCCTTGCAGCCCGTTTTGAAGATACTGGGATCCTAAGCCCCAGCCAGGGGATTGAACCACAATCAGGCTGTGTTGATCTGCTGTTTCGGTGGATGGTCGATGCACGATATATTCAAATATCAACCTTTTTGAGGGAACATTGAAGGTATGGGCTCCTGAGCGGAGCACTTCCGACATTTTGGAAGAGTTTGAGAAGTAGCACCACTATTGGAAAGCTATTAGGTCGTATGCAATCGAAACCCAATTTGTTCCGTTCATGCTAGTATCAAACTGTGACGTCATCTAGAATAGTACGACCTATGTTGAAAAAGCGGAAGCAATTTGGAATCAAGACGTGCATTACCAGATACTAGAGTTGACCAAGGTACCTGTCCGCCTTCTTCTTCACCTGTTGGGCCTTCTGTTGGATAGCCGCGGCGTCCAAAGTCCCGTCCTCACAGATATACGCATCTATGAGCTCAGCCGGAACCCATTCAAAATAGATATTCTTAACCTCGACTGTGTAGTTTATATCGCTTCGACCAGCCGCCTCAGCTCCATCGGTAAGAATCTTGACTCCTTTCATGCCGCTGTCCATCCAACAACCTAATAGTTCTTTCGGATCATTCTCTTCGTGGCTACCATTGGTATCGGTACCAGGCTCAGCCACCTTCTCTAGCTCACTGAGAACCAAAACTTTGGCGCTAGGACAAACGTATTTGGCACTCAGAACAGTTGGTAAAGATCCGGTTTTATTGCTCACTGCGCCTAGATGCGAGATCTGGTCGGCCCCAAGAAGGACGAAATCCACTCCCTTGCTGGCGAGAGCAGCAGATGCATCAGTGTACACGCTTAGTTTTAAATGTCGATCAGAAGACAAGGGAAACCTTGACTGAAAGGCAGAGAAGATGGAGGACGCCATTTTGACTCCTTCGCAAAGCGGACGAGATTCTAGGATCCTAAGGTCCAGATTAAGAATTGGAAGGGACGCGAAAGCCTCCAGAATGCTATCCCGGATGGTAGAACTTGACGAGAGGGTGAGGACACCAAGAGAGGGCGGAGGCTGTGATTCCGCTGTAGACAGAACGCTGGATTGTAGATACGCCGCAAAGGAGTGTTTGATACGCGTGGGCATTTCTTCGCGCTTGTCCAGATGGTGATCGAGCAAAGCTAACAGGCGTTCCCATTTGACTTTGCTGTCGAGATTCTCATATACGATCTCTTCCATGTCGGCGAACAATCCTAGAAATGAATTCAAGGTGGCTGCCCCCATGCTTTCTCGTCCATTCTTCCACAAATGCCAGGCAGCCATGCGAGCAGTTTCCCACCACTTTGTATCAATGTCCTCCCCCATCTGCGCAATAATATCTCGGAATGCCCTCAGCGCAATCGAGGTCAGCTCGTGCGATCCACTCTGGTGATCTGCTTTCAGGTCTTCCAGGCCTGTCATAAGGGCCTTGCTAGCGCGCTCATTCATTTCACCTTCGAACCAGACTCGCCGCAAGCTTTCTTTCAAACGTGGCACCCCACCGAATTTCTCATCATCTCTGACCGTATCAGGATCAAACCACTGCCAGCCTTCGTGCTCCCAGTCAATTTGAATGCCCTTCTCCCCGCGACCACCTTGACGGCAGTCTTTGAGAAGGAACAGGAATGGAAAAATTGTCCATTCCCGACCAACAGAAGGATCGCGGAAGGTGTATGGTTTTCCTTGTCGCCAAAGATCAAGATCTCGGGGGTGAGAGTAGTCTCCTCTTTCATTTCGCGCCATGCTGCTGCTACTGGTGTTTCATGACCCTCTATACTGCCTGAAATAGGAGCAAGATGGTGTCTTCAGTGATCAGTTAGTCAGAACACGAACAGATGATAGAAAAGCAAGACTTTGGGATACATACTGATATGTGCTGACTTTCTCGCTTCGCCGAAATAGAGCAATTTTGGGGGTTCCTGCATTCGAATAGATAAATGAGGATACCACAGACCTCCGCATGAACCCAGATGCGCTGGCCATTTTGGTCTTTTTGGAGACAGGGAGAGAGGTAGCCCTGGAGATGGCCCAGGTATGTCGATGTAGATAAGCTCAAAGTTTCGGGATACCCGCAATGCTGTCACCATTGCATCATCACATCGCGACGAACTACTATAGATCGTTCGCTGCAAATATTTTCAGAATACAAATTGAAATCATCTCTTGCTAAGCTCATACTGGTCTCCAAAGGCCAGTCACACAATAATTTGTTGAATGTTCTGATACCAGACTGCCCAAAGCTTCAAAATGCCCACTCTCACAGGATCCTGTATTTGCCGGAATGTTGAGTACGAGTTGAAGCTCGCTTCGAATGATGATGCGAGAACATCTCTCTGCCATTGCCGTAACTGCAAGGTATATACTTGAAAGTGGATGACAATGTGACTTCGCTGAATCTAAAATGATCGGATAGAAAGCCTTTGGAACTAACTATGGCCTGACGGCCAAAGTCCCAAAGGAGACATTCAGTCTCACCAAGGGAATACCGAAAGAACATGTTGCAGATAACGGCTCTGGAGCTGTGATTCATCGAGAGTTTTGTCAAAATTGTGGTAGCTTCATCTTAGAATATGGGGTATGCCCAGCCTTGTACAAGCTGGTGGAGGATTTCTCTAACAATAGAATCAGGATGCTGCAAAAGACCACTTTCGTTATATTTGTGTCGGATCCTTGGATGACCCCGAAGCATTACCCCCCAAGGGGGAGTTCTTCTGCAAGGCTCGGGCCAGCTGGATGCCGGAGATTCCGAGTGAGTTTTGCATGCTGATATCCTGCCCAGGTTGGTCTTTTTAACTCTGACAAATATTCGTAGATGTATTCCATAAGCAGACAGTAAATGAGTGAGGAGTGACGAAATAGATGAATGCTTGCTCGTCTTCAACAGCACCTCTCTATACAAGTAGTCTTAATGGTGTACGTTTTACACTGTCACGCTTTTCACAACCATATCCGTGGCCAGCAGTTTCTCTCGAATGGAGATCGCATTCAAAAAATCATTGCTGTCCACCCGGCGATATCCATCTTCCAGCGTCTTCTCAATACCGGCCCGTAGATGTCGTTCGGCCAATCGGGCTCTTGCTTCTAGCGGATCGGAGTCGACAAAGACACGATAGTCCACCAGTCCAGCAAGTTCACACCAACCGGGCTCATCAAGAAGCAGATAGTTACCCTCGATGATAATGATCGAAGCATCCGGTGTGATGGAAATCCCGTTCTCGACGGGGTCTTTCGCTTCGTGATCAAATGTAGGTGCATGAATGACATCCGCTGACGACCAGTTTCTAGAATAGGGAGCTGCTAGCGGTGTTTCATCTGCCCAGATGCGGAGTCGAGAGACAAACGCTACAAACCGCTCCACGTCAAAAGTCCATGGAGCTCCCCGACGGATATGTGCCTCTTTGGGGTTGGGTAGCTGATCCAAAGCTGCCCGAGAGAGATGAAAGCCATCCATAGAGAGAAGGGCAGCGCGGGAATTCGAGCTCTGATTCAACTGTTGCACTACTGCCTCGGCTGTGGTGGTCTTCCCGGAACCAGGGATGCCTGCGATGGCAACTAGGAGGCGTGGTTTGGGATGAGCAACGGCCTGGTTGCGGATAGCATTCGCCAGTCGCCGGTACTCGGATTCCATCTGTACGCCGAGGTTAGGTTGACTGCTATGAAGGTCTAGATAGTATCTGACCTTGAATCAATCGCACATGGATATATGTGTCTTATAGTGATGTAAACGAAGTAGATACCTCGACCACGGCTGGTGACAATCAACGGATCATACTGCACAGGAGTAAAGATCAAATTCAGCAGCTATCCGAGGATTCTTCAAATTGCCTGACAATCGTGCAGGGCCGAGTTATGTATGTGTTGGTGGAGCGGGTATCGGGTCACAGTGTTCCGAAGCAACACAGTGGCACTCAGTATTAGCCCGACTCGGCATTCCTGCTCAATTAGGATCTTTGCAAGTGTGCTTTTGGGCTCAAGTCAGAAAAAAGGGGGGGAATTGGAGGTGTTGATGGTTCATCAAACCATTTTGATACCAAAATCATCTCGGAACACAATTCTCCGGCGTTACACCGGCTGGTAATCTATCATCAACTTCATAGGAACTTCAAAAAGAACTTCTCCTTTGATTTTGGTTTAATGAGACTAGGAATCAGAACCGGTGAAATGTAACTTTCAAGAGAAAACAAACATGCTAAAACGCCAGAAATGGCCGGGCCAAAAAGAACCATGCGCCTCGGGCTTTGATAGCCTCCAAGACGCCAGACCTGCGACAACGAACCCGAGAAAATCGAACGGTTCAAATTGATTGACCAAAAAAAGGGGATGCAACAGGAAACAATCATATTCACATCACGTCTCTAGTCAAAACTGTAGAGACCGTTTCCACTTCACGGACTGTTGGCTTCCGAAGCTTTTTCTGTTTCGGGTCCACGTAGAAGCATAAGAGCTGCTGTGACCAACAATGAGAACACTGAGGTCGTGTATGATCACAAGTAGTGCGTTGTTCACGACAGGCTTTACAGTCCCCCGGATGAAGTTGATATGGCTGAAAATCCGGGGATGTGTCTTGGAATGCCGTACCCCGCCATCCAGACCATAGCCACTGGGAGATGCGACCGCAAAGTCCACCCTTCATCTGCCCGCACATAGCTCGGGGACTCTGACTAGAGATCTGAGTTGGCTCTGGATGGATCTGTTCTCTGTAGATCCTGTCAGACATGATCACCTGGGAATAATCTCAGCCTCTCTAACCGCTGGCCCTGACTCTCCATTATAGGTCCACGTGCTCCTTTTAGTAGGACTGTCAGGAGATATTAATTCATGGCAAAAGGAAAAGTACAAGCAAGAAAAAAGGTCGAATACGAGATATGTACCCAAGGCATTCCATGCACCCCCTCAGGCCCTTCAACCCCTGCATTGGAATAATCAAGGCACTTTGGGCACTATGCATATGTCAGATTAGACAGAGAGGTCATGTGGTCAAAGAACATTAGTATCTGTTGATTCATTCTTCATTTCTTCTTTTTTTTAAAGATCATGTTATCTCCAGAGTAACGTCAGGCGCTATTCGATGTTCGGAGTTGCTCACTTCGGAATCACGTTCCACGACTGTGAATGGCGTTCGCACTCGTTCCTGTAAAACCGTTGAAACGTCATAATGGCTTCACTCAACCAGTATCCGAGAGGGAAGGAAAGATTGTTAGGGTGAACTTCAAAGGTTGTTCACACAATAACTAAGCCAAAATGGTTCGAATAAGCGAGGCGATCAAAGATGATCACCGGAAACTGGAATCTTGTTACAACATCATTGTCAACTCTGAAGATGAAGATGAACAAACCCGATTTCAAAATCAATTTACCTGGGAGCTTGCACGACACGCGGTCGCCGAGGAATTAGTAGTGTTCCCTGCATTGGAAAAGCTTCGCCCGGAAGGCAAGGCGAAGACAGATGATGATCGGCGTGAACATTCAGCGGTAAGTGTTCACATTCATACCATTGATAAAGAGAACGATTCTGACATGACACAGCTCAAAGAGATGCTCGACGTTTTCCAGGACCTAAACTGCTCCGATCCACGCTTCATCCCTACCATCACAATGCTGATGGAAGGTCTTGCCCAGCATATGCAAGACGAAGAGGCAAACGACCTGATCATATTGGAGGAGTCCCTCACTTCAGAAGAGAGCGAGAAGTTGGCTAACTCTCTTAACCGCACAAAGATGTTTGTGCCCTCTCGCTCCCATTCATATGACCTGGACCAACCGCGCTATGAGACTGCAGCCAGTCTGCTCTCAGCTCCACTGGATCATCTTCAGGATTTGTTCCGGAAGTGGCCAGAGGAGGAAAGCATGCTAAGTGCGCCACTAGAGTAGATACGGCAGGAAAGCTATTCCAGCAATATAGACTTCTTTGCTTTTCCAACTTTGAGCCTTTAGAATATGTAAATGCGTGAATATAATTGAATTCCTATCCTGGATACTAATCAATTCTCGACGAGCCATTTTCGCTTTGATTGGTGTGGTGAGACTTGCGTTTAGTCCTGAATGAATAGTTGTTAGCGACTGACTCGATATTGTACGGAAAATATACTAACCTTTCCATATTACCTAGACCGCTCGGGGTGCTCTGGTCTGGAGGAGCCTCATCAAGGTAATGTCGAGGTGTATCCCCGTCAATCTCATCATTGAGAAGATCCAGCGCATTACGCTTGGACTTTCTGGATACTTTAGGGTTGTTCACAGCACTAGGGAGGATCAATGACAGCTATAAAAATTAGATAGAAACGGTCAAGCTCACGCTGTATAGCCACGCCTCGCGTTCAATTCGTCTTCGATAGATAAATCGAGATCTTTAGCTTCCCCGAGGCTTGACATCATGCATTTAGGTATTTCAAAAAAATCTCAATTGTCCTGAACATAAGGTTGACGGTAACATTTGTCAAGACATCCATAAGAGCGAGGGAATAGCAGAAAGGCCCGGTGTTATAACGTCATATTACCATCACGATCGGACAATAGATGCTAGGAGCACCGGAAACACCCCGAGCGTATAGTTCTAGCTGCCAATCCTACTTGCAAAATATCTCAAGGCTACCAAGGGGTTTGATCCTAGGTTCGAAACACTTTGGGATATGGGGTATATTCCCCACTCAATTGTCATTGATAAACAAATTTCTAATATACAAAGAACCACAATTTGACAAAAGAAATGGCAATTCAATGCGGACTGTTATAGTCACCTTGTCCCGTGTACCCTGTATAACCACCATGATGCATCAATTCCACATCCGGGTCTTCTTGGGTTTTGCGATATCCCGAGAGAATCTTACTCGGATGAAAGAAGTTGAAAAGCAGACAGCAAACAAACATCAACGCCGCATCAAATACATATATGAATGCCTCTTTGCTTTGAAGAAATCCATCGCTGCCCTGGACGTACTCGGCCACTCTGTAGATTGATCGGACCAAGACCAAGACACTGGCCATATAAAGGACTTTCATATAGCGAGTCCAGGGGATTTGACTGTCGCCTATAGCATGCAAAGGTGTAGCTAGCATGCGGCGATGAAAAACCACGCAAACAACAATGAAAAACCCAAAGAACAGGATTTGAACAAAGAGTCCGACAACAATCATATTGTTTCCAAGTTTTACTTTCGACTTGTCCTTCGCCGTAGCAAGCATGCCACCTCCTTAAGGAAAGAACGAAGTTAGTGGCGTTTTATGTTACAGATAACTTGAGTCACGTACCTCCGCTCTGGATGAAAAATGACAACACATCACCCGTCACAAATATCTTGGTCAGCCATGATGGCCTGACTAGGGAACATGAAGCTCCGTTCAGTAGACGAATGATACGTCCCAGAACCATATATATAGAAGCAGCAAAGAATGCAGGTGCCAGCAGTAGCATCAAGCTCTGTGCAATATACGGCTTGGTGGTAAAATCCGGGGCTTCCTCCGAGCTGGCATACCTTGCCAAGTATCCGAATGCCTCGACTGAAGATAGTGAAATACAATGAGCACAGTTTCAAAAGTGAAGAATGAAGAATCAAGGAGTACACACATAAGCCACCAATCACAAACGGTATGAAGTACCAGGTTCGGTTCCGGCCTAATTGCCAGAGATGTATGGCGGTAGTGAGTCCAAAAATTGCTGCAAAGGCGACAGCAGAACCGGCAGACGGGTCATAATGGTATAATTTAAATCCTTCGGCCATGACGAGAGAGCGTAACGTCCAAGGTCGTTATGGAATAAGATGGCTGGTCTTGGAAAGTGGTTGTATTCAAGAAAGATAGGCGATGATACTCAAAGATAGGAAGGAGTGGAAAGACAGTATGTTGAATAGATTCAGTAAAAGAAATATAGCCTCTCTTATAAGAAGAACTTTGTTATTTAAGTATCTTTTCATCTTGTCCGATCCATACACGCTGTGCTGATATTTCTCTGCCTTGGAGCTGGTAGATGCTTCAGCCCCACAATTAGAGATCACTTTTTGTTGAGAGGGCTCAAAAAAAGGAAGAACTAGTCCTTTTGAGTACAAGAATACGAATTATCCGAGAACGAAAGAGGGTCAAGCTTGTGCAGGTTGGTTTCTCTGATCCACCTAAGAGGATCGTGGTATATTGTCCAATCAAATGTGTTATGGATCTCCCAAAACAGAAAAAATTACGAGTACGAGATCCTAATCTGTAGCTAGCAGTATCCCTTCGATACTCTACCTACCTACCAAGGCGTAACCTTAACATATAAGATTTTTTTTCACCGCGTTTCTTATAAGAGACCGATGAACGAAATACCCCCCAAAATGGCCCATCTCCAGAGGTAAGAGGGATGTCTTGTGTATGTATATAAGGAGAGATACCTAGTTTATGCTCCTACTAGACTTATTCTCCAACCACAGATGATATATCATGTGCCTGGCAACGCGTGGTGCACATCGCCAACTGGTCAATCTTCTGCTAACCACCGGTGTGGGCATCCACCAAAATATACCTCAATGCACTGCACAATGAACAGAGAAGTATACACTCGGCTGCGAGAATGGGATTTCCCAACAAGATTTTTGATAATGTAGTCTGCGCTGAAATATATCATTTAGGCACAACACAACTTTCATAATATTGCCGTGACAATATATATTTTGAATGGTACTCCAAGACACAACATGCTATCGGCACTGGAGAAGAGTAGAGCGATGGAACAATCTAAAGTTTGTCACTGTTTTGTGGCAATGAGCGCTCATTATAATACGCACAATTCGATGAATATACAGCGAAGTGCCTACATGAAGGTTATTAATCCTTCAGAGACACATTGTGGCAAGCTCATCAATCCCTCACTTGGCCCTAGTGCCCGGGGTGGACACTCGATTACAAATTGTAAACAATAGGTATCCTTTGTACGGAGTACAAACAACCCCATAACATTCACAAAAATCCCCGACTTTTTTCAACTCTTCCTATTTTGAGCGCTGAAGAAATTCGAGGTTTATGTGTTTATGTACCTTTTATACAGGATTTCCATACAAGAGGTACCTCATCTTTGCAATTTGCTATCTGGTGCCCTGGATAGGTGTTGGCTTGCCGAGTGTATAGGATATTTGAACAATGTGATCTGTGAAATGAAAACTTGAATTTATCTCCGTACTTTGTTCTCCGACTATCAACCGAGAATTAGAGAGAGTCGAAGTACAGTCTAGACCTAAGCGCTAACAGGCCAAGACCTCGGGAGGAAGAGATGTAGATCGGAGGCGAAGTGGAGAGAGCGGCAACTCCGATCACATGTCTACAACATTTTCATTCGAACTTGGGAATGTGACAAAGTCGAGAGATCTCGAAGATTTGACTGTCTGTACGGAGTATATTTTCATTCACATCCTCTTCTCCTATCTATCTCTCTATCTTCGTTTCTGCTCAGATGGTAAAAATCTCCTGTTTCACCGTTTGTTTTGGGTTACCCCTCGAGTGGGCTAGGGGTTTCAGGTTGACACCCTACATCCCCCCTTAACCGCCGTCACAGCCACTAGTCGATCTTTTTTGTGTTGCTCGGCCTATTGCTCTGAAGAATGGATCACCATGAGTGGACTCGTACTCCTGACTACAACGCCACGGAGGCCTCTCGACTCCGCCGTTCCAGCCTATCACAGACATCTACTCACTACCGCAGTCAAAGGTTTCAGGCACTGAGTTGTTACTGGATGGAAAAGTCCATCCCCAGTTTTCAATGCTGTACCTAACATAATTTAGCATGAAAAAGAATATGGGCTTGTGCGGCTGGTGAAAGATATTTGGGTCAAATACCTCCCACTGTTGCTCCGCTACGTTCGACACGCTCACATTCCTTTCTCCTTGTTGACAATCTGGAATTGTCAGTCTTTCTTTTAGTTGCTTTTCTTTCTTATCAATTGCACTTTCTCTTTTTTTGTCTTTTATCGCTTTCTGGATTACCTCACAAGCATTTGGTCTTGTTATACGTCTCCAGACAAGATGGTTTCTTCAACACGTTCATTGGGCGCTGGATCGCTGATGCTCGCTCTATTAGCTTCCCCCGTGGCAGCTACAAGTTACTCCCTGGTGGAGACTTGGCAGGGAAAGAATTTCCTGGATTATTTCAATTTCCACGTTGGCTCGGACCCGACCAACGGCTTTGTGAACTATCTCGACAAAGAGACTGCCGAAAGTACAGGCCTTGTCAAGGTCACTGATTCTGGCAGTGTGTATCTTGGTGTCGATTATGCTACCAAGCTGGACCCCAAAGGCAAAAAGGGCCGTGATTCGGTACGGATTGGCAGCAAAAAATACTACGACCAGTCTCTCGTCATCGCCGACATCGCCCACATGCCTGGTAGCGTCTGCGGTACCTGGCCTGCCTTCTGGTCTGTCGGAAAGAACTGGCCAGGAGATGGCGAGATTGATATAATCGAAGGTGTCAACATGCAGGACTACAACAAAATTGTCATGCATACAGCCGGCACTTGCAGTTTGACAGATACGGATATGACTGGGTCGGTCAACGCTACAGGTTGTGGTGAGGATCTAGGCACCGTCGGCTGTGTGATCGAGGGTCACCAGGGCAGCTATGGCACACCTTTCAACAAGAAAAACGGTGGTGTGTATACGCTGCAGTGGACCGACGAATCTCTCAAAATTTGGTACTTCCCCCGAAGCTCGATCCCGGCCTCGATTACCAGCGGCAAGCCCGATGTAACAGAATTTGGTACTCCGATGGCTGTGGTGCAAGAATCGTGCGACGTTGCCAACGCTTTCAAGGCCCAGTCATTTGTATTTGATACCACTTTCTGCGGCGACTGGGCAGGAAATGTGTATGGTGATTCTGGTTGCCCCATGACCGGCGGCGATTCTGTCCAGAGCTGCCACAACTACGTCGCCAATAACCCGACCCAGTTTGCAGAGTCATACTGGGAGATCAACTCGGTCAAGATCTATCAGACCGGCGTGAAGGGAATTGCCTCAGCCCCGTCATCCGAGCCCAAACCGGATACAACTGCCGCTGCCCCTGTGGTGTCTCACACGACTGCCGAGACACACGCTACTCATACCGCTACTCTCGCGACACATGCTACTGATACCGCTACTGCTGTGCACTCAACTGCTTCCACGGAAGACGAAACCGCCGGAGCAATTCAGGAGTTGACTCCTACATCTGTTCCTACTGCTGCAGCTACTGCCGAAAGCCCTGCCACTGAAGAAGTCGAACACCCTGCCACCAGCAAGAAGACTCGTACTATCACCTCTATCGTCACTGCGACTGAGACCGTTTGCCCTGAGGATGAGAAATCTTCCGCTATTGCCGCCCACTCTGTAGCAACAACTGCACCCGCTCCGGTTGTGCAATCTGTCCAAATCTCAGCCAACGGCCAAGATACCGAGGCAACGACCCCTGCGGCAGGTGCGGACCCTCTTTCCAATCACGCATCCGTCGCATCTGGTCAGAGCCATGCTGGCTACATTTCCGCCACCAGCCAGAGCTTCGGTGCTTCATGGGCGAAGCCTTCTGCGCCCCCCTCTGCCTTTGTCTCATCCGTTCCATATGAGGCCTCCAACGCTCCGGCCCCTGCCCCTACCGATGTCCCTCCATCTGCTACATCGGGCTCCTATAACCCAAGCGGCTCTCAATCTAGTTTCGGTCCTGTCTTCACCGGCGCCGCCGACCGGCTGTCTATAAGCATGTCGGCTCTCCTCTCTTGGCTCATTGTTGCCTTTTTGGCTTAAATATCTGCGATAGATCTCATTTGGAATTGGTGCAAATTTGGCGGTGGATTTTGTTTTTTCAATATTGTACAGCAGGCCCTAAAGATGGCCGTAGACTTCATCTTATTTCGAATCAGTCTGCCTTTTGCCAGGGCGTCCTACCTTTTCTTGCACACTAAACGCAAAAGCAAGCGTAACTAGTTAATGATGAATTGTTTCCTTGAAACATCAGTGATAATTTTCGTATTTACATGTGCAGACTGACACCATTTATCCCCAGACTCCGTCCCCTCTAGCCCAAATTCAAATGCTCTGCGGTCTAGGCTGTCCACCTCGCCAACCAGTCCTGGGCGTAGCATCTCAGAATTCCATCATCAATTATTCTCAGTCCGCCATCTCGCAAAGTTACACTACTTCTTTCAGCTTTCTCCGTAATGAACCTTTTTGGTCCATTTTGTAAAGATGATTCATTCCCATGCATCGTCTCGTAATGATGAATGAGCTTGACCGCCGGATTGACATGTTCCTCACCCCTCGTCTCACTCCGACGAAGTCTCATCAGCCATTCTTCAAAAGGTACGGTGTCGAATCGGAACCCACAACTCTTCAACGTGTGTAGCAAAGACGACCAGGTGAATTCGCGAGAATTACACAAATTGAAAATCGAGTCATCAACGTACTCCACTACAGCTGAGTTCGACGCCGGATTTTCTCCAAACACACTTGGCGCAGCACACGTGCTCGCAAGTTCAAGAATAGTGGCCGCCAGCTTATCCACCGGAAGCCAAGAACATATCTGCGACAGCTCGGGCAATGCACCGAGTGTTAGTGCCGACCGGATCATTAACGGCAGAGCCTCGGAGTCATTCCAAAGGCCTTTCTTCGAGTGACCTGAGACTTGGCCAATTCGAAGAGAATAAGCCCGTGCTCCATTGCGTCGTGCGTTACTCACAATCCGCTCTCCAACTAGCTTGGACTGCCCGTAGCCCATAAGGGCGCAATCCAAGTCGACTGGTTCTTCTAGGATGTCGGGTGATCGAGATCCGAGCGCGGTTGAGACGGACGAGCAGAACATCAGGACGGCAGGCTCACGTCTATGCACGCATAAGGAGAGTTGGATCAAATTGTATAATCCCTGGATGTGTGGCTCAAACTCAGCCAAGGGAAGATTGAAATTGACGGGCCATGCTGTGTGGATAATGAGCGAGACCGTGTCGAGCATGTGCATGATTGTATTTTGATCCAGCGATAGCCCAAAGTTGGGCTGTTCAATACGGCTGTTGAAGGCGACGATCTTTGCTCTCTGTTCGGGGGATATGGGAAGATCTTTGTCCGTGAGAGTGCGGAGAATTGAGTCTAGTGGCGATTCACGTCGTGTGAGACAGTACACTGTGGAAATAGTGTCGTCGTTGAGAAGCTCATATAAGACATGGGCCCCAATTGACCCGGTAGCTCCTGTCAAAAGCTTGGTTATGTTAGTTTCTGCATCCGAGCTCCGACAGGAATATAGTCACTCACCACACTGCTGGTTCCTGAGAAAGCGTGCGGCCGGGGCGTGTGCCTCTCAAATACAGAGTATTTCTTGACCAATTCAGTCATTAAAGAGACATCATTATCGGCGTCTTCAATTGCCTCCCCTTTTTGCAAGGCACAGATATGCCGAGCTAACTGTGATATACAGCCCGCTTCAAATATGACGTTCGGACCAGGAGCCTGGCTCATCTCAAACTTGAAATGTTGTAGAATAAGACGTCTGAAATGGATTGCCTTGAGACTATCCACACCCTCGGAGAAGAAGTTCGCATCGACGCTAGAAATAGGTATTCCAAGTTCTTGCTGGGCTAGTTGAAAAAGAATGCGTTCTGTTTCCGCTTCATCAAGCAGCAGCTTCCCATGAATCTGTTCCTTCTCCGTATAAAGGTCTTCGATAAGTTCACTGTGTTCTTGGTAGACCTGCGCCCGGATCATGGACCCTTTATCTGTTCGAGCAAACTTGGCGTCATATGGCAGTATAGCAACCAGGTTCCGGGATATTTGAGAGAAACTCTCTGCCTGAGAGTTGGCTTCTTGAATTATTGGCCAGATTGCATTGAGATAGTTGTCTTCTGAGAGAGAGTTGGCTTCAGGGTCGTCCGCTCGCAAGATCAATAGTCCTGGAGCAGCTTTGCCTACTCCGACCACAACTGCGTCGTGAATGAAAGGGTGTTGTTTGATGTGACCTTCAATCGGGAGTGGTAGGACCTTTTCGCCATTCACTAGGTTAATTCGATCGTCCAGCCGTGAGATGTATTTCCATCTTCCCGCAATTGTAGGATGAGGAATGAAGACATCTTTTGAATGGAAGGACCCTGGTGGCTCGTTTGAATTCGAAGTTGTTAATGCCGGATGGCCAGCAAGGTAAACGCATTCAAAAAGCGAGTCTGATTCAGAGATGGGCTTCATCCAAACATATGGTTGGATATTGTCGAAGAATTTCAGATAGTTCCAGTAAGGGTCACCTTTTGGTCGGGAAATTGATTCTGCAACAAGGCCAGCCTCGGTGCTACAATTTGTTAGACTTGGTGTGACTATGTGGGTATCCGCAGAATCCTACTTACAGGCCGAATGAACCTCCAAAGTGTACTCCTTCACTTACCAGGCGATCGCCCAGTTCGTCGGGACAGGGTGCACCTCCATATGTGACCAACTTGCATTGCCTCAGCGCTGTGATACCGCGAGGATCATCAATCAAAATTTGAAGCATATAGGGAACCGCTGCTATAGACTCTGGTTTGGCTTCTGCGAGGGCGCTAGCAACGAGTTCTGCAGTCAAAGGCAGCGCAGCATTCCACATATAGGCCGTCTTTCTCATCCACATCGCCTGTAATGCTGTGGATAGCCCATGGAGGTGATACCATGGCAGAGTATTGAAGGAAGTGAAACCAGGACCCCTCAGCGGGTGAGTCATGATGGCTTTGTGTGTGAGAAAGAGTGGTTTTGGGGTACCTGTCGATCCTGAGGAATGAAGGATTAAGGCGACTTTCTCGGGGTTTCGATTGCGATGCAAAACAAGCGATGGCGATTGTGTCTTGTTGTACAAAGAGCATGAGAGTATTGGACGGCAGCTCACTAGCCTCCGACGGAGGATGTCACCCAATGTTGAGCGGATATTTGGAGCTTGGCTATATATGATTGACTCGCAGTTGACCGTTTCTAGTAATGAGACGCAGGCTTCGCCCGAAAGTCTTGGTGAGAGCATCATGACAGTATAGCCTAGTCGACTTAGGGCAAAGAAGGTGATCACCATGTTGAGGTCGGACAAAGTAAGAAGTGCCACGGTGGACGGGCTTTGTATTCGCTGAACATCGATTTGTCAGAATGTCGGAAGAAAGAGCTCAATTAATGACCTACCTGCTTGAATCCATCACCTATGAGCATAATGACAGCTTGGTTTATCATAGCATCCAAGTGTTTCCCGGTGTAGTACTCATAGGAAGCTGCATCGTTCTCGGAACGAGGATAGGCAAGAATGGGGCATTGGACGACATCAGCGGAACGTAACCGAATCAAGTCGTCGAGGACTTGAAGAGATCCAAACTCCTGCACCAATGGGTTGATATTGCTGGAGGGACCAGCATGTGCTGCCTGACTTCCACGCTGGATACCCATATTGAGTAGAGAAGTATTATAGAATGGGAGGAGAGGTGCCACAGCAGCTTGGTGTTTCCAGGGCTATATAGAGGGCAAAGCAGTATTTAAGAAATGAGTTCCCATTCGAATAGATCGCTGAACTGACCCATATTACCAGATTAGCCTATACTGACTGCATTCGGGGTGCCCGACACAAGAAAGTCTGCATCGGGAAAGATATACACATCGCACGGATTCAGCCAAATAGCAAACAGACAGGATCAGCAATGTGCCATGTTGTGATAGTCATGCAGGTGCTAATTCAAGCCACCAAGGCGCGTATCGAACAGTTGGGGCTTGAGGGAAGAATATTGTTCTCGGCAATAGTCATATGCACGTACTCCATGTACAACAGCACGGGTTTAATGCACAGGGATTGGCTCGCTGAGCGAGTTGTGTCACCAGCAAACACTCAGCTTGAGATCACAGATTTCAGGTGCCTAGAATGAACAATGGCGTTGATCTAATGGCAAGATTGGCTTGTTCCATCTAGTGTGGCGTGGGCTATCTACTAGTTACATCACTAGTGGCCAAATTCCAACTCTTGGGAATAATTCCCCTGTCGAGCTCTACCCATGTGCGTCAAGTTCAACATTATTCTCTATCATCGGAGGGAAATTTAATCACTGCCAGTGGCATTCGTTAGACTGCGGAGCTGCCCGAGACACATCCGCCTCAGCTGGAATGAAAATACCGTTGGAAAAACAAATAATTTCTAGCCGTCCCCGCTGGGCAAATGACCTTGCCGATAAAATATTGAGGCCGTAATTGGCTGTAACGTCAACTCATTGCATATTCATAGTTCTCAATCTTGCTTTGGGACTCTGAAAATTTATTGTGGAAATCAGGGTGACTGATGACGGCAGTGAAAGTCAGCCTTCAGCCTGGAGCATTTTGGGTGTAATAGGTCAAGGCTACACAAAACGCTGTGTCCAGACATGCTCTAATGACGTGTTTGGTCTGTATTTTATTGGTTGTCGAATATGTTGAACTACTTGCCGAAGTTACCGCGTAAAACCAGTCTTACTTTTCCACCGGTGCTAAATCGGACTAAGACCCATTCCAGACAGCCACGGAGCAAAGGGCCAGCATCAGCGATGTCTCACTAAAAGTGTATTGTGGGAAGGCCCCCTACACCCCTGGATGCCGAAGAGGAGCCGAGGAGCGACGGGAACAGGAAATCCTTGGAAGATGGTCTAACTGAGCGATAATACAAATCATGTTCCATATCAAATGGTTGGTGTTGATTCTTGTAATGGAAGTCTAGTATGAAAAGTCCATATATATGGTCCTCCAATCATAGAAATGGATCGGGAGCGGGCCGGGAGAAGCATCCGGAAAGCTGGGAATGCTCAGATCCAAGGATCGGATCTATAAAATTAGGGGCATAAGCGTCCTCGGAGACCAGCCGGGATCCATTTGAAGAATGCTGATCCGATCAGACTTATGCCGATCATTCTGCCCTTTTTGTATTTTCTTGCATGGTAGGTCTCAGAATACAGACCTAGACATAGCATTCCAGGTATCGGGAATGAGCCTGCGGCGTTCCGTTAGAAGGCGAAGTACCCGAAGGTTTGGTTCGGCATAGCATTCCTGAGTATTTCTGGAACAATTGGTAATTACTTCCCTCACATAGAACATTCTTGAGATCTGAGACATATGGATCGTACCAAGGAACGTAGGAAGGTATGTGTGTAGGCATGAAGCATGACTGCAATTTATCGAGATTGAAAACCAGGCTACAACTCTAGACAAGGATGTACAAAGAGATTGCAAGATACAAGCCGAGTTTATCAATACCACCATCTCTCTGTATTGGCTGAAGGCACAAATTTCCATTGATGAAGCTAAAAATGCAGAATAACACTGACTGAAACAAAATGCGATGATCTTTTCAAGCCTAACGAGCTAGATGGATTCCTTCTCCGACTTCATTTCCAAAAATTCTAGGACCCGCAGCCAGGAGCGACTAGCCCGGGCAGCATGCTCCATCGGAACGGCCGGGTTATCTTCCCCGGTGGATCTCGAGAAGACTTCCATACTGACCCACCCAGTATAACCCAGACCGTTAATGCAGGCATCCGTCACTTCGCGAATCGGAAGGTATCCACCCCTGTCTTCTTCACACGGAAACAGACGAGCATTCCGCGACCAGGCTAGCAGAGTAGGTAGGCCTGGTGCGTGAAGAAAGGGAGTGTGTGGGTCGACCCGTTCGCCGTCGGCAAGCTGAACCATCATCACTCGATCCAGATCGATCTCTCGTACAAGCCGGTCCATCGATTTCCGCAGATCTTGATCTGCGTTTGGGGGCTGTCGCCCTGTTGCGGAGGTGGGATCGGCCCAGACTCGCGCTGCTATGTTGAATGTATCAAGACAGATCCCGAGATTGGGTCGATTGGCACGCTTGATCAAATCCCATGAGTCTTCCCAGGTGTTGATGTGCGTCCCCCATGCGAGGGCCTCATATGCGATGCGCACTGGGAATGCGATATCTGCAGCCTCGGCTAGGTCTGCTGCGAGACAATCTCGGTCGGATGTGATCTCCGAGGCGTCGAGAAAAGATGAAGGGATCAAGATGAACAGTGAGTCACCGAGAATCTTGCATAACCGGACCCAATGTTTGAGCTCGTCGATCCGTTCTGCATGTCTTTGTCGATCAATGAGGCCTTCGTAGTGTCGGAAAGGCTGGAGAGCTACGATCTGCAGATCACGCGCAGCGCATAGATCTCGGATAGCGCGCGCTGCATCAATCTCGTAGTCTCGGTCAGTGCGGGGTGCATTGTCATGTGCTTGAGCTCGAATGTTTTTGGCGAGCTCGGCAAGGTCATCATGAAAGAGCTCGAGTCCTTGTTGGCCGTTGACAGCGGCAGCATCAAGCTTGGCGACGATGGGGTGTAAAGTCGCAGCTCCCAGACTGACTGTTGCAATAGCTGGCCTCCATCGCGACTCAACTTCGGGCGTGGGGGTAATTGAAAGCGAATGCATCTTTAGAATATTTTGGGGATTGATCTGGAACAGTCATTAGTCCTCTCCATCACACTCTTTATAGCATAAAAAGCAATGCCACAGCAAGAGGAGACTCCTGTTTCCGTGCTGATAACATCTCAGTTCTTTTCTTTTCTTTTTTCTTTGCTAAAAAAAAAAGCAAATCCCAATGTGGGTGGCGAGTACAGAAAGCACATTCACAAATGGTCCGGATTCGAATCACACACTGTAGGGCAAGCATGAACGTCCTAGATTATCTCAATCGACTTCTCTCAAATGCGGCACATTAAGACGACGGGCCGAGAATGACTGAATAGTGGAGCATCTAGAAACGATACGCCCCGGGTTTCAGCTGTTTTCGGGGTAAGCTTACCTATAATGCATCCGTCTGTTGTAGGAATGGATCGAACGCCGATAGAGACAAGGTTTCTTGATTTCTTTGCCTTGGCTGATGTGACTCTGGGGGGTGCCAGGGACTATAAGATGCAATTGAGATCCAGCCAAAGACTTTCCTCATCCTAGCTTGTGCAACTCGAAGCAGACAATTCCACACTCTATATCGATCTATCGGTGCTTATTCTTCTTGAACCGCCAGAATGACCATCACCACTCCCTTTAACGGTTTAGTCAACCGACTCAGCCAAATGATCTTGAAAGAAGCATCGGCGCCATCTCCGCAAGCCCATTTCGAGCTATTGCGAATGATTGACCAGCTGAGGTCTGCAGTGGAAACGCCAACAGAAACTGTGTTACGTTTGATCTACCAGGTATTGTGTTCCACAGACTATGATCAAGTTCATATTCTGACTGGACTCTAGCCTCCTCAAAATGCCGCGTTGCGCGTTGTCATCGATTTGGGCATTTTCGCTTTGCTTGCGGAGAAGCGCCACAGAGGAACAGGACTTTCAGCCGCTCAGCTGGCCAATTACACAGGCGCCGACCAAGATCTAATTGGTACCTTTTCCTGCAGAGACAACAGTTCGTCACACATTGTGGATCCCACTAACTTCGTCAATTAGTCCGACTGATGCGTGTTATGGCTTCTCTTGGGCTGTGCATCACACCGATCCCCGATCTTTATGTTGCCAATGATAAGACCGTGGCACTGACTCAGCCGATTGGACGAGATGGAATCCCATGCATGTATGTTGGTGATGTGGCTTGGACCCTTGCATCTCTTCCCGCCGTCACTCACTGACCATTCGTTTAGTTATGATCTTACCTTTCCAACTCTGAGCAAGCTCCCAGAGTACCTACGGGCGCATGGATATGCCAACCCCCAGGATTATACTCAGTCACCTATGCAATGGGCCGTTGGACAGAGTCAATTCGAGTGGCTTTCGAGTCATCCGGAGCAGCAGGAGCTTTTCAACTCGTACATGTCTAGCCGTCGTGAGGGTAAACCAATGTGGTACGATGTATACCCCGTGGGTCGACTGTTTGGCCATGCCGTGCCATACAAAGATACCGTCTTCATGGTAGACATTGGTGGGAACCAGGGGCATGATCTGGGCAAATTCCGACGGGAGTATGGTCATTTGGCAGGAAGAATGGTTCTGCAGGATTTGCCAAGGGTAGTTGAGCGGGTCGATGGTGAGAGCGCAGGAATCGAGGTGATGGGACACAATTTCATGGATGCTCAACCCGTCAAAGGTGCCCGTGCATACTACTTCCGCTCCATCTTCCATGACTGGGATGACGAAATCAGTCGGAGGATCCTCCAAAATACGGTATCAGCGATGGCACCGGATTACTCTCGAATTCTGATTGTCGATTTTGTCCTGCCAGACACCGACACGCCCCTGATGCAGGCTTCGCTGGATATTCAGATGATGAGTATTGGAGCTGGTGTCGAAAGGTCGGAGCGACAGTGGAGAGATCTCTTGCATAGTGCTGGGCTGGAGATCACAGGGATCTGGAATCAGAGCCCGGCAATGGAGTCGGTGATTGAGGCAGTTCCAATGCTGAAATAGAGCAGATAAGGAAATAATTTGAGCAGATTTGGTATTTGAATTCCAGTGAAATATGACAGATGCAATAGGTGGTATGGGCAAAGA